ATGTCAAACTCGAGAAAGTCTTGCGTGCACGTGCTAGACGTAACGTCAATTGCCATGGGCGGTTCATGCCAAGGATGGCGGTAAGACTGCAATTTTATATGTTAATGCACCCGTCCTTAAATCTGGAATGCTTTAATTCAATTTACAACTGTTTATGCGTCACAGTTCCCTTGCATAAAATCCTCCTCCGAAATATCTCTTTCTGAAGCACTTTGGTGAAGAGTTATTTGCAAAGGCATTACCCATGCTTGCCAACTTTACCAACTGAAAGTATTCTTCCTTTGTTTAGCTATAATTTTTTGGGTTTTGTGTTACTCACTTGAATTGAATACAATTCACTGAACGTCTTAATGATCTATTGATGCATGTATTATTCAGGTTATCCCACCTGGCATGGACTTTAGCAGTGTTGTGATCCAAGAAGATGCCCCAGAAGTTGATGGGGAGCTCGCACAACTTACAGGCGATGGGTCTTCACCTAAAGCATTACCTCCAATTTGGTCAGAAGTGAGTAACCTATATGTGGGCATATTTTCTTCAATGAACCTTTGTTAATGTTATGGGCATTCAACTTGCTACCGCTCGCAGGTGATGCGTTTCTTTTCAAATCCTCACAAGCCAATGATCTTGGCATTATCAAGGCCAGATCCAAAGAAGAACATAACCACTTTGTTAAAAGCCTTTGGAGAATGCCGTCCCTTAAAAGAACTAGCTAATCTTGTAAGTGCACTTAATGTAATTGTCCCTCTTTTCCAAGTGGAACCTACAGTAAGTTACTTGTTAAAGGACTAATATCTTTTCAAACAGACGCTTATAATGGGAAATAGGGATGACATAGATGAGATGTCATCTGGGAATGCTAGTGTGCTTACAACAGTGTTGAAACTAATTGACAAGTATGACCTATATGGGCAAGTAGCCTACCCCAAACATCACAAGCAAGCTGATGTTCCAGATATATACCGACTTGCAGCAAAAACAAAGGTAAAATGAAGATTTCATTACACAGTTGTACCTTCAATGTTATAACTGTGAGGAGTAGTTAATTAATTTAAAATTTGTCTCAGGGTGTTTTCATAAATCCAGCTTTAGTGGAGCCTTTTGGTCTTACTTTAATTGAGGTTGGTTGTAAGCAACTGGTCGTTTTTATTATTTTCATTTTGATCTTAAAAATGTGTACCTTTCATCTACAACTGTTCAAACTTATCCAGGCTGCAGCACACGGGCTTCCCATGGTGGCCACTAAAAATGGGGGACCGGTGGACATTCATCGGGTAAATGAAGAGTGACGTTTATTTTTTTCCCTATCGGTTGCATCTTTTATGTTACAGTTTAGGAAGTTTGTATTTGTTACAACATGAACTATTTACTTGAACGTAGGAAGGACATCTGAAAATTAATTGTACCCATCCCTAGTTGCTGAATATTGTTAAATTTTAATTTTTCTTTTTCCAGTTATTTATGGTTGTCAAGCGGTATCAAATATGCATATAGTCACCGTTTTGCTTGTCTTCCTGCAACGTTTCAGACCCTCAACAATGGTTTGCTTGTGGATCCCCATGATCAACAAGCGATTGCTGATGCATTGCTTAAGTTATTGTCAGAGAAAAACCTATGGAATGAGTGCAGGAAAAATGGTTTGAGGAACATACACCTATTCTCGTGGCCTGAACATTGCCGTACTTATTTGACTAGGGTGGCAGCCTGCCGAATGAGGTATCCACAATGGCAAAATGATACTCCAGGGGATGATGTAGTTATCGAGGAGTCTTTGAATGATTCGCTAAAAGACGTGCAGGACATGTCGCTAAGGCTCTCAATCGATGATAAATCTTCACTAAATGAATCACTTGATATGGCTGCAGTCAGTGGTGGCCCCGAGATGCAAGACCAAGTGAAACGTGTCCTAAGCAGGATGAAGAAGCCAGATTCTGTTCAAAATCCTGATGCTAAGAATAAGCCACTTGATAATATACCAGGAAAATATCCTCTCTTGAGGAGAAGACGTAGATTGATTGTTATAGCACTTGATTGCTACGACAATAAAGGAGCTCCAGAGAAGAAGATGGTCCAAATTGTGCAGAAAATCATGAAAGCTGTTCAACTAGACCCTCAAACTGCGAGAATTTCAGGATTTGCTCTGTCAACAGCGATGCCAATGCTAGAAACAATTGAGTTACTCACATCAGGAAATATTCAAGTGAATGAGTTTGATGCATTAATATGCAGCAGTGGAAGTGAAGTTTACTACCCGGGTACTCATGCAGAAGATGGAAAGCTTTTGCCCGATCCAGATTATGCTGCACATATTGACTATCGTTGGGGATGTGAAGGTCTGAAGAAAACCATTTGGAAACTAATGAATACCATTGAAGGTGAAGAAAATTCAAATAAACCTTCCAGTCCGATTGAGGAAGACTCTAAATCAAGTAATGCCCATTGCATCTCATACAAAATGAAAGAACTTAGCAAGGTATGTGAAATCTACTCCTGTACATACATGTTGATGTGCGAGCTATGTCATTTTATTCAAAATGCTTCTTTTGCTTTTGCAGGCAAAGAAAGTCGATGACTTGAGGCAGAAGCTTAGGATGCGAGGTCTACGATGTCATCCTATGTATTGTAGGGCATCAACCAGAATGCAAGTTATTCCACTCCTTGCATCTAGAGCTCAAGCACTCAGGTAAACTGTTCATGATGAACAGCATAGGGCATTTGATAACAAGTTACCATTTAACTATGGCTCAAACCAAGGTTTTGATCCTTGCTTTCATGACTAAGGGAGCATGTAGAAACTATTATCCTTAACCTTGTAGAGAGGTGCTATAAGAGAAACGAAAAAGAGCTTAGGAAAATTCATTCTAATCACTTATTTTCATGTGTTCTCACAAAGCTAACTAGTGCTGTGGACCGGAGCCTAACCTAACTTACCATCTTGTAAGAAAATACTAAAGTAAACTCAAGTAGGAAGCTTACCTACCGTTGAAAAAGGTAAGAAAAAAATGACTGACAAATTATAACCACGATAATATTTACATAAACTTTCGCAATACTCTTTTCATTTTATTTGTTTGAACGCACCACTTGCTTTTGAGCGTCTAATTGTTGAGATTGCTGTGATATTATTGACGTCAAATTTATGTCACTGCATAAAAGTATATTATTGTCTTAGTATTATAGGATTATTGGCTTCCATATAACTATTCTTTTCCTATTAAAAGAGAATAATTTATTTCACTCACTAAATTTACATGAAATCTCCAAACAATTGCCAATGTGATATCAATCATCCAATCTAGATGGCACTATGGTATCCATTGAATGAATGATTACCATTAGTTTTAATTCTCTTTAGTTTAATATTCAGAAAGATAACGTGTTATCAAGTGGTAGAAGCAATATGGAAGTAGGTAGGTGTAGAATTTAATTCTGCTTGTCCGAATCATACTGAGTCAATGAAAGTGAGTAATAGTCAGTAATCGACTGTTTGCTATGGCTGATTTTAGGTATCTGTTTGTCCGTTGGAGATTGAATGTTGCCAACATGTATGTCTTCCTTGGAGAAACTGGGGACACTGATCATGAGGAACTGATTTCTGGAACTCACAAGACCATAATCCTGAAGGGAGTGGTGTCCAAGGGTTCAGAGGAGGTACTTAGGAGTCCAGGAAGCTACCATAGAGACGATATTGTCCCAACCGAGAGCCCACTGGTCACTAGCATTAGTGAAATAACAGAAGACAAGATTGCTGATGCTTTGAAGCAAACCTCTAGATCTGGGGGAATGTGAGGTTCCAGAGCGATGGGTACATATTTTTCTTTTCCTAATACATCGACCTTTTTAGACCACAAAATGGAAAATGAATGTAATTCTGTTACTTTTTAGCATAGGGTTTAGCCAAGGTGTACCTAGATTGTGGCTCTGTGATTACAAATGCTCTTGTTATATAAATTATAAAGTTGGTTCAAATCCTTACCTCTGCAGTGCTGGTACAGATAATGAGTAATTGGCAAATTTTTCATGTCTTGGGATGTATTTAGTCCTGAGACCCAAGTGCTTTGTATGATGGATGAAGCTCATATGAAGTTTCTTCTTTGTGGATACCGATGGAAATCAGTGCTTGCAAGCAGAGAACGTGTATCTAACATGGCTTGCATTTTAGGCAGCCTTCCTATTGGTGACGCCTGACGGTTAAATGGTCTTATTATTTTATCGTTTTATCATGTCTAATATTTTTCACATAAAAGTAGGATGCCGATTCCCTTCAAAATTATATTCCATTTTCACTGGTTGCTCTGATTTTCCCGATACTTTTCAACGAGGCTCATTCCCATTCCCATCCCTCCTCCGACCGTAACTCCAATTACAAGACCTTGATTTGCTTATAATATTCGATATCATCTTAGCCCTTTAGCACGGAACTATCCTTGAGAGATGAAATAGTTCAAAAGAGTGGAATTGATTATAACTAGCGAACTGTTATTTGAATTTTAAAAAAAAAGTGAAAATGATGTGCCCCAATTTCCCAAAAGACAAGCATGCTTAAAATAAGAGAATGGGCAATTGAGCAAATATAAAATAAATGGCTGAGCCAAAGAAAGAACTTGTAGAACTAGATATCGATGTACTATCTCCGATCTTTAATATAACAGTTTGTTTAGCTTTTAATTTAGTTTTTTATATAAGACTCCAATTCACTTTGCCTATCATATTTATCCATTTTTTTTCCAATGTAGTCCTTGTAACTAATAGCTGCACATATTAAATATTTTATCAAATGACATTTGATTAGTAAAGATATTTTAGAAAAGATAATATTTATTTATTACAAACAACTAACTAATTTTCTTAATCTACTCAAATTAGTTAACTAGCTTTTATATTAGCAAACTAAGGTAGTATTACTTGTCAGAAAGCTGGAGCAAAAAGGATAAGAAAGAAAAACAAAAACAACATGGATGTGCATTCTTTCTCTGTCTCCCTCTGTGTAGGCAAGACAACTAAAACTTCCACGTTATTTTAGGGTTGGAGACTTGTTGTTGCACCACCAACACAGAAGCCCTGCCTCCATAATCTGATGAAGCAAGCAAATCGCCAATGGAGCCTAACTCTTGAAATTCACTCCACTGGGAAAGCCCAGATGTTTGAGGCGTGTTGATCTCATGCCTTCTCCCAACTATGAAAAAGTCATGCCCGTTTACTATGTTACGAAGAAAAGCAGATGTTTCTGTCCCGTCATTAGAAGAAACCTCTCTGTATGTTACATTACTCAGACCAGGATAATCTTGCCTCACATCTTTCAGCGACGATCTGTCGAGGATGTTTTCCAAGTCTGATGTTCCTGAATCTTCGTAGCCAACAAGGTGGTACACAACAAGGGTGACCTTTGGATCCTTAGCTGCTCTTTTGGCTAAGCACAAAGCCTCTCTATCATCATCCCCTCCCAGAAACACCATGGCTAACCTTATCGAGGAATCTTTTGGAAGTGAAGCACGACCTACGAGAATTCCAACGGAACAGGGAGCTCTTTCCAGGAGCTTCAAGTTTGTTGACCTGGTGTTCTTGTCATCAGACTCAATTCTACCATCAGCAGACCATCTTCGATGGAATGGAAGGATTATCATGGATGCAAGTTTGTCCAAAGCCAGGATACAGACATCTTCATTCATCAGGTGAGGTGGAGAGATCACTGTGTAAGTGTTTACTGATACGCCTGGGGTCTCACGTTCGTAAAGATCAAAAGCTAGAATGACCTTGTCTGAGTAAGATTTGAGTGAGCCTGAGACTGTCTTTTGAAGACGATGTGGGACGAAAACGGGCAACGACCTCCCAACTAGTTCAATTAGATGCAATACATCCACAGTGATAGGATTTTCTTCTGTTGGATTGCAGAGATCAAGGAAATCCGTGATAGGAGATATGTGGGGTGCTTTATGAACGCAAGCGACCATTCTCAGCTCACCGCCGGATCTCAGACTCATAATGTTCCTTTTCTGATAGCCAGTGTATTTTCTGGCAGGATCATACAAGTATTTCACCAACAATTGCGTAATGCTTGCTATGATCGGGACAGACACCATCAAGACTCCATAAGCCTGACCACTCAAAATCTGCACAAGTATTTGAAGAGGACTCGATCACTCGTTCAAACAAATTATTAAAGCACGTATTTTGATGATTATGATTTTATACTTAGTTACCTTTTCATCATATACACCATGGTACCAGAATACTTCCACTACTCCTTTACAGTTCAAAATGAGGGCAATTATCAAACCATCACGTAAGGGCATCTTGCAACACAGGGAAGTTAGCAAATGGGCTAATATTTTGACCAAATGGGTCATAAGGATGAAGGCAACAATGGTTAAAACCTGTGTCAATGTATAGTCTATTGAAAAATCAACCTTGATGGCACAAGTTGTCACAAAGATTGGCAAAAGGAACCACATGCTAAACAGCTGAAGCTTCTTAACCAAGGCAGAGCCCAACGGAGGCCCTTCAGGGACAGACAATCCAAAGATGAAAGGTCCTAAGATGAATTCCTGGTGCAATATTAGTGAAATCCAACCAAGAGCTAGGACCACTCCGATGATGATAAATATGTAATGATCCTTCACAGGTCTTCCTTCCGGAGTACGTTTAATGACCCAAAACATAGCTGGTCTGGATATTAATGGAATGAGGACAACAAAGGCGGCACAAAATGCCAAGCTCACGAAGTCCATTTTACCGTCAACGTTGTATGCTAAGGCAGTCCCAAGACTTATTATTGTTAAGCTAGTTATGTCACTCACCAAGGCTGTGGTTAAAGCCAGCCTCCCCAATTCAGAGTTTACGATTTTCAGGTCATTGAGAAAACAAGCAACCACAGGAAATGCAGTTACACTATGTGATAACGCCGTAACCTTGAGGTCCCATAAATGTGGTCCCGTGGCAACCTTTAAGGGTTCATAGAACCATGACAAGCATGAAAGACCGGCCAGCACAGGCGCTACCAATCCGATTAAGGCAATGCCCCAAATTTTGTTCCCTGTTCTTGTGATCATGCTAAAATCCATCTGCACAGATGTTACAAATGCGAAGAAAGCATATCCAATTGATGTTACTCCTGCAAGTACGTTTTGACTTCCAAATGGAAACAACATCTCCCTGTAGCGATTCAAATTGAATGACTTATTATCAAACGAAGGCCCTAAAATCAGACCAGCCTGCATATGGGACAGAATTAATGAGCTTCCAATAATGACCCATCTATTTAAGAAATGGTAATAGCCAATGGGAAATAAATTCTGTAACACCCTACCATCATTTGGGAAAAGAAGAGAGGGAATCCCAAACGCTTGAAGAAAAAATGGCAGATGTGGGTGATTGCGAAAATGACCATAACCTGCAATTGAAAAAGAGGTAAAGCAGACCTCATTGGGGTCCTACCAGTAAATTGGCCACCCCAGAGGCCATCTGAAACTATGTCGGGTGGAGTCTTCATGCAAACTTCATACGTCTCATCATTATTCGATGCATTCAACAGCTTCTGTGTCAAAAATATTGTCGCATTGGCAGTCATTTTGGAAGGCCTGCGCCCCCAACACACGCACAGTCGAAAAAGAAAAGAGGTGTTGGGGAGGGGGTGCTGTAATTGGATGTTGGAATGAAGCTCAGGGGAAGGTAACGTACGTACGTATATGCAAGGAATATGATGTCATGGATCATACAAGCTGCTAAATTTGAAAAACGTGAATGGGTATAATAACGTTGTATTTTGATTTTCTGGTCATAGTTGCTTCGGTGTGAGGGTGAAGGAGTTTGCGGTCATAACATGTTGCTGCCAATGGGACAGACAAGAGACAACTCCTGAATTAGGCCGACCCCAAAAGAAATTTCCTTAAATAAAGCTTCTAGCATTTGTTGGCAACCAAAGATTTCTCTTTGAAAATTGGAACCGTTATTGTTGAACTGATCGCATAATATATTCTTAATTTCATATATTGAAATATTGTGTAAACATACACAATAATACCAATAAATTTGAAAAACGTGTCACAATCAGGTCACAATTAATCTGTAACAAATTAATCTTTGAACAAGCAAGTAACAATCAATCATCATAATATTCATTAGGTTTAAATGTTGGTCCTATGTATAATACTTATTTTATATGTTTACCAATTTTTTTTCAAAATTAACTCTATTAATATTGATCAACAATAATCAAGTAGGGAAGAAAATGAGAAAATTAAAAAAGATGTTTAAGATATTTTTTACAAAATCCTATTATACTCCTCCGGTCCTAATTATAAGACCCAATTGACTTATTTGAGGAGATTAAGGAAGTAAGTTAAGTTGATTATTTATAATAAATAAGTGTTGTCATTCCTAAAATATCCTTGCTAGTTAAGTATATTGACTAAAACTATCATTATTAGAAGGATTATCTTGAAAAAAAATACATAAATATAAGAGACAAAATGGATTGGGGTCTTATAATTAGAACCAAATAAAAAGTCAAATGGGGTCTTATAATAAGGACCGGAGGAGTATTAACTAATTTAGCTAATATTTTTAATCTTTAATCTTCTCAAATTTATTAATCACATCTTCCATTCCATTAAGCACATAAGGAGCATATTGAAAAGATCACAATCGCGGTCAACCTCAAGACTACCAAGTTCATGATTAGAGGGCCTGCACTATCCAGGCTCTTATGACTGTGAGAATAATACTTACATGACATTACAATATAAGAAGGAAAAAGATATTAACCCCAAAAATCATGTCATCCAATATTATCAACAGAAAGAATAGAAAAAGCATGAAATCTAATAATCCCTATTATGTTTATAATAGGAATACAGCCAGTTAGTTTTAGAACAATGTTGAGAAACTACTTTTAAATCAACAAGTTTTGATCATCTAAAATCCGAAGCGAAATATATTTTTATTAATTCTAACTTTAACAGCTGTTCTTTTTTTAAAAAAAAAATCTTTGACAATGTAATTTTCTATACTGCCTGTAACATTTTAATTAAAATTATTAATTTTACAGTACCACTATATGGGATACAGTAGTCAAAGTTCTCACGTGGAGGAGTGATAGTTTGCAATGCTTGATACTTATATTTAAGCTTGGAACCCTTTTGTTCAGGAAGCCAAGAAACCAGAGTTGACTTTAGCTTAAGGCTAGGGAAAAGGGCGTTTAAAATCATAAGCTAGCTTAAGCTATATTTCTCTACATCAAGTAACTGCTCTGTTTTTTGCCCCTTCATATATTCCGCTCAAACTTTACAAACAAAATTCTGCACAGATGCTAAATTTATAACGATCTTCAATATAAAACACAGGTTTTAAGGGGGCGGGCGCTTTTGAAGCAAGGCAGGAACAGATCTGCAAGGCTTGGATTTGGCATTCCTAAAAGCATCAGGTGAATTGCTTCAGAAACTCTGTAGCTACAAGCCTCCCTCGTGTGTTCACCGACATTTTAAGTTCGCTTATCTCTTTATCAATATCCTGCGAGTTAGAGAGCAGTGGTCTATTAGCCTCACATGACAGGCATGCAAAAATAATAAGTTGACAACAGCAAGGACAACCACAATGGCGAGAATTTGATAAGAGAGCATATCTAATTCAACAAGCAATTAGCCATATGTCAAACCCCCAGAGATCACGGGGTTATAATCATTTATCCTAGTTTTAGTCCCTTAAAAAATGTTACATTACACTTATGGTTGCAAGTTACAACCATGAGGGACGCCATCAATCCCTGCTTATTTGAGCAGGCGACCACAATAAATGATACAGGGCGATAGGTCTATAATTTGTGACGCAACATTCCGTTCCTTGATGAATCCTTTTGTCATGTAGACCCATTAAACAAGAGACTTGAGATCTCTAGAATCAAAAGCAAATATTTTCCATGTGACACTCTCATCTTATAACCACATCACTATTTGCTGCATTCAGATAATGCTCATGAAAAAATTTATGAAGTTTGTGGAGGCTCATCTTCTGGCATATAAATCACAAAATGAAAGCCAAATCCAACTTAAAGGGTTAAGTAAACTCTTGCCTCCATAAATTGCACTATAAAATCTATGAGTTTGTGCTTCTGCATCTCCTCACAATGGTAGTTTGTTATGAGGAAGCTGATGTCATATCCCTGCAGATGAAGCAACAAAAAAAGTCATTCAGATGCTATTAAATAAATTACATGAATAAAAAAAAAATTGTCTTCTACCAATTGCATCAGAAAATATTGACACTTCACTCTTGCTAACAGCATGCGGAGAGTAAAGTGCATCAGCATTGATGCGACTTGTAGTAACTAATAACTGGTCTGCATAAGGATCATAACATTGCACGGAAGCAAATAGACCGGCTGTTTGGAATTAAGAGAAGTACTTGAATTTTTATGCACACAGAAACATGCAGTGAGGACAAATTGCAGTCAATGCTCAGAAAAATAATCGCCAGGAACCATCAGGGTGAAGAACCAATGTCTAATTGATCAATAGCTACAGACCTGTACTGGCTTTCTCCTCAATACTTGGAAGGCCTCGGCTCTCATAGACAAAAATCTGAGAAACTTCTTGGTCAGAATATTTTCAAGTTCATCAGCCTGCTTAACCTACACAAGACGAAGGGAAGTTATAGTAAAAAGGTGAGATTGCAGTCAATGTTAGCGAGTGCACACACGTGCTATGCTCAGAAAAGATTATTTCATTCAAAAAGTTGTAAGCTAACCAACAATAAGAAGCCTTATCCCACAGGGCAGGGTTGGTCATTATGCTCTATCAACAACTAAATCTTCAGATGTATTGTAAGCTAACCAACACAGAAAAATGGTGAAAAGAATTTACTGCCTTCTGGAGGGTCACAAGTCGACTGAAATCAAGTTCAAGATGTCTTGACAATCCAAAACTAAATTGATCAAATTCCATCCAAGATGCTCTAGTTTCAGGCTAGAAAGAATAAAGGTTGCCTCCAAACAATGTGATCTCATCCTAAGATGTTTGAACTTCAATTAGTAAAATTCTATGGCCTCATCAAATTAGTCCAATAAAGGTCAGTGTTACCTCCTTGAGAATTTAGACTTACAACATTGGTCCTATTTCATCCATTTAGCAATGATACCAAATTCATCATCATTTGAACCCACAAATGTCTCTATATTGGTTTCTCAACTTTCAATACTTAGCCAGTGCCCTTTTTTAACTAACACACACACACACACACACACAGATATATATATATATATATATATATAGTCTTTTTAAACTCTTCCCAGACAATTCAACCATTTCACTATTTGCAGCCAACACTAACCATCATTAGCAGAAACTTCACTAGAAATCATTTCAAATAAATTGATAATTAAAAATTTTTACCTTGAGACTTATCCGCAGTGAATTAATAGATGTTTCTATTAAGCATTTTTCAGCCTCATTTCGACAGATCAAAACCTGTAACAATTGCAGAGTTTTCATATGCAGCAGTGATGAAGAACACTATTACTTATCTGAATATCATTTGGAAAGGTATAGAAAAAAGATAAGGAAAATCAGATTTGACAAGCGATAACAACCAACAAGAAGCAGCTCAGTCCAGAAACCAAAAAGCCATTGCTAAACTTGTATTATCTTTCCCATTTTACAATTGATCTGCTTAAAAAGAGGTTCACAGATGCAAAGGAGGCAAACCATCAAGTATGTAGGTTTCGCACTTAAACATGACTTTAGACACTGCTACAAATATCTAAAGTTCAAAACTAACCTAAGTATGTTACTTCGATCCATTCAACGAAGGAGGAATACAATAAAATCCCTGATCATAAGTTCATCAAGAGGAAAGCAAGTAACACCCCAAGGTTGAATATTCAACAAAAGCTTGCAAGTGAATGATCGTAACTTATCCCAAAACAAGACTCCAGAGTCTAAAAGCATTGATAAATTGATGAAAAGGAAGCAACTGAACAAACAATGCCACGCAATCATTCTCATTCTTAACATAAAAGACCTCAACCCATGCAACTTCAACATAAGGCCAAGACAAATGTAAATAATATATACTCAGAAAGCCCTGCAAGTCTTCTCACTTACAAAACCGTGGTTTTAAAAGCACTTTTAACGAGGTAACCTCCTATATTTACTTTATAATCCGTAAAAGCACTTCTGAAACCTATCCAAACACTCCTTAAACTTTAGTAATATGAAGCGAACAAACAGAGTATCTTCTAGAATTTCAGAATTTAACCGCCATATAAGACCTATATATGGGAATTTCTACCAAGTGCACATTCCAGGAGGCAAATTTTAGAGCACATAGAAGCTCAAAAGGAGGAAATGGAGCACATAGGCCAAGGGATTATTTTACTGGATCTGATTTTAGAATGTCATTTTGCACCCAAAAACGCAATATTAATTTGAAATAAGATGGATCTTACAGGATTTAGCAGGAGCTCTGGGCTGGTCCTGCAAATAAATGAAGAAAGAATTACAAACTTCACGCAGGAAAATATTGCTTTACTGGCTGTAACAGAATATCGTGCATTGGTCAATCATAGTAAGGAGGTTAAATGTCTAGAATAAGGAACATCCATGTTCAATATGTGCTTTTTTCCCCTTCCCTTTTGAATGTTTCAATATGTGTATTTTAGTTATCCCTTTGATCACTCGACGACTCCGAAGTCAGAACTAGTTAGGGCTTACTTTAGTTCAACCTCTGGCTTGTTATGCCTTTCAACCTCTTGACATGGGAAGTTCTGCAACCAGGATGAAGACATAAAAAGCTTGTTACATGATCTGTAAGAACCTATAGTACGATATAGAAGATGGTTTTGCCGGAGCTAAAGTAACAATTCGAAGACATAAATTGGATCACGAGAAGCTGAATTCAAGGACATAATAGCAGAATCAATGATGCCAATGCCGGTCTGAATCTCTCCAAAGCAATAATCAGCACAGAATTGTCTCCTTTTGAGACAAAATCCAAATATATAGTCTTGACAATTATCGTGCTACAAATTCACAACCTCTGCAACAATGCGTACCTGCAGGCACATTGCAGCCTCGAGTGTGTTCCTTATGCAGGTCAAGTATAACCGTAATGTGCTAGCCTGAAAAATTGTCCGTATAAAACAGAAAGGATCACGCACTAGCAAAGTGAACAAAGAATAATTATTATGATTTGCGGCCAACATAGACAGTGGCAAACTCTTAGCATGATTACGAATCAGAATTCAGAAAGGAAAAGGGTGATACCATGTGCGAGAAGAGGGGATTCAATGGGCTCAGAAGTCTGCAATCTTCGATGCGTCCATGAATGAAACTGCTCCCAGCAATGATCAGGGGTCTTGCGAATACGGATTCCCTACTCCTCAGAATTGAGCTCCTCAGCCCATCATAGTCGTCTCCTCGATCGAACACTCTTCTTGGAACCACGTGTCGAATCAATGAAATCCCAAGCATCTGTTATGTCGAAACGGTGCGTTTGTAGCCAACGAGTTCATTACCTTTTGCCGCACAATTCCAGGCATCCATATTTACAATCGGCGACAAAGATACCAAATCAGGCCAAAATAAAAACAACTCAGATCCTGCGATGGGTTGAGGTAGACGGTTGTGATGGGATGACGAGCACGTCCAGCCACACATGTCGGAGGATTGAGGAGTAGGAAATCCGCGTACGTTCGTAGAGTGCAAGGGAAGTTTTGCGCGAAATAGATGGGGAAATTAGAAAAAGAAATAATGGCCGAGTAAAAAGCATCCGACCTGCCGGATTCGAACCAGCGGCCGAGTAAAAAGCATCCGACCTGCCGGATTCGAACCAGCGACCTAAGGATCACATGCGGGTTGATTCCGACTACAGTCCTCCGCTCTACCAACTGAGCTAAGGTCGGATGATTAAAGCATGCTACCTCAAACCTTTTAATACCAGATAAAGGTTTGCAGTTACTTCAAATTCTCTCTTCACAGTCACATAAATCTCTGACACAAGTCAAATGTGACAATACAGGTTTGTACTAGAGTTTAAATAACTAACCACTGGACTTTGGACATGGATGTTTCGATTTGAGTTGATTTGGGTAACTTCAAGTGCAATTAAGCATTTGAGCTTTCATGAAATTAAAAATGTTGTACATCTTCATAATAATATTCATTCATAGGAAGAGGGTAAAATGAGAAAGATCGAGAGACAAATGGCATGGAGTCTCCATTACTAGCAAGCTTGCATTTGCGTGGATAGATTGGAAGCCTCACTAACCAAATTTTCTCAAAAGAAAAGGACAAACGCAAAAGAAAAATTAATATTTGTTTAACATCACTTAGTATAAATACTTATAAATGTGCTTCATAGAAGTCAAGATACAATTTTTATTATATATTTATTTCATATTTTATAAATCATAATTAAAAAAATTATTTATAAACTATTTCAAACTAAACCTTAAAAAACAGCTAAGCATGGATGACCACACAAGAAAAATTAGTACTTGTGTAACATCACTTAGTATAAATACTTGTGATTAAAAAATTACTTATAAACCATTTCAAACTAAACCTTAAAACACGGCTAAGCATGCATAATCAAAATTGAGGTTATAAATGTGATCACACGAGAACAGAACAAGGGTCCTGCACAGCAGAATACCAAGACTGTTGCATGTTGAGAAGAGTCGGGATGATTCTTGGCTCACACGTCAATGATGTCACCACGGAAGGACCATTTCCTATGTTACTTGAAACCGTATGAATAATTGCTCACGTGCATAGTCACGTCTTCCACGGGCGACACCGGTGGGGACGATCCATGTAAAACAAAGCTAAAGGCTCAAAAACATATAATAATAATAAGCGAGCAACTCCATAACCTTTACGGATACAGAACACAATATAGAACATAGTCTAAATCCGAGACCTCAACGCCAATCTTTCTCTTAGGAGAGCAGTGAATCAAGGCGCACTTCAACAAGATCTCATAAAATAAAATAAAAAGCCACCGGTTGCTACTCTGAACCAACATTTACAGAGTGATTTACAATCGTTGAACTTGAAAACACTACATTGCAGATTTAAAACTGAAGTGCAAAAATAATGCGCTGTAACCATTACATTCCTTGTACGCGTAACTTATTGGCAACGTAGAGCAAATGGCTTATGTTTGTAGACGGGTAATTTTGCAGCAACTTGAGATTGGATGTGAAATCACCCGCTAAAAGGCGCCTCCGAACAAGAATTAGCATTGCACAGCATATCCGTAACAGAGTCTCCTGCACAGTATTAGGATAGTTAGTCTCCCTAACAAATTATACACACTCATCAACCCAACTGATATGCCATCGTCAGTTCTACAAACAAATTTCGTAAAGCAGCAGTTTCAGAGGGAGGTAACAAAAAGCATAAAAACTTTAGCATTAGGACCCGATTACTTTCAACCCGCAGATATTAGAAGTTGTAACTTCATTATGTCCTATAAATGTAACCATCCAGCATGATTAGAATTCAGCTTTGCTTTATTATTTTCTATTATTCATGAGTAGCTTTTAAACTTCAAACACTTACTAATGCCAGGGTAAATAGTAAGGTTATCATACCTGTGGACCTTCTGGATCACTTAGAAGAGTGTCCCAAATGAAAAGGCAGTCAGCAAAATTGAATTCCTGAGTCAAGAGGAGTGTAATCCACCTAAACGCATAGAATTGGGGATTGACCTGACGATCGGTACCAGAAAAATTAGGCTTCTCTAATAAAACCACACAGCAGGCAAAGCAAAAAATAGGAACCCACCCATTACTACTAGAACAAAGATGCGGCTACAAAGCATACTTTTTATGTGCATTTATTATTAATTATTAATTCTTATTGGAGGGACAAATGAACAATCAATCGAAACACATCTAAGAACCAAAGTGGCAAAGTAGACTAAAATCTTAAATCCAAGTGCCAACCACATTTAGTGATTGACAAATGTTCTGTGTATAATCTTCCTCTGCTCACCCTTTTTCCACCCTCAAAATGCAATGATTTCGTTGCATTAGTTCTAACAGTCCATTTTGTCCAGTGATATGAATATAACAACTTTAAGGCATGCTTGCAGCATTTTCTGCTACATAATCTCTGGAAACCGTTTTGATACTTTGGTAGATTTGTGACCATATACAATAACCACTCATACACTTATGTGGGGAAAAAAGGTCCCAGGCAGTAACTTTCATGTTTCGAGCTGTAAGTATTTATAATTTCTAAGCATTATAAAGCCTTGATTAGAAGTGTAAAAATCTTCAATGGCAACCCTACCAACCCCTAGCAACATCCTATAGACACATATAGTAGATATTGCATCATATGCACGAATTGTTCAGTAACCAACCAACACGAGGAAGCTGTAATAAGCAGGCCAAAAGTGACTTACGAATTAATATAATCAACCACAAAGTGCTGCCTAGACAATCAAACAGTTGCCTAACCAAAATGATCCCTGCCTTTTACTAAGATGGAAACTTGCAGAAAAACTGTTATAAAGCCATGAAAGTTATACTTAAAATCCTCTTACCTTGGTTGTAATCTCAAGATGACGCCACAGCTCTTCGTCATGTTGTCGCAAGAGCTGTGATAATCGAGCAATAGTGGAACGGATTCCCACAACACTGTTGTCTAGTTGTTGACAAAAATTATCTCGGAACCCACTTAATAGCTCAACAAAACAAAAGAATGTGTCTGCTTCAACAAAGGCCTGAACATGTTGGAATAGGGGACTGTTAATATGATTAATAAATTAATAAGCACATAAAATCTTTGCAAGCTTCAGCTGCCAAAAATTAAAGATGGTTAACACTAAACTGAATTGAGATGTAAAACCATATCAACCAAAATAAAAAATGAAACTTAGACATGGATAAGGAAGGTAAGAATAGACTGTAAAGACAAAAACTTATCTAGAAATATGACATTCAATTTAAGGGGGAAAATCTACTAAATTTTAGAGAAGGATATACTTACTGTATTTTCTTCATCAGAATCATTTTTAAACACATAGAACAGAGGAGCCAATATCTCATTCATCCCTTGAACATATCTTACACCTGGATTTAACTTCGCAAAAATAATCAATATGTTCTTCAAAGCCTCCTGAAAATACCCCCAACAAGAAAATGTCAATAAAAAGGGTTGCTGTTGAAAAAAGAAAAGGCATGAATGTGGAATTTTTGTAAATTTTACGAGAAATGAATGGGAGAACCTGATTTGATTTTGCAAACTGCGAGTCACCAGAAAAAAAATTCATATCTGGATGAGTGCGCTTTACATCTCGATCAATTTGATCTATTATCTCTGTGTCCTACCAAATGCAAAAAAGAAAATTTAACACCGCAATACAAGGCATCTCACCACCTTCACGCACAAAAGAATCAGTCATAGAGTTTTTAAGAAGTGAGGGATAATTATGTTCATAATAGCATCATAGCAACTGGCAGTACAATAAGTTTGATAAAGCTAACTAGCTAATTATCATAAGGCCAAAGAAATATACGAGTCACGTGCATAACACACACATACTACATCAACATTCAGTTTTATCCCATAATAGACAACACTGTAATTATCATTAGTCAGTCATACATTAGCAATGCACCCTTTTACTTTTAGGCAAAAAAGGAGGGTCATGAGACAAGTTTGCAGTCATGGAAGCAACATAGTTCACCCAGCATCACAGACATTAGAAGTTCAACCTTCCTGCATCCCATAAAATAATCACAGTGTGTTTCTAATAATATTTTGTAATCTAATAAGCACATGATGATTTTGCCTCCAAATAAATTTTAACACAGCATGTTGCATACTACCTGGAAGAACTGATTCCATATGCTAGTCTTTCCAAGACTCAAGGGATGTTCCCCGTGAGTGACTTCAGATCTAGAGAGCAAGCCTCGACTCCCACATTTTGCATCAGAAGTGTCACTTGTAGAGCTGTACATCCTCCTCGTAATTTCTGACTAACTAGCCACAGAAACGTTCAGAGAGCCAACCGGAAGAAAATAATTTATACTTTCACGTTAAAATTAATAATACAACCAAGATTCATTGTTCTAATACGTATAGTTGCATTTGAAGCGTTGAGCAGGTATACACATCCACTCCATTATGTAACAAACATAGTAACCACCAATTAAAGTTAAATCAAAATTTGATCAAATAGAAAATCAGATCAAAATTCTGATGATTATGCTGGAACAAGTTTTCCGTTTGTTTAACCATAGAAGTTTTTGGTTTGTTAGCACTACCATTAAACAAGGGAATCCTGGATCCCATCAAGCAACACCCTTATCTGTTTCAACTCAAGTGAAAGCTGCTATGAAGATGCCGCTAAAAATGTGGATTATCACGTTGAATACCAAAATAATCATTAAAGGACCGGTTTTCCACAACAAATTTCATTTTTCCAGATTGTTACCCAAACGATTTATAGATTGTCTCAAAGAAGATTATATGAAAACTGTTGTGTAATAATAATATCATGAATACCAGAATGAGAAATTATGAATATTAGTTAGGAAACAGCCGTTAGAATTATCGCTGACCATAAATAGATGTACTTACCTACTTGAATTTCAGATCATGTGTGAATAATACAATCGCACTATTCAGTCTAATTTTTCTGTTTTCCTCTCTCAAAACCTTCTGGTCTTCTCTCTACTCTCTCCCTCTCTTCTCTCTTTCTCTCTCCTGTCTGAATTAAAAACCTACATAAAAAACACTTTGATCATAACTTACAGGATTCGTCAGGACCTCCTCTTTGAAATGCTTATATTGAGACCTCTTCTTAGCTAATTCAGATGACCAAAGACCTCGATCCGGTGGAAGATATCCAAGCAAAAGCTGCACGTGTCAATACCAATTTCGCTCCTTAGCTCTTGTTTATAATGGATATAAAAAACACACGATCATGTAGACCAACTAAAAGCACCCAAACTAAACCCCGAGACACAAGCACGACAAAACAGGATTCCAACAAATATCATTTATCCGCAGCCCCAAAAACTTGTACAGTCACTTGACTCGACTTCAACAACATCATCATTTCCAACAAATCTCCGAGTAATTTACCTTCCATACAGTAGAACGTATCCCAGCACCATCAGGGATACCTTGACATGCAATTCTTCGCAGCTCCCTCATATCTATCACCTTTCTCGATAGCTAACCAGTAGAGAAATGAAGAATGCAACGAAAATGAAAAAGAACAAAGTCACAGATTCAGTAATCAAGAGTTCATTTTGTTAATTGGAAGAAAACTCGGAGTTCGAGAAGACAAAGTAGAGAGTAAACCTCGGCCAGCAATTGAGCCTGGCGAGAGATGTCATCTGTAGAAGGAATAGAAGAAGTGCCATTGTGATCATTTGCGACAAGATTGGCTCTTGAATCTTTGATTATCTGCGGCTGTGGGGGATCTTCTCTGATAGGTGGTGAGGGAGGAGAAGGTGCAGGCAAAGGTGGGTCCGCCGTAGAGCTCTCTCGTTCTTCATTGGCGTAGGTGGTGGTCGATGTGGTGGTAGAGTGGCGGAGATCACGGTGGTCGTCAGAGGAAGGTGTGGAGGACCAGAGAGAACTGTTAAGCCAATCGGGGACCCGCTTCTTCACCATTTTGAGCGTACACAGATTTCTTGAAATCTATAATTTCTAGGGTTTTCCCGATTTCAAGCTTTTGCTAGCATATGATATTGAGAACGAAAGAGGGACGAGTCGACGAGAGATTGAGGAAACTGACACCATCAGCTCCAGATGGCATGTTTGGCCAGAACAAACGCAGTTAATTACAGTCCGAAAGATCCCTTGTAAATTGTAATTGCTGGCAAAAAAATTATTAAACATAAAACAGTAACATAATGTGTGTGATTCTAATTATAAGAATTAATTGATTAATTCGAGAAGATCAAAAGACTAAGTTAAATTAGTTATTTATAATAAATAGATGTTATATTTCGTAAAATATTTTTACTAATCAAATATATTAGTTAGAACTACTATTATTAGAAGGGTTACTTTAGAAAAAAATAGATAAATATGAGAGACAAAATAGATGAAGGTCTTATATCGAAAACTAAAATAAAAATCAAACAAGATCTTATATTAAGGACTGAAAGTAGTACTCAAATTTTGCTAGCATTTTGTTTAATTATATCAACCTAACCTCTATTCTAAAAACATACACATAAACCCAAATTATTAATTTCATTAAAAATATTCTTAAAAAAGACTTTCTTGATTAAAATTTATATTAAAATACTTTTTATTTACTAATTTATCTTTTATAACACTAGATTCATAAATTCTGACTGAAAATTTTTTAAAAGTTTAAAAGTTTTTTACTTTTCCGTAATTTTATTTTTTATTTTTACCAACAGTTATTTATTTAGTGTTTTTTTATCATATTGGATGGAAATTAACTAATTTACTGAATGTAGACATAAAAAATTTAAATAAAAATTTGACTAATTCTTTAAATATATATATAATAGACTAAAAACGATATAAATACTTCTAACGAAATTTCTATTTAAAACTTTTAAATTATAAATTTAATTGATTTCTATAGCCTGTCAAACTTAGACAATTTATATGATGGAAAAGTATTTATTTAATATTTTTTTGGCATTTAAGAAAACTTAAATAAATAATTTTTATTATGACGTGAAAATTTTAATTATAAAATTCTATAATATAATCCAAAATTAATAAATTTTATTGCATACTAAAAATTTGAAAATACATAAATTAAAATTATTTCTTGTTGCATCAAAAATATATATTTTTCTAATGTAAATGTTTAAATATTTTTTATATTAAGAAAGGGTATTTTGGTTGAAATAAAAGTCTAAAAATCAAACTTAACGGTTTGTATATATGGAAATACAATCTCAAATATATAATGAAGGTTTGTGTAGCACATATTTTTGTTTTCAAGAGGGGTTTATATACATTTTTAAAAAATAGAAGAGATTTTTAAATTTTACGTAAAATAAATGGATGGTTAGAGTTTTTACTTAAAAAGAAATGAAAAAGTGACAAAAAAAAGAAGTTAAGAATTATTAAATTCCAAATCAAATTCGGTAACAACACTTTATTTGATGTTGACAATACTGAATTTGCAAATGATAAGAAATTTTTGTTGACATTTCTTATTTGATATTTACAAATTTTCAGCTTATTTTCTTGTTATTTAAAAAAATCCTTGTTTCTTTAAAAAAAAAACAAAAGCTATATGAAAAATATTCTCATTCCTAAATATAATTAATTAACGTTAGACACACTGAACATATAAGTGGGTCTCTTGAAGGAGCAAAACTCACTTATATAATTTAATTTCTGCAACTCAAATGAAAGAGGACAAAATTGAGTCTTGCATTTAACAGCGAAATAAAACTCGCAATTAATTTTTGTAGTATTTAGATAGAAAAGTATTTTGATCGAAAGATTCTTATACTTATCACTATATGATATAAAATATCTGATAACAAGAAAATAAAAAATAACAATCATTTATTATTTATTAACTTAGTTGTTCATGTATTTAATTTTAAATAATTTAGTTATTTAAAAAAATTATGTGATTTTGAAAAATTATGCATCTCGCATAAGATCAGTCATTACTATTTCACGTAAAATTTGAATTTTAGTTCAATTCACAGCTTTCAATTGATATCATGTTTGTCTTTCTTTCTCTTTTTTTTTTTTTGATGAATTGTTTGCCTTTCTTTTTAATTCAATGCTCTGCTTCGATTTTTTGGTATTTCGAAATTATTTAAAATATTTAGCATTTCAGAAGATTCCATGATGAATGTACTAAAAACTTAGGAAAAAATAAATTAACTGAGAAGTTAAAATCTATCTTTAACGAGTAACATGTTATTATTTGATCAAAATAAATAATCATCTCTTAAAATTCTAGAAATACAATTTGATTAAGCTCGAACTTAGATAATTTGAGGTCTGTAATGCTGTGTATCATAGCTATTTTAGCGGCCCAAAACCTCTCAGCATGAGAAGGGGGACAGCAAATTTATCTACTTATTTAGTCATCATCCACTAATCAGAATTCAGAAATAACTCGCGCACTTGTCATCTTTATCCCTGATAGGAAGAGGGGAACAAATTTATCTATCTAATTGATTGACAGTTAATGATTATCCAACATGTGATTTACTGTTTTCGGTTTCAATTTTAACATCATTATAACTAAAATGAACCGATGGGACGCGGCTATCCAAGACTCAAATTCGTTATGCCCCCAAGGATCAAGCTGCTCCAATTATTTCAATACTCAATTAGCTGCTTCAATTTTCCGATGTGACCGTAGAATTGAGATGAATCACAAGCTCAGCCAAAATAGGCCTGAAGGCTTTAGCAAACATTTAAAACTAAAATGTCACAAGAAAACTCCTTGCGAGCATAAAAGGAAAGAGTAATACGCTAACACTACTCCCTGCTTTGGTTAATTAGCATCAAGGAAACTGAACTACTTGGTATTGCATTTGCATACACATGTAATTAAACGATCAAGCCTAATTCCGAAAGCAAGAAAGCTTAGCAGTTAGCAGTTAGCAGTAGAGCAACTAAAAGGAGCGCCTCCATCTTGGTCCGTCATGGCGTCAATTTGGTCTCCATCTTTCATATTCAGCTAGCCATTCCAGTATGAGTTGTCAAGTCAGCGTATTACAGCTTGATATTTTGAACACAGCTCAAAACAAAAGATAATGATGAATCAATGAAGGTCAGAACCAAAGCAAAAATGGTTTCCAAAGGCTCAACCTTCCTACAATTCTCACTCTAACCAGCGTCTGCCTTAAACCCAGACAGAAACATTTCTAATGTATTCCATATATACTTCCAGAAGATGTGACCAGACAGAAAGCGTAATAAATGCAGAAAACAAGACTTACAAGATGTGGTGTTTGTTTGCCCTTAATGCGCTTCCCATGATACAAGAACCGCATGAATCTGTAGCTGACTTGCTTTCGCTCACAGAAAGCGTGCAGAAGCTTGATCAGCTTGTTGTCACGCTTCATCTTGAAAGCAAGCGTCTGGCCGTCCTACAGACAAATGAAGAGCAAAATAATGAAAGAAAAGGAGAGAACTTGCACCAGAGTGTGCGACGCTACATGCATGCGCAAGCCAACGATTTCGAAGTTTCTTTTCACCTCATTTATATTTGCTGCCTCATTTACATTCCGCGTCAGATTTTTTAATTTAAACGAATAACAAAGCAGCAACGAGTTCAAAAGAGAAAGGAGGGGGAAGAAAAAGAGAATGAGACCTGAGTGGCGATTCTCAGGATTATGGTTGGCTTTTCATCCCCCGTGTCCGCATCCATGGCTCGTTAGCTAGTCCCAGTTCTCACTTCTCACTTCTCAGAAACAGAAAAGCACCGGTACAAAGAGGGAGAGAGGAGAAAGCAGAAGAGTGAGAAAGTAAATATTGTGTTTTGTCACGGTCAATATTGTCATTTCAGATGGTCGTGGTGGTTTACCCCGCAGGGACGGCGCTGCAGTTTCGGCGTCCTCGCTGAGCAACTCCCTGCTCCGTCACATGGGGCCTTGATTTGACTGGCCCTCCGTACTGTAGAAGTCACTATCTTGCCTGCTTTGTTTATGAGAGCGTTTGAGATGTTAAAAAGCAATTTAAATAAAATGAGTTGATATAAATTTTGATCATCTCAATTTTTTTATTTTAATTTTAGTTTTTAAAATTTAAAATTATAAGTTTTGATTTCTTGTTTTTTTAATTAAAATATTAGTTTTTATAATTTGGTAAAAATCTAAATTATTTTACCTCTTAAAAGATAGAAACTTATAATATAAAATTTAAGAGACTAAAATTAAAATAAAAATAAATTTGAGGGATCAAAAATTAAATTAACTCTTAAAAAAATTATTTTTATATAAATTGAAATAAAATTCTTTTCATAAACTTATTTTGAATATCGTGAAATTATTTTTAAAGTCACAATTTTGTTTTCACCTGATCACTTTCTATATTTAATATAAGATTTACTAAATCACTTAATTATATTTTTTAAAAATTATTTATATACGTCATTAATTTATATATCAATTTATAAGTGAAATAAATGAGTTTAAATAAAAATGATAAATCTTTAATAACTTTTTAAATTTTTTAAAATTAATTAATTAATTTTTATATTGAAAATTCAAAGTGTTAAGAATTTTTGTCCAAAAGCTTTTTCATTACCGCGTCTAAGATACAAAGAAGGACCGTCTACGTTAGTTGTTATTCCTGCATAACAGGATTGGTTTCCAGGGAAAACGCGGAATGAATAAAATGCGGTAAAAATGCGTCTTAGCCATTTATTTGCAATTACCTTCATTTAATTGTGAGCAGCAAATTACCCTCACCCGGAATCTCGGTCTTCGCCGACAAAATAGCAATTCTAGTCAAACTCATGCCAATAGTGGCCCAAGCTAGAAAAGCTTGAAACTCATTTTAATTAACCTGTAATCAAGCTCATTGAGACTTTATGTGGTATGCAAACTAAGCCAGGAAATTTTTTTTAAAAGATGACATTAACCTCAATAAAATTAACTCGTAGCAGGCACATTCTATCAACTCCCCTTGTGATCCATACATGAAATAATTTGAAAAAAAAAGGATGAAAAATTAAGAAATTGAACCATTAAAAACACAGGACATTATTCAATGATATCACGACGACAATGAAGTGACAGTGACAAAGAATTGAAGAACAAGAACCAAGGTTGGGACATATTCAAGATCTAGGCGTCGCCGGTGAGGTAGCATTCGGGAGGGAGGCCTTGAGGGAAACGTTTAAAGTCAGTGCAATAATTGTAAATCATGTAATTAGTCTGAACCCACTGCATTTGGCCTTGGCCTGCATAATCAAGTTGTTGCTGCCACAGCCAAGTGTTGACGTCCACGTCATTGTTGCAATTAGAATTCCCAGAGAGCCAAACACACCCACTGGCTCTGAATCCCTTGTAGGACGCAATGAAGGGTGCTTGGCTCCAATCAGTCTTCACAAGTCCCCCTCTTGTTGCCCAATCATCAGCATTCCACAGGCTAGAGTGCACTCTCATCGCTTGGCTTTTTGGGTATGGGATCCCATTTGACTCCAAGTTCTTGAACTCTCTGATCGGAATTCCATCCACCAAAAACCTATGAAATGCCGCAATTTATTTGTATTTAGCTATGACCAGTCAAACCCTTGTTATATAAGCCATATAATAATTAATAACTAGAACAAGAAAATGTAACTTACAGAATGACTTGAGGATTCCAAAGGATGGTGTAGTTGTGAAAATCGGCGGTGGGATCAAACCAAAGATAGAACTGTTGTTCTTTGTTTCCTTGTCCTTGGCAGAAGACGTTAGTATGAAGTATGTATGGATCGCCACTTAGGTTCCCCAAGAATTCAAAGTCTATCTCGTCATGCAATTGCCCTTGGGATGACAACTGCATTTAAAAACACAGAAGAACTCAGTCTAAATGATGTTGTTAAAAGACTTGGAAATAATATGGCTAACAAAAAAATGATATACAAAGAATGAAGTGACGGTGCCGGCGGAATTTCCAGGCACAAGCTTGATCTGCATATCGATTCTGGCAAAAAGGTACTCGTTAATGGACTCAAAGCCTGAGCCAGAGGCGTTATCGAGGGAAAGGGTAAGAAGGTCTCCATTTTGAAGCACTTGAGGACGTTCACCTCCCCACGTCACGTAAAAGTTTTGGTAGAAGGAATCAGCAGAGACAGATAAGAACAACAAACTGCAAATAAGCAGCAGAGAAGCTAATGATGGAGCAATACTCATCCTACAACTCTGATCTTGCGGGTTTTGGTTAATCTGACGATCACTTTCAAAACTGGAGGCCACAGTTAGATGGCTAACATTAGAGATATGTAACTATTTATGGGAGCCAAAGCTAAGGAACGTGTGTGCATGGAAAAGCCAGGAGAAAGTAAGAACAGGGTTCTTAGTCAGAGCCAGTTGGGTGAAGAATATAATAATTATGTGAGCTGGGAAAGTTGGCTCTTTGGACGCGATAGTGCGCTTCCATGACCTAAAACAATGACGAGTGATGAGCGGACTATATATCAAAGAGTTTATACAAATTGAAAGAATATGAATTCGAGCAAAAAGGAAAAAAAAATTACAAACAAGTCAAAGGAAATCGTGGCTGTCTTCTTACAAAGACATGGAATTTCTAGACAGATTCAAATGACAAATAATATGCGCGTTGAGCTGTTGACATTTGGATCTAAGCAGTCACATATCGTTGTGGTGAGCGCCAAACAGCCAAGAAAAAATATTTTAGAACGTATCTAACGGGAAACACGCATAAAGTATATTAGCCAGGCGGACTATGATATCATTTTTATTAATTTTAAAAAAATATAATTACGATAACCGTTTTTTAATCTAAACCTTTATTTACCTTTTCTCCGCACGATTAACATTACATCTTAAGTTTATTGACAAATAAAGGTGGCAATTCATCAGTATCAGGAAAATATCCACGTACAAAACGTTCTATTTGGACCCATGACAGTCCAAAAAGACCTTCCTTAACCCCACCAGAAATCCTTTGAATCTAAGTAATGATCTTATAGAAGGTATTCTTGAAACTAAGAATCTGTCACGGAGTAATGGCCATCATCAATACCTGACAATCTCAGGATGCTACTTTATTTTTAATTTCGGAGGAGAATGACACAACTATGAATGATAGATCTTCCTAAACGAACAAAATTCAGGACAGCGGAGGAAAAGGAGAACAAAACAGAGCAATAAAGAATTCCCAAGGCCGAAAGATACGAGAAAGCCCCACACGAAATCCCGGTTGTAGCGTTACATCGAAACAAGAAAAGACCCCTAAACATAAGTATTCTGTTCTAGCCATGCATCTCAATCAACTGTCTAATCACTCGGGATGCTAAAATATACAATAGAAAAGGTCCTGCCATAGCATGCGGCTGCGAGAACCGGCGAAACAGCATTATTCAAAAAATTCCTAAGGCATTAGGCATCATCATCAAGAAGGGGGCAAGTTTCAAGATCATATTAGCTTTCTGCAAAATTGAAACGGAAAGAACTAAAATTAAAGAACCAGAAACAGCGAACGAATGACTTCCATTAATCATCACTGGGTTGCAGAATTAAGCATGTTACTACATGTTTTTATGAAATATTAGAAAAATGGCTTCGAAAGCCAGGTGCAAAGAGGGTAACAGACGGCTTTAATTGCTTAAGAATCAAAAACAATAACCTATAATTCTAAGAATACAGACAGCCGTGAGGAGTGAAGAAATCCCTACTCCTCGTCTTTGCATCTTCTCTTTGACTTTCCTCCAGGGGACTGGCCAGAGGATGCTGAGGAGATACCAGAGCTATGACCACGAGAGAGCTCAGGTGCGCGGTCTTCAGATCCAGCTGTACGTCTTCTTTTTGAAGTATTTGATGGTTCACCAACTTCAGATACAGAGCTTCTAGGTCTGCTACCTTGAGTTGAGGCTGCACGTCCAGACCGTGAACTTTGCAGCTTACCGCTGTGCATAGGAAAATATTGGGAAGACGTTGTCATCATGGTTCCAGAAGAATTTCGTCTGGGGTTGTTTGAATTGACCTTTTCAAGTTCTTCAGGATCAGGGTAATGGACAACAGAAACCCGCCGGCATACCTTTCCAGCTGTGAACAAAAACATTATTTGCTTTTTTAGTGTAAGTTCTTGTCAAGATGAAAGTGTGGAGCATAAAACAAACTAAATATTTACTAGCAGTATAAACACGAGAGATTAAGAATCCAGTGCTCTACCCATAACAGAAGAAAATAACAATAAACAGAATCCAGTCAATTTCATGCCTCTCGAATTGATTAATTGCTAAATAAACTAGAGCTTCTGTACATATTAGATTTCAGCACAAATCTCATATTACAGAAGAACATGGAGAGAGAAAAATAAAAACATGTCCGGCCACAGCCCACACGTTTCTAAAAATACGGGTTTTCCCAAAGACCCAAACATAATCATACCAGCGTCTGTTCAAATATTATTTACATACAAGAATAACCACACAATGGTATTAATCGATGCTGGCCATTTCTAAATATCATCATTATATCAGATACATGCAAAATGTAAAGAGCCATGCTATTTACACAAAGCAATGATAGGTGATGATAATAATAATACGGTTCATCTTGGGCTTCATGCAGATGCATGGGGCCTGCTCTAGTTGTAAATACCAGCACAGCAACAATATAATTAATTGGTAGTCTCTAAGATATTAGAACGATATTGTTTCATAGCACAACTGTCAAAAAATTCTACAGTGGACATAAACAATTAAATGACTCATACTGCTTAATTGACATCAGATTCACTTCACCTTGGATATCATCCATCAATTCTCAATATTATTCTTTTTAATGAATAATATTGAGAAAAGACACATATAAATTAGAGGTTAAAAGAGAGAATAAATGAAAGAAGAACACTCAGTTGCATACCAATTTTTGGCTCTTCAGCAGGAGAGGAAATAAACACTACTTCGTCAGCCTCTTGAGTATCAAAGCTGATAAAATCGTACACTTTCCCTACCAAACAACAAAACATAAAAGAACACATCAATAATAAAGCAATCAATTCCAGTTGCAGATATGAAGACTTGTGCAATTTGCAAATCTGGAGATAAATAAAGCAGTTGTGAGGAAGAAGGTTGGATATTGATTAGAGCTACTATTGGTGACAAATTTACCAGATGAACCCTCAAAGCTTGACAGTTGGCCATCACCATGAAGCTTGAGAGACAATTCCTGCCCTTCAATGTCAGTTAATAAATCCTGGTCAAAGTGAGACCAAGGTAAAAGTAAGAAAACTAAATGCAAATATTACTTTCGCAGGGCAACTGAGAATAGATGGAGTTAAATGACAAAAACATGAAACTTCTGTTTTGCTGGTTGGCTAGAGATGAAATGTTAGGACAAAATATGGAAAAGCCAGGATCATTTGATTGATGATACAGAGACCCTAGGAAGAGGCTGCAAATCATGCCAAACTTCTAATTAAATTAGTTGACAAACCTTTTCATACCTAAGACTTTTATTTATACCATATCACATAAGCACCAAGGGACTAAGGAAGTGCTTGCAGGTATGACAGTAGATAGTTGATGGAACCCCAAAGCAAGTTACTCGAATATAAAAAGAACAAAAGGATGACACAACGTAGAGGAAAGAAGAATCTTACTTTACCGGAAGGCAACTGAATGAGCCAGAGCTCCCTGGAGTCCGTCAAGTTAAGATCAATAAGTGGGCCATTGGTATCTTCTTCAAATTCTGGGGGAGGCCTGTAACCTTCCATACCCTCTACATCCATTGCCCAATCTACTTTCAAATCATTCAATTATCAAACTGAGAGAAAGCAGAAAACGAAAAGCTGAGGAAGAAAAGAAAACAAAGAACAGATATTTAGCTATCAGTGATTACCAAACAATTCCAAGTTAAAACTCAGGTTGGTTTCTGCCAGCAGTGGCAGAAAATAAGAAAGAAATTGGTTCTCACAAAAAACAGCAACCAATCCCTTTGCAAATTGTGGAATCATTCATCAATTCAAAAATCATAATCTCGTCATAGGCATATAAAAACAGATAAAAGACTTGAGCAGATAAATATGAAAAAAATGCACGTAGGGATGGGATAAAACAATCAGTAAGCAGACAAACAAATAAGAAAAGAAAGGATAATACGAAGCGGGGACGCGACGAAGAAGAAAAGGCTCTTACCGTGATTATGATGACGGCGACAATGGCAGCGATGCAGGGCGAGCGACTAGACGGAGGGAGCGAGGCGTGGTCTGTCCCCGGACGAGGAGGCTATCTATTTATTTATTTATTTTCTTTTAAAAAATGAGATTTTGATTGATAGGGTTTTAATTGGGGCAAATTCGTCAACTTCGCAAGAATGAAGAAAAAGAAAATTTCACGGATTAATCATCTAAAACATTTTAATTTATCGTTATAACATAAATTTAGTTTTTTTTTTTTTGACCGGAATAACATAAATTTAGTTGAGCATTTACCATTCAGCAAATTTTCAAGTAGCACCCGATCAAATAAGCTTTCTCCTCTTTCCAGATTTCCCCGCCGTCCCTCCCTGTCCTATGCAGCTTGACGCCTCGTCCCTTGCTGCTGCTATCGCCGCCGCCGTAATCACCACTGCTGCTGGTAACAGCACTTTCTTCTCATCGCATCCCTTTTCATGTTATTTTTTTTTCCTCTTCGTGAATTCCTCGTCAGCTTCATCTGTGCCCTTCGTGCGTCTTTTCCCATGTTTTTTAAGGGAAGTATGAAGCAGGGGCAAAATTCGTACAGTAGCCTCAGTTGTACACTATGCCTCCCCTCCTCTATCTATCTATCTATCCCTCTCTCTCACTGAATCTATAGTTATATAAATATATCAACAAAATATATCGGTCTAAAACTAGAAATGAAGTACTTAGATTCATCTTATTAAAAAAAATGTGAAACTTAATATCATATAAGCTAACTTATCTTTTTACTAAATTTTCTGATAACATTCATGTGAAGGTATAAAGAATTATAGAAATAGGTTGATTGCATGAATATAAATTTTTTGTTATTTAATTTATACATAACGTTATGTAAGATGAGTTTAATTATGTTAGGCATAGCCACACATGTAATGGGACGGGCCCGTTGCATCCGTCCTGAAATGAATGACTGAATAATTGGCTAAGGGACCAGTGTGCTCTTTTCAAAAAAGAAAGAAAGAGGGGATGATATGTTGGTATCATCAGGAAGGGTACGCTGGCACAATGGACGCAGGTGGCAGAATGCATCCTTGCGCAGTGATCATCACTTGATACCATACCCTGAACTGAGCTGCTATATCATATTTAGGTTTTTAATACTTTCTTTGGAGCCTTTGTTGATAGAAAATCAAACCTTCTATTTTTGCTGTATTATACAATAAAATATTTGTGGGTGAACTTGAGGTCTAATTGCGAATAAGTTTCTTCCTTAGGGACATATTTTTAATTGGGAGCAAACATGAGGATGAAATGGGATTAAGTTTCTGAATGAACCGGAACTCTTCTTTCTTTCTTTCTTTCTTTCTTTTTTGGGGGGGGGGGTGTGAGGGAGGTATTCTGAGTGAGAAGAAACAGCCTTAGAATGCTGGTGTTTTTAGATGATGTTCTAAACGACAACAAGTCAAACTTCGTTGTAACGCTCGGTGGTGACTTGGCTCGATCTTTGTCCCTGTTTTGTTTATTAGATGGTTTGTGATCAGATCAGTCATTTCATAGTGATCAGACTTTTGGATTATTTCTGTTCTTATAAGCATTAAACCATGCTTCAGCAACAACTAGATATTTTTAGTTTCATTGATTTCTCGTTTGGTGCAGAGGATTGGCTATTTGATGAACGGAGAATATTATTTGACTAATATTGCTTTCTCTCTTGGTCGCAGTTTGGAGATAGGTTATGATGGTTAATGCTACTAAAGGAGTTTTTATATCCTGGTAACTCCTTCTTCCTACCCATGCACTTTGTACTTTTCTGAATTCCTGTTTTTTTGTTGTGCTGTATGGGATAGTTGGTTTTGGTCGTCGAAGCTTTAAATCACGCAATAACTAAACTACAAGTATGGCTTGCATGTGATCTTTGACTCTACTTCAACCCTTGAAGTCTCAACTGCGCAAGGGCTATCATCCCCGTCTAATCTTTTGTGGAGATGAAGTTGATATCTTCTTATGGGAAAGCAGTTGATTAGTATAATTATGTGATGTTATAAGTACTGCTTTCATGAGGCAGCAAGCCCCAAAACATCACTTCTTTGCCCTGAGGCAGGTTGGCTACATCACTGCATGACTAAATATCACTACAGTGATATGACTTGATTGGAAATTAGTAACAAAGCACAGAATTTTGATTGATTTATATAGACCCATTGAAACATAAAATAATTCTCAATTTAAAATAGCAACAGAATCTGAAAAATGAACAAACATTAGTGTTGCTTGGGGAGAAAATACTGTTGGCCTACTTGTCATAAGTGGAGACGGAATTTTACAATGTTGACTGTCTCCTTTGGCCTTGGGTCAGCCAAGAAGAAAAGAGCAGGGAGTGTTTTGGCTTAAATAAAGACGGGGGATAGCTTGAAAAAATGAGGCAAAACCACATTTCTCATGTCAAACCCTGAGCCAATGCGTATAGAAGTGTTTTCTATAAAAGAAATGGGAAGGTGCATTGCCTTACAACATAAGGCAGTATATTTTTCCGCACACCAAACATTGCCTTAGCCCTTAGTTGATGCTTTCTGTCCAATCACAAGCACCAGAGGCCAAATTTCCTGCTTCGATATGTTTTTACACATGGCATTAATGTGATTGGGATCATCTAAATCACTCTTTTAATTTTCCATACCCACTGGCTGGAGCCTGGAAGTGAGTTTAAATGGGGAAACTGCGCCATTTTGCTGAAACGACCCCCTTGCTGCATCAGCTTCCTTTGACAACGCAACAACCCCCACCCTCCCCAAAAGAAAAAAATGACACAACTACCTCAGAAGTTCGTGGTTTACACGTTTGCATAGCACTACAGTGAATTTTATCATTGTTCTAGACCAGATTTCTGCTTGTATGCTGAAAAGATTGATGTTTTCTTGTGCAGTGACATACCTATGGCACAATATATCATCAATATGAATGCCTCACTGCCTGCGTCTGAGAAGTTCATTATCCATATCTTGGATGGTACTCACATTTTTGTTCAACCCCATGTCGAGAGTATGATACGAAGCCAAATTGCCAAGTTCAGAGAGGATAATACATACGTCAAGCCTAACTGATTATCGACATCTTCCCTGTTCGTCAAATAAAATCTCCCACCGGCTGCAGAGAATTTGTACTTAATCGTTCTATCTTGATGGTTGCTCGGTTTTGTACCATTCTCTTATCATGTCCTCTTGCAATGAAAAATGATATAGCTGTTGTCTAACTAGTTTAATGAGAGACCTGCAAGTTTATTTTTGAGAAGTATGTACGTATTTATTATTTATTATTAGAAATTATATATATTGTGGTTTTATTGAAAAATTTTAATCAACACTAAAAGGATGAAAAATTATATAACACGTGTATCAATAGCGCGCATATAGAAACCATGGGTTTAGAAAAGTTAGACTTGAAACTTGATTTCACATTCCCTGAATCTTGATGTCTTTGTTTAAAAGGAAGATTCGGTGGATAAGCTGCCACATGTTGAAAGGATTGTGAGTTATTGTGAGTTTTATTATATTCTAAGTGGTTAAATTGTATTAAAAAAAAGTCATAATTCTTTATTGATAATATCAGGGCTAGTTCCTCCTTCCCCACTATAATATGAATCACTTCAACTGATTTATTAATATAAAAAAAACAGTAGTTAATTCATTAAATATGTTTTAAATTGAAATATTTTTTCCCAACATTAAGGTTGTGAAGTAAAGAGAAAAATGTAAAGTGAGTGTTAATTATAAAGACAAAATTGATAAATAAGTATTAGGAAAATTACAATTAGATCCCACCTAAGGGAATTAAATACAAAAAAGTCGCTTAAAATTATAAAATTATTTTAAAGTCTCAAGGGACTTTATTGCAATAAATTTTATTTGTTTAATTACCAAATTATCTTTTTTTTTTAAGTTTGCATTAACAACTGAAAGAGCAGTGGTTGACAACTTAAGATGCAGAGATTGACAATTATCATGACAGGTACTGACAATTCATGCATTATATCTTGTGATGTACTGGAAAATGTGTTGTCGATACTTGTCGTGATAATTGTCAATCTTTGCACCTTAAGTTGTCAACAATTGCTCTTTCAGTTGTCAATGCAAACTTTAAAAAAATGAGTAATTTGGTAATTAAACAAATAAAATTTATTGCAAAACAGTCTCATGAGACTTCAAAATAATTTCATGATTTTAAAAGATTTTTTTGTATTTAATATTCTTGGATGGGACTAATTGTAATTTTCCCATAAGTATTTAGGATGAAGCCATTTCTTACCCTTTAATACACAATAATTTGTAAATAATAAGTTATTTTTGTAGCAATTGAGATTTAGTAACCTCGGGATTCTCCTTTTTTAAAAGAATAATTATTGTCTATCATTTATAAAATTATTATTTCATACTTGTTTTATACATATTTGTTTTATATACCACTTTTAGTCTTTAATATAAGAGCTCATTTGAATTTTATTTTAGTTGTGATTATAAAACATTAATTCACTTTGTCTCTCATACTTATCTATTTTTTTTCAAAATAGTCCTTGTAATAATGATTGTTTTAACCAATATACTTGATTAGTAAAAATATTTTAGAAAAAATAATATTCATTTATTACAAATAACTAATTTAACTATTTTTTTAACTTATTTAAATTAGTCAACTAACTATTATATTAAAAATAAAAAATAATACTCATCCGGTCCTTATTATAAGACCCAATTTGACTTTTTATTTGGTCCTAATTATAAGATCCAATCCATTTTGTCTCTTATATTTATGCATTTTTTTCCACGATAATCCTTCTAATAATGATAGTTTTAGCCAATATACTTAATTAGCAAGGATATTTTAGGAATGACAACACTTATTTATTATAAATAACCAACTTAACTTACTTCTTTAATCTCCTCAAATAAGTCAATTGGGTCTTATAATTAGGACCGGAGGAGTATATCATAAAGTTATTTTTAGAATGATGATTTTATTCCCTACCCGAGCTACTAGGCGGGGCGGGGTACGGTGCAATTAACCCATTTTATTTTGCGGTTTTATTGATTTGGATGTCTGGTGAATTTTTCCTACCTGAGAAAGATAAAGATTACTTAAAGAAGCGGTCTCCAAAAAAATACTACAGGAATCTGAACCTAAAGCAAACCTCTGGAGAATCTTGAATCGAAGAGGAAGAGGTTTTAGAATTGCCCTGGCTTGCGAGCTTCCCATCGATGGCTGGCGTATCCCTCCAGTGCGGTGACTGTGGAGCGCTATTGAGGTCCGTACAAGAAGCTCAGGAGCACGCAGAGCTCACCTCCCACTCCAACTTCTCCGAATCGACTGAAGCTGTTCTCAACCTTGTTTGCACCACTTGTGGCAAGCCATGCCGATCCAAGACCGTATTGACTTTAAAAGATCCTTTCTTTTTAGAGCTAGAGATCGGAATATATGATTTTTGATCCTGGATTCTGGTTATGGGAACACATGCAATTCCAAGTCCGTCTAAACTTTGCATTTTAAGATATTGGAAAACTAGGTCTCGCGGCCCGAAAATTATTTAGCGCCACGAGCGAATATGAAATTCCGCTTCGCGTGAAGCAATGGTGCCACATGTCACAAGAAAAATATTACATAATTAAAACTCTTTATCTTTGATGAGATTAGTGAGGGAAGCCTCAATTACCTGGGTCTTGGAATTAAATGAAGTCTTAACTCTTGCTGCTGCAGTTTTAAATCATTCCAAAATTATCTGAATATATATATCTGGTAGGTGGTGACTGAAAGGGCTCAAACAAGATGGGAGATGAATATACTGTATAATGGGTAAATCTGCAGAGAGCAAATGAATTGATTTTTTCCTTTTATTTCATTTTTTTAATGTCAGTCTGAAGAAAAGAAACTTGATTCCTGGGCGTAGTGACTTTGAGATCTTGACAAAACAAACATTGAAGTAAAGGTGTTAGCGCTGCTTCAAATGTATGTTATCATTCATCACTACTGGCATGACTCATTCTATGTTCTTTCGCAATTTCTTTGGTAATATAGGAGAGTGATTTGCATGCAAAAAGAACTGGGCATAGTGAATTTGCTGATAAGACATCTGAGGCGGCGAAACCAATAAGTTTGGAGGCTCCAAAGGTGGATGCAATGTCTAACGAGGTTGTCACTGCAACCAATGACCAATCTGATGGTACTTTTCCACAGCCTAGTGTTTGTTTTCTCAAGATCATCTCAGTTTGGACGTAAATTGCTGAATTCTGTTGCGTGTATGGTTTTCTATTCCTACAACAATCCTGTGGGAAGTGGGAACAAATTATCTTCATGTAACAAAAATTGTTCTTCATTACTTGCTCTTGCTTCTTTTGTGTGACTTTTTCTCATCAAGATTGCTTCCAATGAATCATTCATTCTGCGGTTTGTAGCATTTTAACCTTCCTCTTTCGGCAATTGGAATAAAATAATATATTCTGACATTTGTTTTTCGACCACATGCAACTGATGTCAATTCTTTTTCTTCCTCTCATATAATTTTCATTGTAAAATACAGAAATGGTTGTTCCTGAGGTTGACAAAAAGGTGCTTGTGGAACTTGAATCAATGGGTTTTTCAACTGCGCGTGCGACACGTGCACTTCATTATTCTGGTGAGCTTACATGCTATCCTTTCCTCTAAACCATTGGTTCACAATGTCATTCATTAGGGTGATGAAGATAGTATCTTGCCCTGATCTGATCTTCTACTTGATCACATTATTTTATTTTGGTCGGAAAATTCTTCTTTTGATTGGTATGAATGACATGTATTTTGAGTATCAATATTGGCACGGATGTATGATTGGACATTATGTTGGAGCCAGTTTGTTGTGTCTTCCAGAAATCAATCATACTGAAATTTTTCCCACCTGAAGGAACCATGCTTCATAAGACATTTATGAAATTTGCTTAAGCCAAGATACCTATGGATCCAGGATGAGAGGGACTTGTGAGTATAATTTCGTTTTCTGACAATTCATCTTCAGAAAACCATTAGATGCAAATCATAGTTATCCTATTTATGTTTCATGCAGTCAATCAGGATTTAGCATATGTGTAATATTCAGTCAATTTTTAGAGTCTTTCTATGATCTGGATGTTGATATTATTAAATCTCTGGACTTTAGAGTTTGTCTCTTCTCATCGGCAGGTAACACTAGCCTTGAGGCTGCTGTGAATTGGGTAGTAGAGCATGAGAATGACCCTGCCATAGATCAGATGCCCTTGGTACGTTTTAGTTTAAAAATTTGCATGGTACTTATTGTGCTTGCAAGCGTGTTTCTCGTTAACATTAATATATACATATATAGTACTAAGACTTGTTCATGTTTATATTTATATACAACTTGTTTATGTGTAAGTTGTGCATTTAAGTTGCAATCTCTAGCTTCTCATCTGCTTGTTTGCATAGGTACCTGCAAACACCAAAGTTGAGGCTCCTAAACCTTCTCTTACACCAGAACAACTGAAAGCTAAACAGCAGGAACTCAGGTATGAAATTAAATATCAGGTCGACTTGCTTGCCATTACCTTAGGAAATGAATAAAAAAACTTCCGTTGGTTGTTCTTATTTTATCAGTTATAACACTGTGAACTGGCCGCCATGTCACCCTGTTGTGTAATGTCTGTCAGTCTCTGGATTATCATGTCTCATATCTTGTTTATTTTAAAAGTCCAGACAATGGAAAGGGAAATTTTCTATCAACCATCCCTTCTTTCTCCTTCCTTTTTTCTTTCAATTCCTTCCCTTCCTTTCTCCTCCCAACTCTCAAAACATATTCTTGTATTATATCATATTGTTGAGGCCTTTTGTTGCTTGCTAGTATCCTTTTTGTGGAATTATTTCTTGGCTTTGCTAAGCTATTTGTATGAAAACTTGAGTTGGGTGAGCACTAAAATCTATTAATTATAATCTGTCTAGTTTTGTATGCGTGAACACTTGCTTGCATATACGTGTTTATCTATCTTGGGAGCGGAATAGATATAGTTGCTGATGCTCGTACATCCAATAGCCTTGAAATCTGGCCTTTATCTTTCTTCAAGGAACTATGATTTGCACCTAGTAATTTTAAATCCAAGATGTTTTTCTTGATTTGCATTTAGTCTATTGAAATGTTTACTTTCGTAATAATCTTAAGGGAGAGGGCTCGCAAGAAGAAAGAAGAGGAAGAGAAGAAAATGGAGAGAGAAAAAGAAAAGGTACTGTGCTGTTTCATCTTTCCTTTTCTCTTATTGCCGGCTGGCTTTCATTATTAATAAATCTGGCTATTTTAATTGTTTACTCTGTAAAAATTTTATGGATGCGGGCAGAATTGATGCATACTACCCTAACTGATAACTTTTCATTAGATTTTTTCCTGTTCTATCTATATCAGTAATGATGAGCTATCATGTCTGTCATGCATGGATTCCTAGCTTTTTATATACTTGAATGAAATTTTTTGTTGTCAAAATGTGAAAAATTATTCTCTTGCAGGCCAAGGTATTTTCATATCTTAATTTTTGAGTGACAGGCCTGAAATCTAGCTGACTTTTGACTAACCCTGCCTTTGCCAAAATAGAATTATTGTCTCTTTCAAATTTTGTGGTTGATGCATAATCTCTGAAATACTACTCTTTGAAGATTACTTGTTAAGTATTTGACTTTGACCGCTATAAGGAGGTTGTTGAAATTCATGGTTAAAACAATTATATAGTTAATGGGAGGGCTTTCCCACTGGTATGCTTGCACGCACAAAGTCGCAATGTGCATCGCCATTCTTATTATTTAAACTAAACTGGATGAATCTGAATACAACAGATAATTGTCACAGAGGAAGACCACTTCTAAGATTATAATAGGGATAACTACAAGACTCCTAGATTGTGATATATTCCCTAACTTGAATGTCATAATATAAGCCCAAAAAATCTCATAATTACCTCAAACTATCTTTTATCCCTTGGCATTTCCTCTTTATTTGCACGAATTGGTCTTGAATAATTGATAGACTTTCCAACACGTCCTTTAATAATCTTAGAAAAATGAAAGGAAAAAAAATGGGAAACTAAGCCATCAACTTAATTTTACTGAGGCTACTTAAGATAGACGAGATGATGCTTGAATGACTGCCTGGTTGGCTGAAAACATGCTGTCAAGCTTTCAGAGGAAGAAGGATAAATTGATAAAAACCTGCCTACTGTAAAATAAATCAAGTCAACTGAGAACTGCCTTCAGATTCTCTGAATGCACTCCTAATTAGTGATTCCTGAGCAGCGACCTAGACTATAGAGTCTTTTAATATTTCCAACATGCCTTGTCAAGCAAAAGCATTTGAGCTTAAGATATGGACAAAGCACGTGTCCACGTTGTAACTTGTTCTGAACTTTCACTTTGACTGTTAAGAATGGGGCACGCTTGTTTAGGAGGGCTCATATTGGAGGATACCATGTCAAGGTCATTTAGACTCAAGCTGTTAAGACTGGTGATTAGTATTATCTCTATCAAACTCCTTGAAAATATTTGTTATAAATATATCTTCGTTAATGACTAATGAGTGGCCCTCTTCTGCCAATCATATTCCAACAGCAAATATTTCTTTGTTTATCCTCTTGAAGAATGTCTCCGCCCCAATTTATGCCATGCTGTGGTTGGACTAGTATATAACATCAGATTACAACAATTCTAGGTGAATATTTTCTTAAGCTTTTTTCCTTATGTGATATGTTTCCTTATTCTTTATTCTTTATTCAGGAGAGAATTCGTATAGGAAAGGAGTTACTGGAAGCAAAAAGAATTGAAGAGGAGAATGAGAGAAAACGGTCTGGCTTCTCTTGAATATCTACAATCAAGTATTGCATTTTAGCCCCCTTTTATCAAGCTTTTGCAAATTTGTTGCCTTTTGCAGGCTGCTGGCTCTACGAAAAGCTGAGAAAGAGGAAGAGAGAAGGGCTAGAGAGAAAATCAGGCAGAAATTGGAGGAAGACAAGGTCTGTGTTTTTAATTGTTTTATTATTTTTAGTACCACCTTTTTCTTAGAAAGCTATTAGAAAATTATAGCATATATCTAACTTCAAATTTGAGTTCACACCTTTTTAACGCATCTTTCTACATTTTTATTGGAAGACTTGAAGTGTACATTGAGAACTGGCATGGCAATCGGAAAATTAAAAAAATTTGTAATTGGCAGACTTCTGTATAACATCATTTTGTTACTATATTGTGACAGGCTGAAAGAAGGCGAAGACTTGGATTACCTCCTGAAGAACCATCGGCTCCCAAACCATCAAATGTCGTGGAGGAGAAAAAGGTATGAGCCTATCTGCCGTATAACAGTAGTTTTTCTCTTTTAAGAATTTAAAAAAAAAAAAGGATGTATTGATTTTAAACCTTGAAATTTCTATACTCAGAGTTCATTGCCAGTTCGGCCTGCCACAAAAGCTGAGCAAATGAGAGAGTGCCTGCGCACTCTCAAGCAGAACCACAAGGTACATTCATATGTGACTTACGATTTATGATACGTTTATGTGCAAAATGCAAACATGTGGAGCTTAACATCCCCAACAAGCTTTGCCTTCCTAAGCTAAGGTTTTTTCTTATCTAAATGCTTATTGCAATTCACTGAATCATTATGGACCATGTTTTTCAAGAAATATACGGCCGGATTGACTGTCATGTCCAATATTCTGATGTTATTACAGGAATAATTTTCCCACAGTTAATATATAGCTAATAAAGAAACGTGCCCTCTTAGTATTTCTAGCAACCATATTTAACCACGTTGCATGGTCAAAAACTAAAATGATTCCATGAGTTTTTCAATTAGATTATAGGAATGCAGTTCCCCCCCCCCCTAAAGGTTTAATGATGGCCCACAGTTTGTTGAAATCATTTTTTGAACCGCACGCAACACATAACCATTTTCTTGAACTTTCTAGTGCTTTCATTTTAATCATATTATGCGGCCCTGCGATTATATCATGTCCACTGCAATTTGCGGTATAATATGATTGTTTTTTTTTTCCCCAAAAGTATCATGATGCATGATGATATGTTAACATTTTATTGCCTGTTCTGTGATAACTTTAGTGGGCCCTCTGCATAGAGTTTGAGATGGATAACACTACTCCCAACTGTAACTAGTGCAACTCCCTAAACGTTTTCTGTTTTTATATCTTATAGTCATATTTTTTATATCTTCTGACCAATTATTAGGACACATTTATACTACATAATTATTTATGCTTGAATTAGGATGATGATGCAAGAGTAAAGAGAGCATTCCAGACACTACTAACTTATGTGGGGAATGTTGCCAAAAGTCCCGACGAGGAAAAATTTAGAAGAATAAGACTTAGCAACCAAACTTTTCAGGTAAGTAACTTTACGGGCATCTTGAGCAAATTTTATTTAGGTCTAGCTTGAGTTATACGTTCATGGAAAAAAAAAAATTAAGTGTATTTCTACCAAAAAAAATAATAGAATGGTGTAGGCTTCAACTTACGATGCCGTGTGTGGGATGGTTCCCTACTCTGTTAAAGCTCAAACATTGTGAGATCTTTCTTGTTTATAGTGTAAAAGCAGGATGATGCATGCATATACGATCCAGGACTTGCGTGCATCTGGATCGTTAAAAGAGAAACTGTTGTGAAATCATGTCATACTCAGTAAAGGCCTGCGTAATAGAGAAGTCAAAATATTTGCTTGCGGCATAGATGAGCATGTTCTTGCTATAATTTGCTAGTTAGTAATGTTCATTCCTTGACTCGAACAGGAAAGAGTTGGTGCCTTGAAAGGGGGAATTGATTTCCTGGAAATTTGTGGGTTTGAGAAAATCGAAGGGGGAGAGTTTCTGTTTTTGCCTCGGGACAAGGTTGACAAGGCAGTCCTCAATTCTGCTGGGTCCGAACTCGACTCTGCAATCAAAAATCCCTTTTTTGGAGTTCTTTAGTCCATATCTTACAGACAACTGTAATATCGTTACTCTAGGCTGGAAACTCAGCTTTTGATGTTTCGAGATAGAGGAGAATTCTGACTTCTTTGAAACTTCTGCCCGTGGTTTTATGTTTGATTCTCAGGCACGTACTGAAACTTATCCTTCCCTTTGTAACAAGAAATTTCGAGAGAAATGCGGATATGTACACACATTTTTCCATTTGTGCAAAGCACTTGTTATTACAAAGCCATGTTTCATAACGATTTTTTGGCTTGGATTACTTGCAATCATTTTGTGGTCTACCGAAGTCCTGATCAATTCATATTTGTCAGCCTCCTGCTAGTTTACCAGTAATCTTGACATGAACACTCACCGCCTTCGAAATGATGAAAGCGATATGCGTCTCTCACTATGATCACCCGATCTGATATCTTGGAGACATGCTTAATCCAGTTGTGGCAATCACCACAAACGCGAAGATTCTTAAAAACACGCACAGGACTGGAGCTGGACAAGCAAAGCAATCCAAAAGCAATTGCCAGTTTCTCGCTGTGAATAATTTGCGTTGGGTCTTTCTGCTCTCGCTCTGCATCACTCAAAAGGCTATTTCTCTGTGGCTCATAACCATTGTCAGCTGCCCGCTCATCAAGATCTCTGAGACGAGCATAAATCTTATCTACAAGTGGATGAAGCTGATCACCAGCAAAAAATGCATGAATTGAGTTATTAACTTCTATCCAGCTACGCCCAGGCTCTTTCTTAACACCTCTATCTTTCATCATTTGCCTTGCCCGGTCCCTGCAACCCCATTTCCCAGTTATTGCGTACATATTTGATAATAGAACATAGGTTGCCGAATCTTCAGGTGCTAGTTCCAAAAGATGGCGCGCTGCAAACTCTCCAATGTCAATATTCTTATGAATAGTGCAAGCACTTAAAAGAGTCCTCCAAATCATTGCGTCTGGTTGAATTGGCATCGTCTCTATAAATCTTTTTGCACGACTTAAAAGACGTGCCCGACCAAGAAGATCTACGACACAAGCATAATGTTCAGGTTTAGGCACCAAGTTGTGCGCTTCAATAATTGATTCGAAGTATCTAATTCCCTCATCTACCAAGCCCACGTGGCTGCAAGCCGATAATACTCCCACAAAGGTTACATGATTTGGCATGACACCAAGCTGTTTCATATCCTCAAAAAGACTAAGTGCTTCATATCCAAGACCATGTTGAGAATATCCTGTAATCATGGAATTCCAAGAAACTTCATTCTTTTCAGGCATTTCAAAGAATTGCCTTTTGGCATCATTGATGTTACCGCACTTTGCGTATAACGAGATCAAAGCATTAGAAACCTCAATTTCTGAATCATAACCAGTTTTTTTAATCATAGCATGAATCTGCACCCCTACTTTTATGTTTGCCATATTGGCAGCAGCGCTAACTGCAGAGCCAAATGTGAAGAAATTGATTTCTACCTCAGATTGATGCATTTTAGCAAATAGACTCAGTGCATCCTCAAAATGTTCACTTTGAGCGAAGCCCGATACCAATGAGTTCCATGATACATTATTTTTATCAAATATTTTTTCGAAAGCTAAGTATGCTTCACGTACTTTCCCATTCCTAGCATAAAGAGTAACAAGTGCATTACCAACTGAAAGATCATTCGAGTAACCAGAGATGCATGATTGAGCATGAATCTGCCGTCCGAGATCAAGTGCTTGAATGCCAGCGCATGCGCTGATTGCACTAGCAAATCCTATGTTATCAGATTGGATCCCTCTATCTTGCATTTCTTTGAAGAGCTTAAGAGCGTTGGTATGCATATCATTTTGTGCATACCCAGCAATCATGGCTGTCCAAGAAACCACATCATCTTCTTTGAGTCTTCGTAGGATTTTCAGAGCAGTATCTAGCTTCCCATGCTTAGCATACATATCAATAAGCACACTAGAGACATACACATTGAACTGAAAGCCAGTTTTTAATGCTTGAGTATGAATCTGTTCTCCCAGATCAAGCGCCCCCAAAGAAGTGCATGTTCTTAAAATGCTTGGATAAGTAAATTGATTAGGTTCAATGCCTTTTATCAGCAGTTGTCTAAATATGTCAAATGACTCATTTAGATTATCAAGTTGGCCATAAGCCACGAGCATCATGTTCCACAGCACCACATTTTCAGTTTCTGATGTGAGGAAAAATTCATGGGCAGTCTCAATATCCGAGCATTTTACATAAAGATCAACTAATGAACCCTCCAAGATTATGTCTGAAGACATTCCTGCTTTAACTGCAAATGAATGAAGTTGTCTCCCCTTGAGCAGATCCCCAACTGATGCACATGCACTTAAAAGACATGCAACTGTTACACAATCTGGTTTAAGGCAATCATGATACATTTTTTTAAACAACTCTAAAGCTCTGTCACTGTATCCTTGCTGAGCTAGACCTGAGATAAGTGAGTTATATGAAACCCGATCCCTGTGAAACATATCATCAAAAACCTGTTCTGCAGATATCAAATTTCCCTTGCGAGAATACAATGAAACAAGAGCATTGCAAACATACATTTCAGAAGAAAGCCCCATCTTGACAGCCAGACCATGGACCTGCTCTCCGAACTTGAATAGTTCTATTTTGGTACAAGCACTTAGCACACTTGAAAGTGTATAAGGAGTGGGGAAGATTCCTGAACTATGCATCTGGGTGTATAGAAGAATGGCTTCTTCTTCAAACTTGTTTTGAGATAAACCAGATATCATAGCCACCCAAGAGACGCTGTCCCTTGTTTGTAAATTATCAAAGACTTTCTTGGCAGAATTCACAAAACCATTTTTGAAGTAAATTTCAATCAAAGGGTTACATATCAGGGTGCTTGTTTCAAAACCATGAGTTATGATCCTAGCATGTAATAGCTCCACATAACTGAGAGGAACATCATTACCACCACATGCCCTCAAAACCCCTGCAAAAGTTTTCTCATCAGGTTTAACCATTTCATCTATCATTGCCCGAAAAAGACCTGGAACCAGATTGCTTAACTTCTTGGTGACAGATCCTCTAATCAATTTATTCCAGCATGACACAGCTCTAGTCGGCATATCGTCAAAAACCTTGATTGCGCCATTTAAATCATCAAAAGAAATGTACACATCCATGAGTTGATCACACAAGCTCTGTTCTGCATAAAAGCCCAATTTTAAAATCTTCCCATGAAGCCTCCAGGAATCCATACGAGACCCAGAGTTTAGACACCCTTGCAGCAACCATAAATAGGTTTGACAATTAGCTCGAATTCCACGATCTTCCATAAGAAGTAAGAAATCAATATCCTTTGTTTCCCTTTCATTTTGTTGCCCAGGAAGTTCATCGTAAGGATAAGAAAGCGCAGTGTTACTGACAGCTGCCAAACTAAATCTCCTCACATTTCCACATGTGAACTTAAAATCAAGGGAAAGAGAGGAACTTAAGCCTTAAGAATCTCATAAATAACCAAAAACCAAAGCCAATGAATCGTTTAGCGTACATTACCTTGAGTTTCTTTCTGTTGAGCTTCGCGCAAATTTGAGGCCCAAATTTGCACGGGAAAGGACTGAACTTGGAACTTAAGAAGAATCTGTGAATAGAAAGGGGCGTGGGACGCATAAAATGCTGAGGCAACATGTAATGCGAACACGGTTTGGTGCTTTCACAAACATGAAAGCAGACTTCCGGTCCTTCCAAGAGGCATTCGAAGTCTCGGTGTCCCGCCATATCTCATCCACAAAAAGTCACGAGACATCTCTGTAGCAACACCGGTATCCTCGACAACAGCGTAACTCATCCAAATCAGATAGTCTGAGAATGAACAGGAAGGGGTCGCAGTGCAAAGCCAGAAGGAGGAATTAGGAAGTGTTTTGGGGTAACCCAGAAATACCTTATCGTAAATTTTTTATAAATCAGAAAAGAAATTTCTATATATTTATTTTATAAAAATATTTTTAAAATATGATTTTATTAATTTATTCCTAACCAAAGCCTCTTTTAACGCGAGACCTCGACGCGCAATCTCCCCAGAGGTTTTGGTCCACTTAGCCGAAACGACACCGTCTCTGTCTCCGCAGCTGCGCCGTTCTACCGTTATGTTCAACAAATTGAGAGTATGATCAGCAGGGGTTAATGAGAACGATGTCGTGCACTTCCCTTTCAAAATACGATTATTACATTAACATATTAATTATATTATTAAATTTTTGTGTTATTAGTACTTTAAATAAATTAATTTAAAGAAGTAAATAAGGGTATAACCGTATAAGAAAATTTTTTAATAAATATTAATTTGAACTCTTAAAAGACACACACATATATATAAAGCAAAATAAAAAAATCCGCCAAAGTGCATGCATATACGTGGGAAAGATGGTAATTTGATTGTCTATAATTTATAAATTATAAACCTATCAAACACGAAAGGCAATTTAACAAGTTGTTTGCTCTTTTTCTTTTTTGGCCTGGAAACAATTTGTTTGCTTGTTGCGGCCTGGGAATTGAAGTTTTTATTTATTGATGAGATTATTAAAAGGGTAGCATGTATGATCTGAAGCGAAGAGCATGCGGCTCCAAATAGATTAGGTGAGGAATTTGAATTTGGCTGTGCATTATTAAAAAAAAAAAAGAAATCAAGAAACGCGGTCTTTGCGCTTCACAAAAAGTTCGGTTGATTGACATTTTTCATGTTATCATGGATATGTATTAATTAATATCGACTTTAAACATGTATGTTAAAAAAGACCGTGATGATTCAATTTAAATGAAGACTTGATTCTCTAAAAAGAAAAATCCTTATTATGAGACCAGATCAGCGATGCTTGAAAAAAGGAAAACAGATTTTTATAACAAAATTACAAAATACTCTTCTGGGATCTTATATTTAGAATTGAAAGAATATTATAATATTATTGCTTGGATGAACCCTGATGACCGAATAAACTAATTAGTTGTGACAGGTATGATCTATCAATCTTCGCTATCACACAGCAGTAAAATTTTAAAAATTTACAGATTGATATGCTAGAGTTTTGATATATTGTTGAGCCAAAATGACATTATACTCCGTGAACTTCTATATTCATTCTCACTAGAAACTACAATTAGACTTCACCAAAAAAAAAAAAAAGAAACTACAATTAGATATAAATATTTTTACATGTTCCAATTAAATTATATTATTTTAATTGATCTCACTCTAATTAGACGACCAATTAAAACACTAGCATCTGAGCGCGGTTCAGTTTAAGCACTTACTCTGAACTCGTTCACGCGCCGTTCTCATCGAATGTTATTATGAATTCTTTGACTCTCCCCTTCGTCCCTCTGCACTAGCTCGCTCCCTCGCTATATATAAACAGCAGAGCCTATCAGCCCTGAAGAACAGACACAAGTCACTAAATTTTTTTCCTGGGATTCTTTTCATGCTTCTGTGCATCGAATGAATCCATCCTATCATGGGCTTGAATCTACTAACTGCTCTATCTCTCTTGCTTTCTCTAAGCTTGGTGGATGTTGGAGCTGACATACCGACCACTCTGGATGGACCCTTCAAGCCTGTGACCGTTCCTCTCGACCAGAGCTTCCGAGGACAATCCGTGGACCTTCCAAATTCGGATCCTCTGCTTCAAAGAAAAGTCGAAGAATTTCATCCCGAACAAATCTCCGTTTCTCTTTCCTTCAACTATGATTCTGTTTGGGTTTCTTGGATCACTGGTTCGCCTCTTCTTCCATTTACTGACCGTTTGCTTCCATTTTTGTCTTCTCATTAAGTGGGGTCCATTTTCAAACGATAGCTTCAGGAAAATGGTGTCACGTGAATATAGACGTTAGTTGCGGCACTATGAGATGTCCACCACACTTTTAGAGGCTTGAATTGAATGTGAATTACCAAAGTCTGTCTCTTTAAATCCTATGGGCTGAACAAGTCTCTCTTTTAATTCCCAACATTAATGTTGCTCATATTTGAATGCGTTCAGAAATAAGACTGGGGGCATTCTTTCGGCCATAAACTCAACTGGTTTCGTACGTTAATTCAAGCCTATGGTTCGAATTATGCATTGTATAGTAAATATCTGGTTCGATTGTGCTTGCAGGAGACTTCCAGATTGGACACAATATAGAACCATTGGATCCTAGTTCGGTTGCTAGCATAGTTCAATTTGGAGAATTCGGAAAGCCGATCACTGAGGAAGCCGAGGGCTATTCCCTCGTTTACAGCCAACTTTATCCTTTTGAAGGCCTTCGAAACTACACTTCTGGAATTATTCATCACGTTCGTCTCACAGGTATTATTTTTTAACTGATTTCTTTATTTATCTCACAAGTTCCTTTTTCCCCTCTTCCTCTTTCATCTAAAATCTAGTATCATTTTGTAAACTTGGTCCAACTAGATGTCGTTGTCTTAAAAAGGAAGAAAACTTGTTATGCCTTCGCATTTTTGCCACTCATTCACAAGGGCTTAAACCTTGTTCATGAATCATAATTGATTTAGCAGTGCCTGAAGATATTGGCTAATTTCAGAAGTACGTTGTGTTTGCTGGCAGGGTTAAAACCCAACACACTATATCAGTATCAATGCGGAGACCCAAACCTGGCTGCAATGAGTGGTGTTCACTATTTCAGGACCATGCCAGTTTCTGGCCCCAGCAACTACCCTAGCAGGATAGCAATTGTTGGAGACCTTGGTCTTACGCATAATACCACATCTACTGTGAATCACATGGCCATCAACATCCTGAACTGATCCTACTGGTTGGGATATTAGTTGTGCTAATTTGTATCTTACTAATGGAACTGGGTCAAATTGCTACTCCTGCACATTTTCTGATACTCCCATCCACGAAACCTATCAGCCACGTTGGGATTACTGGGGAAGGTAAATTTTACTTTGCCTGATTTGTTGTATCAACGCACTTCTCAGAAAAATAAAATACTTTTAGTTGGTTGCATGTTAATACTTGTTACATGAACCTAGACGTGAATTTGGACGCCTAAGAGCAATGAGAAGCTGAAGTCCGATAATTAATTTTTTGTGTTCAAATGTATCGACAAGGATCTGATTAATCTTGGTTACTGTCATCAGGTTCATGGAGCCTCTCATTTCTTCTGTTCCAGTAATGGTGATAGAAGGGAATCATGAGATAGAACCACAAGCTGAAAACCAGACATTTGTCTCTTACAGTTCTCGATTTGCATTCCCATCTGAGGAGAGCGGATCATCATCCACATTCTACTATTCTTTCAATGCAGGGGGAATACATTTTATAATGCTTGGTGCCTACATATCATATAACAAATCTGGTAAACTCGGCTCACACTTTTTCCATTTTTCATTCTGCATATCATATCATATAACATCTTGCTGCAACTGTTTCATCGTTGCCTTCTCCTCTCTTTTGGCAGGAGACCAGTACAAGTGGTTGGAGAGAGACCTGGCTTCTGTTGATAGAGAAGTAACCCCCTGGTTGGTAGCTACATGGCATCCACCTTGGTACAGCACCTACAAGTCACATTATAGAGAAGCAGAGTGTATGAGGGTAGAGATGGAAGATTTGTTGTATAGATATGGTGTTGATGTGGTTTTCAATGGACATGTAAGTGTGTTTTTATTTTCCTTGACCCTACTTCCAAAAGGTCCTGTAAGTACTTAAACTTTCAGAGGAAGTAACATGAGAATGCGTAAGCAAATTTCATATGGGAACATTGGACAGGTACATGCGTATGAAAGATCAAACCGAGTCTATAACTATACATTGGATCCCTGCGGTCCTGTTTATATCACAGTTGGTGATGGTGGTAACTGGGAAAAGATGGCAATCACACATGCCGATGAACCTGGAAACTGTCCAGAACCATCAACTACACCAGATGACTTCATGGATGGCTTCTGTGCCTTCAATTTCACGTCAGGTCCAGCAGCGGGTAAATTCTGCTGGGAACGGCAGCCTGATTATAGTGCGTTCAGAGACAGTAGCTTCGGTCATGGGATTCTCGAGGTCTCTCTCTTGCATAATTGCACTTCATACGATCATCTTTAACTATTTATCAGTTTTGAGCAGCATCCCGCTTGTTTGATTTAATTTGATTTCCCAAGGTATGAATCATTTGAATAGAACTATGAGTAACAGGTTAGGTTACATGCAGGTGAAAAATGACACTCATGCGTTGTGGACATGGCACCGTAATCAGGACTTGTATAACGCTGCTGGAGACCAGATATACATTGTCAGGCAACCTGAAAAATGTTTAGCGAAACCACAGGTACATAAAACATTCATATCTTTCATTTTGCCTGTTGATAAATAAGCCCTTTACATTCAGACCACAGAAAAAATGGAGATTCAGAGAAGGGGTTTGGAGCCTGGTGGAGTTGTTGAGAGATTGCAGATTGCTCCTCTTTAAGAATTACCTGAAACAACAAATTTTATTGACAGCATGGAACCTCAGGTTCCCAACAAAATAATGAATTTCAGTGTCATGATTTGAATAGAATTTTTCACCTCGACAATTTTTTCCTTTGGTTTTCTAGGATCCTTGAGGAGTCAGCTCAAAAATTTAACTTGGAAAAATACAGAACAAGGAGGCAAGTTGAAGAACAGAGGAGGCAGAGGTATATATTTAACATGTCAGCGGGTTTGAGAAACCAGATTTATGGATAAGCGTTAACAATAATCCGGCATTTTTCAAAAGATATTTTCACAGAAAATGTAACTATTGACCCATTGGAAAGTTACGTGTTAGAGGTAAAAATAAGGGTTTAGATCTCAGGTCTAACTCACGCGAGTCCCACTTTCTGTTTTTTATATGTAAAAAATGTGCTCATATTGCATTTCCATAGCAGTAAAGTGTTATAGTCAAACTTGCGCCTCACTCATTGGATTTATGATTCGCGTATTCATTATGTTTCCATTCTTGTCTTTGTTCCAACAGTTACCCAGTTCTTTATTTTGTAACAATTCCGAGTACTCATGGAAGCACGCATTAAGAAAAATACTGAATAATATACTAATACTGAAGTGTCTGTGAAATACTGAAATATGATATCTGTAAGATAACATTTTTTTTAAGGGAAAAAAAACTATTTGAATTGATTTTCTTCTTCTGTTTGTGTTTTTTTTTGGGGGGGGGGGGTAACAATCTAGAATTCCTGGTAAAGGCCTAGCTACAACCCTACCTATGCTCATGTCCCCTGAACAGCCAACCTTATTCATAACCTTAAAAATGGAGTATTTAAGAGCAGATATATTTCAGACGCAGCCGCGCAAAGCTGTGTGGTTATGAACAAGAAGAGGCTTCTCTGAACTCTTGACAAAACTTTCACCGTCCATCTCTCCCCGAAACCCTGCTACGCCATGATGAGTAGGAAAGGAACAGGAAAAGAGGAAAAGAATAAAACTAAACTGGCGGAGGCCGTTAACAATGTTGCTCTGGAATTGTCAGGCACAGGAGACGTCATCCCCGGATTGATTCCGCCGCCGGCGCCCCCACCGTAGAAGGGTGATGTTGTGGTCGGAGTTGGCACATTTGGGTTCATCAACGGCGGTGTTGTGATTGGTATATTCGTCCCTCCAGCCGTGCTACACATTATATATATATGTATCAGTATCAGATACTCTAGTTTAAAAATGGCACTTAAAGTTTGTCGGTACTCATTAACAAAGGAAAAGCATGCTCCTAGCTGGTTTAGTACAAAAATCGATTTCATTAGACCAAACTTGCAGTTAAATGTTCTGCTTTGGACGACAAACCACCGACGTTAATGAACAAAGAATGCAGCTTTATTTGAGACCTAACAATGAATTTGAGCCGTTAGATCTCATTATACCAAATGCTTTATTTAGTTCAATGGCGTCGCACACTGTCAGATGACAGTCAAATTGAAAAGTTTAAAACTGAGCGCTCAAACTTCAAAGATGTTTTGGAAAACCAGGCCGACCCCCGATGCTGGTTTTCGATTCAAGATAACTAGCAACTACAAAACAACGTCTATAAGAATGGTGGGGTTAGGAGGATCCGTGATCCATCCATGCACGAAGCCATGTGTCACAATGTGACCCACGCACCTCCCTCGCTTCACATCCAAACGAAATCGGTCCCCCTTGTCTCTGTCTTAGTCCAGAAAACAAAGCCCAGGTTCTCAGGCTGTCTCTTGTATCATAATGTGGGACGAGGCCATTGGATCCGGAAAGTGAGGGGGGGGGGGAGAAAAAGGAAGACAACATAACAACGGAGAATCCATTTTCTTGTATATCAAGGAAGACCCGAAAGTGTTTTTTTTTTTTTTGGGGGGGGGGGGGGGAAGCGTCCGTAAGCTCCCACAGTTCAGTTCACTTAAACACAGCCTAAAGCACGTAAATCCCAGAAGAAACAGGAGAGCATACCTGGAAGAAGTCGGGTACACACAAGATCCATAGCCTACAGACACAAGAAGATTTATAAATGAGCGAAAGAAAAAGTAAGGGAAAGCATGCATGGGTAGATAGATAGAAACTAGAAAGAAAGAAATAAAGGTTTTGAAGATAAACAGTACTGGGGTCAGTCTGGGCAATGGTGGCAGTGCCGGCGAAGTCGCAAGAGCCAGGGGCGCGGGTCTTGCGCTGATAGTAGCTGTTGAAGGCGTAGGAGGCGTGAGCTTGGATGGTGTTTGGGAGGAAACAGAGGCCGTCGGACTGAATGGGATGGCAGTCGGCTCCGGCGCCGCATGCGTAGTCCAGAGCGGTTTGGAGAGCCTGGCTGCTAGCGTCACTTCTGGCAACACACCAGCTGCCTCCTCCGCCTCCCAGAACTTGGCCTTGGACGGCCATGCAGAGAGCGGCGGCAATGGAGACCAGAAGAGAGAGGGCAGGTGGTGGAGCCGCCGCTGGAACTGCCATTGGAAGAGAGAGTTATAAGCGGCGAGTGGGTTGTGATTTTGCTTAGTTGGTAAAGGAAGAGAGAGAGAAAGGGAGGCGCTTCAGAGAATAAGAGCAAAATATTAGGAGTGAGGATGGATGCGGAGCCTGTCTGCCTCGGTCGGAAGCCTCTTTTGCTTTCTTCCTTCCCCTTCACTTTTCTCTTTTCTTTTATGATATAATAGTAATGGGAGTCTGAGTCTCGTAAAATGAATAAGTAGGATATATCGAAGAGCATCAAACATCCAAGTTGCCGTTTTTCTTTTCCTTGCCCTGTGAATTTCTTTCTGTAAAGAAAGAGTAATGAAAAGCAGAAATTTAAAAAAAACAAAAACAAAACAAGAAAACAAAAGGAAGGAATGGTTCCCAGCGTTCTCTGTGTCTCTGATACGTCATGTACGTTCGTTCTGCAGTTAGTCCTTTTGAGTGCAAAAGAGGGTCCTCATCCCTCTGTATCTCTGTCTTCCTGTCACTCAGGCTTTGCTCAATATTTCATCATTTTGATTTTATTTTATTAAGAAAATGGGGCGAAAAAAGTTCAGAGTTTAAACACACAAAAGTTACCACATACCTAAATGTCGTGAGGAAAAGTTATGAGGCCAAATGATAATAATAACAACTACTCACAGATTATAACTCTTTTTTTTCCTTCAAGGTTAGGAGAATCTTGCTAATTTTCAGTATATGAGAAGTAAAAAGAAAACCCAGTTATGAATTTTTTATTATTAGATCTCTAAAAATATTTTTTTTATTATTTTGATCTTTTGTGATATATATATTGCAAAACAAAGCATCGAATATAATGTAACTAGGAAAAATACACCGGAGCCTTGAGATTTAAGTAGATAATCCAATGTTACTTTAGAGAAGTTGGGACGTCAATGGATTGATTTGGGGTTAGGAGGGGAATTGCATCAAGAATATCTGCTACTGAGACATTTGCCCTTATATCCATTCCTCTTTTTTTATTTTTCCACTGCGATATTAAAAATAATTCTATTAAAAACATCATTAGGCATTAAATATAGATATTTCTCACAGTGGGTATTCAAACATTGGTTAATAATATTATAAGGACCTGGCTTTTTTTTTAACTAGATTCAATCCAGGCAATATATTCATCCCCGCCAACAACCCTCATGCAATATTCCTCGATCCATGACTTCCATTCAAAAATTTTATGAGAAAATTGTAATAGGATCCCATCTAAGATAATTAAATACCAAAAGGTCCTTTCAAATCATCTAATTATTCTGAAGTCTCAATAGACCTCATTGTAAGAAATTTTATTTGTTTAATTATCAAATTGTCCTTATTATTTTTTTAAGTATGTATTAAAAACTGAAAGAACAGTTATTAAAAACTTAAAGTGTAACGATTAACAGCTATCGTGGTAGGTATTAACAACATGTTTTCTTAGTGCATCACAGAAATGTAATGCATGATTTGATAATATCTATCATGATAGTTGTTAATCATTACAGTTTAAGTTGTCAAATACTGCACTTTCAGTTGTCAATGCATACTTTAAAAAAAAAAGTAGTTTGGTAATTAAACAAATAGAATATCTTACAGTGAGATCCCTTAAAACTTCAGATTAATGTGATGATTTTAAAAGATTTTTTTGTATTTAATTCTTTTAAGTGGGATCTTATTGTAACTTTCCCAAATTTTATCACCAATTTCATGTTACATTCAGCTTATGGGCTGCCATTTGCTTTGTCTAATATGATGGGCCAAGCCCATTTCAAGATATGCCCAGCTCTCATAACGCGGTTTGCTTTCTTTGCAGATCAAAACAACCTTTACCCAGAAAAGAAAAGGAAAATCAATTCATGTATTGCAGATCAAATGATCAAAGGTGGCCCCATTTTCCTTCCCAACATTCTGCTGGTTTTTGGGTGGGACTGTGAATTAATTAGAGTAAAATGCCTGTGCGTCTCTATTAAGATTTGGCTACATGATCAAACCCACAGGATTGAAATGCACTGCACATGACATGAGGGGGAATATACTTATGTTGATATTAGGAGGGCTATTTTTGTTTGAATTTGATAATACTTAAATCTGACTTTAAAACATCACATATGAAACCATCATGTCGAAAATGAATGAACACAAGTTATGACCAAAAAGGCTTAGTTAGTATGACCATCTCTCTTGTTCTTGTAAGGATAGAATCGATATATTGTCCTAAGCATATCTAGATTGTCTATATTAAATTCTGTGCGTTTTATATTTATTTATTTTAAATTTTAAATTTGAAAAACACACACGCACAAACACGCAGTTTTTTAAAACAAGGGGGCAGAAAGTGTTTGTAAAGCAGCATGAAGTAAAAAGAGAAAATGAAAGAAAAGTCAACTTCTATCTCAAAGCGTGATTATTGCTAATCAAGAGCAACCTTATCATTACTTCCCTCACAAACCCGTCAGAATGGACATTATAAATGTGTCCATTTATCTTGCATTTCCATGTCTACACGATAAAAAAGATGGGAAAAGAAAGTGGAATTGCACGTGAGTGCAGATACATTTAAATCCCGTTTGCATATAAACATGATTCCATTCAGAATATAATCAAGCCAATTCTAAAGCAAATGTACAGGGAAAAGACAAGAACTAACAAATTTTTTTGCAAAATAAAAAAAAAGGTCAATGTATAGAAAATCTATTATGCATCGTGGCCATGATTTTATATCATATATTGATCATATTGGCTAAAAAAATGAACAGAGGCAGGCTTATGATGGATTCCACCGAAGAACTCACGGGCAGATCTAAATTGATCACGGGCAAGAAGCAATAAAGAATTTGCATAATTCTAAATTCTAATTAATTTGTCCCGTACTCACGGGTTGTTAAAGGAGGAACCATAATTGGGGAAATGGAACGTGCGTTCTCGTTTTTTTTTTTTGGGGGGGGGGGGGACGTGAGACAGTGAAAAGTCAGGCCGCTATTTTTCCTTGAATACAAATTCACAATGACGAAAATTCAACAATAATATTTGAGTATCGGTACATATACTACAATTCATATATATGGTCTTTCATAATTCAAAATAAATGAAATTTATAATTTCAAGGCACGTCGATAATCTTTTTCAACAGGGTGTCTGGGCTTTTATAATAAAAGACAACTTACAAACGATGTCTTATAATTAACCGGGATTAGTATTATGGCAGTAGCATAGTTTAAAGCATAATTCACACTTTATTATTTTGGAACTCTGTCCACGTTTCATCTTGACTAGGAGAGGCAAGGACCGCCAACACCCGCTAGATCTGTACCCATACACATAATATGTATTCAAAATTTGAGTGGCAATGGCAAACAGTTAATAAGTACTCTGAAATTGTCTTTCATTAAAAAAAAACAATTGATAAGTGGCGAATCAATTAAATTTTAAAGAGTAAGGTGCTTGCTTTTATAATTAAAAATGCAAATAATAAAAAAATATGTTAGAGACAAATTAAAATTTTTTGAAAGAAAGTGTAGTGGAAATTAGTGTTTTTAATCATTCTTTGTTTGTTTATTTATTTTTCGGTTTTGTATTGATTCATTTAGTGAAACAGCTGTTATGAAAACAAAAAGGCTTTGGAGACGATACACCAAATAATTGGAACTTTGGACAGGACAGGACAAGCCTAGACACCCCATGCTCTCGCGGAATCTTGTGCCTCCTGCCGCCAACAGTTATCTATTTGAACCACCAATAAGGGTTCATGTTAGGTCTAATAAAAAATATTAGTCTTTCATAACGTGACAAATTAAAATTAAAATTTTTATTAAGGGAGGTACACACGTTTAGTATCTAACAGTACTTTTAACAGGATTACCTCTAATAGGATACTTATGCCTAGCAACAACCAAAAAAAAAAAGAGTTAATTTAATCAATAAGGAATGAGTTTATAATCTACAAGGTCATGAGTTCGAATTCTCTTGTTAGTAAATACCTCTATAAGTACTTTTTGAGTTTGAAAGAATAATCTGGCCCTAATGAGTCCCCATACCTAACTTTCCTCCACTCTTTCTTGTCTAGGAAAAGAAAAGTTGCCTATTTGAACGTTTCTAAAATGAACTTTATATGAGATATAGCAGAATAAGGAACGGCTCAATTTGCAGGTCACGTAACTATTCAATGGTAGTATGGGACTGCTCTGAGATTTCGCATGGTTTTTTATTTTATGTTTGAAATAATTATATCTATCTATTTCCCAATTTAAAGACAGTCGTTTTGGGCACACATGTTAAGGTCATTCAATATTTTCCATTGAATGTGTGTGTATTTCGATGGATTTTGGAGAGTATCCATGTTGAATCATTATGTTGATATTCTTTCCTGCTAACAATACTTTATAAATAACAAACATTATCCAATCCAAACTAGATGGCGTAGTTTTTTTTTCTTTCCCCTCGAATGGGGGAGTTAGTTTTGGAAAAGGGGAAAAAAAAGCGCAGTCATTCAGTGCTCATTAAAGCAACACTTGGTTTTGAATTAGTGAAAATAATCATGGCTTTTTATTTTCAGCACCGTGTCAGTTGTTCGGTGGTCGGATGTTCCCTCATCTGAAAGAAATAGTAGTTCGCCTTCTTCTAAATTTCCTAGAGGGAGCAGAGATGGGTTGCTTGGGATAGAGGAGGAGAAACGAAGAGAGTGCTTGGAAATAGAGGGGGAAAAAGTGAGAGAAAGATTGTTATCAGCTCAGCAAGGGGCAGAAGGCCAAAAAAGAAATGGAACACCCAAGAGTTCGACAAGAAGGTGGTAAAATTTTCACTGATCTTCTCTCGCTGAATAAAACAAGCCTGGTGATTATTTCATATGGTTGTTAATATAAAAGTTAGAGGTGATTTGGTTTTTCTCCAAACACAAATTTTTTTCTCTCATATACTTATTTTATATATCGTAAAATCATTTTTAAAATTATAATTTAGTTTCTATTCAAATACTCTTTTAGTTGGATTTTTAACTTAATCCTAAATACTACAAGACCCGGTTCTTTTTATTTTTAATATTTATCCATCCCTCTCTAAATAACCCATATAGTTATTGCACATATTAAAAAGTTTTTATCGAAGACAACTCAAAGACACATTTTAAGAAAAACATTGCTGATTTTTTATCGCTAAATAATTTGGTGACTTTTTTTTAAAATTTTTTAAATTAACCATCTGACTTTTATATTAATACTTGATGCGGAATTCAGTAAACTATACACACAAGCTAAATTGAAGGCAAGCATACAAACCAGGGCGTATGACTACAATTTATGAATAACCACCATACATTGGATGAGTTGTTGCCGCACACAATGAAAATAAAATTGAATAAAAGATTTTTTTTAAGTTTAGAGTTAAATATAGAAAGATAATGCTACATCCTATCCTAATTATAAGATCTACTTTGTGATATAATGTATATTATAAATCAGATTTTATAATTAAGACTAAATTTTATTATAATTTCAATTTTTATGATTTTATTTTAATTTTGAATATCTGATGTTTTTCTTTTTTTCTTTTTAAATATATGATGTTCTTTGTCGTGCGTTGGAACTTTATGTTGAATGATACATGGAATCCCCAAATAGGAAGAGGGCTTGAAAACTAGGAAGAAATATGAAACTTTTGATAAGATCATGCTAAATCAAGACATTAAAATAAAGAGGAGGAAGAAGAAGAATAATTCGAATCTTAATGAACGGCGGAGAGTATTTGGAATTTCACGGTTTAGATTTCTCTACAGTAATCAAGACGACGCAGTTTCACCGATGAAAACTGGGTGGTGATCAGCCTGATAAGCATCGCATGGGAACGCCGAAAAATGGGGAAAATATTGCATATCGGTATGGAGTGAAGAGCGAAGCAGGGTAATGAATGTGGGGTGGAGGTAAATTTCACGGCGAAGCAAGGCATAAAAGCCCTGCTCACTAGTTCACTTCACATTCACACAAGGCGCTGTTTATTGGATTCTCTCCTCTCTTCCTCCCCATGGACTTAACCCATCATTTTCCCCTCCCTTCCTGCTTCCTCCTCCTCTTCCTTCTTCTCATTCCTTATTTCGCTTCCTCTGATTTGGCCAAGGACAGGCAAGAGTGTGCCGATCAACTCGTCGGCCTCGCCCCCTGTCTCTCTTACGTCGGCGGCCAGTCCAAAACTCCCACCATCGATTGCTGTACTGGTCTCAAACAGGTCATCGACAAGAGCAAGAAATGCCTCTGCCTCCTCATCAAAGACCGCAACGAACCCGACCTCGGCTTTACCCTCAACGCCTCTCTCGCCGTCAACCTCCCCTCCGCCTGTCACGCCCCCGCCAACATTTCTCAGTGCATCGGTAACTTCACTACATATCATCCAATATCCCTCTGCTTTTCGATTTAAGATTTGATTCTCACCGGCTGTTCTTGTTTCAGATCTTTTGCACTTGGCTCCTAATTCTTCCGAGGCTAAGGTGTTCGAGGGCTTTGATAAAGCCACTACTAACAGTTCCAGTCCCACTTCTAGTTCCCCCCCGGCTGCGCCTACTGGTAATTAATTCACAAACTACTATCTATGCTTTGTTTTGTGGATTATTTTATGCTCATCTGAAATCTGCTGCGAATAATAATCCAGGGAAGGGATCCAACTCCAGCACGAGTGCTGATGAGAAGAACGGTGGCGTCTCTGTGGCTGTGTGGGAAGAGAGGCGGTTGGTGGCTCAAGTGGTTTGTGTGATTATACCCTTTGTTTTCACCTTTCTTGTTTGAGAACTCGACCAGATTGGGATTGCTATTGCTATTGCTAGCCTCTGTATCATCTGTTTCTTTTCCACTTTGCCGATTTTTGCATTGTAGATTTGCGTTATTTTTATTATTGAACAGCAAAAGTAAACAGTAATGATCTATGGTTTAGTTCCTTGAATTTATGGAGCCAGCTCATGTGTGGTCTGTTTCTTTCCTATTTTCGAGCATCGGGCTCTATAAATTTTGCAACGAATGAATTCATTGAAGGGACCCGGTCAGATCCCAGACCTTTTTACAGGAGGGCTTTTAATGACACATTTAAGCGAACGAATGGTTGGTTGCTCTGTTCCAATTTTAAATGTGAAATGAATGTGATTTTAGACCCACCATCCGAATGTGGCTTCGGACATTTGCATCAAAGGAAAGTTTTCCGACAAACCGAGAACGTGATCAGTGCCTTCGTAGCGAGCTGACCTTGAAATCGTGGAATACTTTGCGATCGGATGAATGACCCAAATGGGAGGGAATTGAGCTTAAATCATGGGGAAAAGCCAAATAGACAGGACAATGTATATCAAACTAAAAAAGTCATCCGACTTTCGGGAATTTGAATATATAATTTAACTTTCAAATTTTAGCACAGCAAAGTTCTCTTCATCGCAGTTTCTGCTTGGGAGAATGGAGTTCAGGACCATATACGCAAGGAAGCAGGTACACTGAAGAACCTGAGCTTTTTCAAAATATAAGGATGTACGTCCTTATTTAACGTTAAAAAAAAAGACGCGAGTATCCGCTCCCTCCCTTCGTCGCCATCGCCACCCCTTTCGTCACTATGATCTTCGTTGTGAGAGTGAAAGCTAGAAACGGGGTCTTATTATTCACGAGCTCTCATGTGGGAATCAGCAAACTCTTTCTTAAGTGATTTATAGGTGATCTTTAATTTTTGCAAGTGCGATCAGCGGGCTGAGAATAGGGGATTTGTAAGTCACGTTTACGAGTTTCTAACTCTTTCAGATGATTAACAAGCCATCCCATTCCATTCCTAGGTAGCAATTTTCAAGCAAAAATACGTACGAGTCTGAACATGGAGTCCTATCACTTACGAGTCCAATTGTATTGTTTGCAAATTACAATTGTAGTCCCTGGATTATTTTTTTTGTTAATGCATTGATATCCTCCTATTAAATGTAATCCTATTCGAAACACTATTAGACACTAAATGTGAATACCTCTCTCAGTGAGAATTCGAATATTAGTTCGACATGTTGTGAAAAGCTAGTCCTTTTTACTGGATCCAATCCTTATTATTTGGTCTCTGGATATTTGAAAGGGAGATATGTGATGCTATGAAGGTGAGCCCATCATTTACGAGTCTCAACTACGTGCCAAATCGGTCCAGCTCAACCCAAAAAAGTCGAGTAACGAAAGAATCATGCGAGGGAAGTAGCCCAAGATGGGCTGGAAAGTTTGGGATGGAATGGCTTTTATACCATTTGCCCTCCCTAGCATTGCTACTCTCTTCGTAAAATTTTTCTCATAAAAAAATTCTAAGGGATAGGTTTACGCATCTTTCAAATACCTACTCTGCATGCCTCTAACGATATAGCTGTATTGAATTTTAATATTAAATTCTCAATAATATTTATTAAAAAAAATCTTTATAATGTTATTTTCAATACAATGGAGTATAAAATGTTTAAAAATCAATTTAATTATTTCGTGATAAATAAATTTTCATATTTTTGACATAGGTTTTTTCTTCATATATTTATTTTAATATTATTATATTGTTTATTAAATATTGTTTAATATATTTTTAGATTTATTTTATATTTTTATCTTATTATTTTCCTAATAAAAATTAATTATAATAATAAATTTTTTCAATATAGAATTATAATAATAATTTTAAATCTTAGTCATTATGGTTTAATTTTCGCCAACTCCCCCACCTAAAAAACAAACCATTGCGTATAATTCTGGTCCATCCTTGTTGGAAGTTCGGGCCCTTCTGGATTTTGGGTCAAGGGTGTCATAAAATACTTGGCCTGTCATTCTTTTTCCCAAAAAAAAAATCGAAGCAGCATCGTGTCGTTCAGGAGCTTTTTGCGTAACCTAATTTGGTTAGCCTTTCACTGGAAGCACGAATTCGGACTTTGGAGGCCTAGCCCACTCGCACCCACACCGTCAGCTCCTTCTCCCGCCTCCACCATCGAAGGTTGCAGCGCTGCGTCCACTCTCGCCGTCGCTGAGGACGAAGGGTCGGCAACAGGTTCTCTCTCCACCTTCCGCTCTGTTCAGTGCTTACCCGGTGGTTCTTCTAATTCCTGCCTCTCTTTCAGCAAACCTCAAGTATTGTATTAAAACCCTGCAGGAGGTATCAGCCGCCACTATTATCATTGTTGGGTTATTGTTGTAGGCGCTTTTCTGGCCTTATGTCATTCTGTCTATTCTGTTTATGAAGAGGTGGATAACCCCGCTTTGCATATAAAATCCTTTCTCATAATTTGTTCTGTTGATTTGGAAAATTAGTGGAATCTTATAATTGCTCTCTGCTTTGAATCGATGTTTATGTTTTTATCGTTTCGGTACTTCTACTATTTTTAAGCTTGACTGATATGGTTATGGCATGTATGGCGGTGTGAACTTCTCCCTTCTAGATTCTCACAGGGAGATGGGGATCAAGGCTAAGAAGGCAATGAAGAAGAGTCTGAAAAAGGCCGCGGCTAAGGTAGCAGTTCCGAGCAAGAAAACAGAGCGCGACTTCTTGGTATGTTGATTCCAGTGCCTGACGTCCTTCGATTTTTTCTTGGCGAGTTGTAACCTGCAGTATTTTATTTGTTTTCTTTTCCTCTCAACTACTGAAGCCATTGGAAGGTGGTCCTGCACGCAAACTTCCTGAACATAAATTGCTAGAGAACACGGCCACTGTTTTATACATTGGTCGGATACCACATGGGTTCTATGAGAAGGAGATGGAAGGTACAGCTAGATTTTATCTTTCTTCAGATCAAAGGATTTGTAGCTGGGTCTTGCATTAATGATGGGCTGCTGTAGGTTTTTTTGGACAATTTGGTACCATCAAGAGGTTGAGGATTGCAAGAAATAAAAAGGTTAGGCTCTTGAACTTGTTACACATCAGTATTTTTTGTGCACATTATGCAATGTGAGATGCTTTCGCTACATGCTTTGTTTATGTTGACCCTCTTTTTTTGTTTTTTAATTGGGCATTTCTGATGGGGTAATAGATTCATAAATTAATTCTGGATGTTTCCATCTTTTGTAGTTGTTAAAATTAGTGAATGCTTAAGAATGCGAAATGTTCCAACATTTTCTTAATATCCCTTGAACAAAGAAGGAAGAGCTTCTTGGCCTGAGATGCCCCTAGAAATGGATAACAAGATCAGTGTTTTCTACGTTTTAAAGAGGATTAAGAATAATATCAAGATGAGATCCAAAGCACCTATTTCTTTTGCACCATCACCATGATTCCAAAAAAAAGTTGTGGACAAAGAAGTAAAATCCTCTTACTTATCTTTGAGGCATCAGTTAACTTTTAGAAAGAATCATGCGTTCCTTTCGCATAGTATTTTGTGGACTTATATTGATTGATATTTACAATTTCTTTTCTTGATGTTTTGCAGACTGGAAAATCTAGACATTTTGGCTTCATACAATTTGAATCTCCTGAGGTTTTTTTCCTTCTTCATCTTATCACCGTTGTGTTATGGCTTATCCATTAAAACTAACAATTCAACACTTTGCTTATAGGTGGCAAAAATTGTAGCTGAGACCATGCACAATTATCTGCTGCAAGAACATGTTCTGCAGGTTCATCTGATACCTCCCGAGGATGTTCATCCAAAATTGTGAGTGATTGGTTATTTTAGAGAAATATAAATTCCTTATTTTTTCTCTTTATACTGAACGTTTGTGCAAAATGCCATCTTCAATACTCATTAAATCCTTCATGTTGAATCATGAATAGTATGCACTCTGGGGTCGACTGTCTAAGTATAAATTTTTCAAAGAGGATACCTTCATTCCTTCTCTCTACACCTTGAAAGAAGTCTCTAGTCCCCCTTTACAGAATTAATGGAATTTAATTATTTTATTATTAATGTAAAATAACTTTCTTCTCCTGAATATGAATAAGCTTGTATGATTGTCTTTCTAAGCCATAGACTTTCCTTTTACAGATGGAGGGGCTTCAATTTTCAGCACAAGCCATTGGACTCCGTTCAAATTGAAAGAAAGCGGCTTGGCAAGGTACCGATGGAATAAATTAAGGAAAAGTGTTTCTTTGGAAAATTGGTTTCTCTGATATGCAGTTTTAAATGGAGTCCTTTGGCTATTTTGCTGTTTTGTTCAGGAAAGAACATTGGAAGAGCAACAAAAGCTGGTTGAAAAGATCATGAAGCATGACAAAAAACGAAGAAAGAGGATAGAGGCTGCTGGAATTGATTATGAATGCCCTGAGATTGTAAGCTTTGCTTTCGTGTGCCTATTAATTCTGGTGTTGCTTGTGCTTTTGATGTAACCAAGTGAGGTCTTCTGAAGGGGGCAGGTTTCTAGCCTCATCTTAATTTTCTTTCTTTATTGGTTATTTGGTGTATTTGTTCCTGCAGGTGGGCACCATCCAGCCTGGTCCTAAGAAAATCAAGTTTGAAGACTGAGTTGGTAAGCTCTCGTTACATCCTTATAGAGGGCATGTTACATCGGGATATGTTTTGGTCGTTTGCCTGCTAATATTTTGATGACTTCTTGATGGCTGTGTGCATATCTTTTTCCCTTGCTATTTTTCATGCACTTGTGGGTCGTGAGAGCTGATTTTGCTTTATTAGTCTCAGGTATGCCAAGCTGATGGCGGGGCGGACAAAGCGGGTTAATTGAGGTGTTTTGTTATGTTTCCTGCTATGCATGACTAGTGACAACATGTTGTTATCAGATTTCAAGAATCGGCCCTCAACCGTTATCATCGCGCGAAGGAACTGCAGTTTTGAGACTTCATACCCATAATACCGTAACTCCGTGCTCTGCTCGACCTCCTTTACACAATCTGACATGCTATTTCTTTTCGTTACTAGAATTTATAGAATGTCGATGCGTGTTTGTTTTGCTTGCCTAGCTTTCTTTTGGACAATAATCAATATCATCTTATATATAGTATATGTGATTTTGCACATGGCTTGGACGCTATATTTACGTCATTGAAGCGCGGTAAAATTGTTAGGGGAACCCATTGTAATATTTTTCGCAGAGGTTCCAACAGAATTTCATTTTTGAAACAAAGTCTATTGTCTTTGCATCGCAATGTAAATTTAATCGAAACTATCAGATAATAACGAAAAGCAAATTTTGGGAAGCGTATTCATTGAACAAATTGAAAGCTCTGTTGTCATTGTTTTGTCTTCAATAAATATTGAAAAACGTGACGGGTACGACCATAAAATATACATCTAAAGCCTGCAACGGATAAATTTCAACGCATGCATAATTGTCGTGTTCCACGGAATCAAACTTCCAATGGCTGACTATTTAGCTGAAGGATAACAGTGGGGACGTATGATGTGAGCTGTCGGTCCGTACAAAAAATGAAATAAAACAGTTTGTGAAAGGAAGAAACAGGGGAGAAAGCGACTATTTAACGAACAGCTAGTTTGAAAAATGTTATGATACTACATAAAATCACCTTGCAAATCTTGGTAATTCCATTTTCCCCTCCCAAGAATATTAAACTAAATGTGTTAGGATCTCACCAAAAAGAAACCTATTGCTAATATGATGTGCCCAAAATAAAAATTGGTCTGAATGTTTTTAATGTTATTGCTCCGGGTACACGCAAGTTTCCTATTCGTTATCTCATCGGCTTGTTTGATCTCAACCTCGTTTTTGGGTTGACTTTTTTTGTTCTTGTTTTGCCAACACTAATCATGAATATCATCGTGTCATTTTATTCTAAATTTATTGAGAAAATAAATTATAAAACTCCTTCAACGCTACCATTTGACGTATATTATGGCTCATAAATATCATTGTATAAACTTTTTAAATAAAAGTTAAAATGGAACAGTGAAGGTTACGTAACTTGGCGGGTTAATTAATTAGCCGGGGGATGCCAGCAATGCAAATTGTCCCATTTAGCCTTGTCCGTTGTTATTTATTTATGCGAAGAGGAGCGTTTCAAGAGAGGAGTCCACTTTAATTCAGTCTCACATCTCTAACCTCGTAAAGTCTGAGAAGCTCTCGATAGTGTCATCCATGGCTCCCCCAATTCGCATCTCTCCCATCTTCTGCTTGTGCTCACTTCTTCTGATAGCGCTTTCCGATGCTTATCTCCCCCTACCTTCCCGGAACCTTCCTCTGCGATCTGATCCCAACGTCCACGATTTGCTCACCAAATACGGCCTCCCCAGGGGTCTTCTTCCCAACAACGTTAAATCCTACGCTCTCTCCAGCGATGGCTCCTTTCGCGTGGAACTCCAAAAGCCTTGTTACGTCCAGTTCGATCGTTTGGTCTATTACGATAAGGTAATCACAGGCAAGCTTACTTACGGATCGGTGTCCGATGTGTCTGGAATTCAGGCGAAGAAGCTGTTCATATGGCTGCCTGTAACCGGAATCAAAGCCAATGAGAAATCAGGTACTGTTGAATTCTACGTTGGGCCGTTGTCGGAGGAGCTTCCTGCTCATCAGTTTGATGAGGTACCTTCGTGTAAGCGTGAGGCATGTAGAGGGAAGGCAATTTACCCAGAAGCCATGTGAGGTATTCAACTTTTTCCTCCTTCACATACAAAAATAAACGATCTGGTGCTTCGGAAAATTGTTCCTGAAAGGAGATCAGACTTATTTTCTCCGTTCTGCATCCGTCAGTTAACTGTTGTGAATCTCTAATTAGCTGTGAATGATACTGATGAATTAAACTGACACTTGGCTAAGTTAATTCTACATATGATACCGAATTATGTATTCTGAATTACACGTTTCTGAATGATAATTGAGAATAGAACCTATAATTGTGATCGAAATTAGATTCTTCTTCACTTGATCACTTCGAATAAAATCGAAAATTTTGATTTCGAACCAAGTTATATCCATATAACCTGACTGCTTTAGTCCCAAGTAAAGTAATCCAAAGGAAATATCTACAAGAGGGTTTGAGATAATGCTCCTCCGGTCTTAGACTTACACACTAGTATAAGGGTCTTAACGGAAGAGTAGTAGTTATGCGAAAATAAAGAAGTAAATTTATGACAGGAATAATTACTGTTGAATCTGGATGAGTAACAGGGCTTAAGCATGGTGAAGGACAGGTGGAATGAATATGCATAAGTGTGGCGGGACAAGAATAAAGTGGGACGCTTGTGCTGTGCCTTGCAGGGGAGGACACCTCGGTGCATGGAAATGGAATTGAGTTGATATGTGTTTGTTGTTTGTTTGCATTCAGAGAGGGAGGGAGAGAGATACAAATTGTAAAGAAAATCCTTAGAATGGAATTACAATTCCGCACTCAGATCCCACTATGTATGAATGTTGATGTTTTACTTTCTTTCATCTAAGTTCAATCTATACCTCTGTATATCTCCTGCTCGCTCTCCCAAATTGGTATTCGACTTGTATAATATAATGGTGAATAATGACTTCTGAAAACATGAAGAAAGTAAGTTATATTTCAGAACAAAGTAACCGCGCCGGCGAACTGCATAAACCGATGCCAAACTTGGAAAGTGAAACTTTTTTTTTTTTTTTTGGTTCTGACCAGCAAATAAATAAATAAATTGGTGTGTAGTGGAGAGTTTGGTTGGGGGAAGAAGACGGGTGATGAGTCATCACGGTGTGTGGTTGGAAGGAAGATAGGTGTTGCAGTTTCTTGGCTTGCAAACCATATGAATATGACAATTGATGCTTATATACGTACTATTTTCATCGCGAATCACCTGACTAATCCTACTCGTTCCCAGTTTCATCCCTTGCTTTTACTTCACATGCATCACCATTTGACTAATTAATTAAACTAATTTTGGCGATCATGTCATGGATCACCACATTTCCTCCCTACCTTGCAAATTCTAAGAAATATCATCCCGACTTCCACGAAACCCAAAGTAAGGTATGAAAAAACAGTTTGGGCCCAGGAAATTGATGTGGGACCTTCATCACACAAACCAATAATTTCAGGCTTTGCTGTATCCAAGATGATATTACATTTTCAAGTACTGCATGCCATTACGATTCAGATGCATCTTTCAAGTCTCTTATAGTGTTCTGGGACTTTACATAGAATATGAACTTCTGTTTAGAACAATTATACATCAGCTCTTGCCGAGAGCTTAAAATAATTCAAACACTGGAAAGCAAGCACTCCTACGTTTGACTTGGAGTTGGGATGGTCGATGGGAATCTCAAACAGAAGGAATATGATAAAGTAATCAAATCAGAATCGTTGTTAGTGGTCCTTTTTCTGTGTTTGTTTGATCTCATGACCCACCCTTTGTCCCCAAGGGGGAAAAAAAAAAAAGATCTCGTGACCCTCCCCTTTTTTTTTTCCTTCCTCGAATTCCTCTAATTACCATAACAATATAAAATTCCGTACCCAGATTTTAGCGGAGGCATGTATTGTCACGTTCCGTTTGTCCTCATGTGGAATCAGGTCCACCCACTATGACCGCCAATATTTTTAATTGCAACTGAAGCAACTCAAACGCGTCTGCTATAGTCTTCCGTTTTATATTAGGATAAGATGATTCTTAAGCAAAGCATCTCTCTTCCTAGTGAAAATCCCACCATGGACCTTCCAAGTGAATCTTCTGCGAGTGGCTGCCATAAGGTGTGCAAGAAGATGGATAGCAGTACCTGGAGGCGACAGTTTGTGAGCAGAAGAGTGGGCGGTTGGAGGATGAGACCGAAGACATCAACTCATTGGCCGACGCATTCATCAACAACTTCCGCAAGCAGCTCAAACTTGAGAAAGAAGCCTCATTCAAACGTTTCCACAGTATCATTAATCCAAGCGCTTGATCAAATTCATCAACTTCATCGTTCATGAAATTTTACTTGAAGTCTTTAAGATTCTTGAGCTTTCATTTGGTGCTATAAGATGAAATGAGGTGTGTTGAGGCAGAGAGTTGTATAATTGTTAGGTATAGGCTTGTCTTCTAATAAGGCATGTACAACAGTCACAAAGCATATCATATCTAATACTAATAGCAGACTCTAATGAAAGGAAAGAGCATAGCCTTAATCACTGTGAATTACATTTACAACATCCGATTCCGCTTCTTCCTCCTATTCATGAATGCAAAGGAATGACCTCATTCTATTCCCAAAATCATCAATTAAACTCATCTTTACAAGAAAAAGCATCACTTATCCTACATGTCCCTCCACAAGAAACAGGATAAATACAATGAACCTCTTGTGCTTGATTTCTTCCGTCCGGGGAAACCAGCAATTTCCCCAACCGCATCACCAAAAGCTTCACTTTGCTTCTCAGACTTGAAGCACCTGACAGTGAACAATGTGACTCTTCAAATTGCCACGTCCTGCAATTGTCGACCACAAATTTTGAACCAGAGTCCTGAGATGACCTTTTCCTGCAATATTTTCCCACAGGTGGGGATTGCTTTCCACATGCCTGTTTGGACTGGAAACATCGACTAGACTGATACTCATGTTGTTGCGGATAATGCACAGCTTCCCGTTCAGGGGAACGAGAGCAGCAGCATCAAAAGCCCGGGAACTACCTAAATGAAACTTGCTATCTATAAACCTTTTCCATGAATCTGTCGCTCCATCATAAACAGTAAGCTTGCACCCATCTTGGCAATCAAGTGCGTAGAGTTGTCTGTTCAGTGAGATACTAGGATTTCGCCAACCATTAACCATTCCGTTACTAACAGGGGTCCATGTGTCGGATTCCGGTGAATAGGCTTCACATATTACATTGCGACGGGACCCAAGTCCCTTCAGAAACCATGTTCCATTGTGGAATACACCAATAAAGGGCACCATAGGGGTGCTCATCTCTGAGACGAAGTTCCACCTGTTCCGGTTGGGGTCATAAACTTCAGCAGACCGAAGAGTTCTTTGAATTCCTTCACATTCCCCACCAGCCACATAAAGACAGTTATTTATTACACAAGAACCAAAGAGATGACGTTTCCGGAGCATATCTGGCGCTCTGTGCCATTTATTTGTACGGGCACTGTAGAAAATGACACGTCTCATTGATCCCCTTAGTGGATCTCTTCCACCAAATAAGTAAAGGTGGCAACCACTTATAACAGCACAGCCAAATCCCAATGCTTCAGAGTACTCCCCAGGAACAGGTGGCAGTGGCTGCCATAGTTGGTAGATAGGGTCAAAAGCATGCAATGAGATTCTCCCATCACGGTCTCTTTTGATGACATAAACCCACTCTTCTGCCATTCCAAGACTTTTCCTTTGTGAATAAAAGTAGTTTCCAGAAAGAAGGCGTTGCCACCTCTTGCAAACCAATCGCAGTTTCCTATGCTCAATCCGAGGCACTCGAATCAAACAAGCAATAGCAAGATCATCTGGAAGGCCAGGTAGTAGAGGAGGCTGAACCCGTGTCCTTTCTCTACGTGAATTTTTGCTCCTGTGCGCATTGGGATTTATGTCAGGTTGGATACAGATCTTTGACCCAGGAACAAATTTTCGTGCCCCAGCAACTGTTTTCAGGCCTGAATCAACTTTGCAGTAGCACGAAACAGAGTCAACCTGTAAAGCTTTCACTGTCAGGATACTACAAGTATCAAAATATTCTGGTGAACCAAGAGCAAATAAGAATCTATAAGAAGTTTATGCACTCTTTTAGATTCCATCTATGTCTATGACTATTAGCAAATCACTCAAGCGCATAAGCAAACAGGAGTTATACACAGAGTCTCCTTTCTAACTTCTGACGGCAAAAGACTATTTTTTACAGAGTACCCTATGATATGACCAAGATCTGGTGAAAAAAAAAAAAAAAGCAAATTATCTCAAGAACAAATTTGATCTTTATTCTTCTAGAAAATCTATATTTAAATATTAGCATTACATCATTTACAGGCATAAAAATTTCAATGCTGACACTAGGACTTTGAGATTGACGGAAAATAACCAAGTTCTATCACGCACATCATGTTGGCATGATATTACCCCAAATCCAAAGCATTCCACACAAAGATAAGAGTCATTGTTAAAGAAGTGATTAGTAACAGAATAAAGGTGGTATTGATTGATGTACCAGACATGTCAGCAACAACTCAAATTTGTACGTAAGCCCAACTGTTCAAGTCATATCAAGGGTTTAGAAGTATTTGTTTGAATAGATGGGGAAACAAAGTAAGTAGTTATAAAGAAAAAGGACAAGAAAAGAGCATCAACACTGAGTAGATAAAACTCAGTGACACTTCAGGGTGAAAAGTAAAACATATCCCTGTACATGCAGCAATAATTTAATTGATGTGGATACGTTTTGTCTAAAGTCAAAAATATGTCAGGAAGAAGGAGGTGCTCAGCACTATTGTTTCCTAAAATATTATATCCTTTTTTTCTTTTTCTTTTCTTTTTTTTGGGAATGAAAGGCTACAGCTCAAGCTATACAACAGAAGAAATTAGTTGCATATACGTATACCCCTTGAGTTGTACGCCTAAGTGAAAACTTTCAAGGGATCCCACGAAGTGGGACTATTGCCTTCATCCGATGTTTGCACCCTTGTTCCAGCCTATAATGGGCATGGTCAAGAAGGCTTGATGAAGGCATCACCCTCCCTTCAAATTATTAAACAAAAGACATCAGAAAACAAAGGTCCTCTCTCAACAAGTAGATAAAGAGAAGGGAGTGTTAGGGTCTGCCGGAAGAATCTATGCCCTAACCCATGCTTGACTACCCAAGTAGACAAACGACCCAGCATTTTTTTTATCTCTCCCACATGTTTAATTGTGAAGTTTTGTAAAAGTATTTAATACTTATGATTACAATGAGATTTTTTAAAATTGTCTTGTCCTGCTATTTCTTATTTTGTACAGTGCTATATTGAAAGCCAGGATGGCCGCGGTAGTGGCTAGTCAAGATATATAGAAAGAAATATTTTTGGTTAGACAATACAGGGTTGAACGAGGAGATCAACCAAGGAGAATAATAGAACCAACAGATTTTATCAAAAGACAGAGGTCAGTTAAACAAATTTTTTAAAGAATTATGATGCCTGATTATATGTAAACAAAAGAAAAAAAGATAAAAATAGCACACAACATGAAGACATATAATCAAGACATACGAAAATCACCAAGCAGGACCTGTTAATAATGATATGGTTAAGTAGAAGAATTTGCTGGAACAAACAACCAAGGAAGCAGGTGTGTGGGGGGGGGGGGAGAGAGTGTGTGCGCACGCGCGTTTGTGCATTTATGCATATAGGTTACCTTGGTAGCATTTAATGGATAATCAAGGATATAAAGTAAAAAAGAAATGCAATAAGTAAATCAAACAAAATTCTCTTCTATACGGTAGAGGAAGAGAGAACTAGAAGGCAACGTATTTCAGAAAAAAATTAAATGAAAGATTGAAACAAAAAGCAGGAGCGCAAGCTTCAAAGGAGATAAGAAATTCTAAGGACAAACATTATAAGTTTATAAATAGGGAACCTGACAACAAAATGTTTTTCAGAATATGTTGAGGGAGAGACATGCATCAAAGTAGAATAATTCAACAAAGTCCTAAACAAAAGATCACAAGAGTGCTCGTTATATCAGCAAATCCATTAGAGGAAACACCTACTCCCCCCACCCAAAATAAAAAAAGTACTGAAGTCTCCATCCCCTAAGAGATGTAAAAGAATCAAAGTGACATCCCTTTTTGGTCCTACTATTGAAGCCTTAAACTTCAAACGAACAAATTCCTTGGTATAGTGATTTCCCTTTTTCGTACCTATAATACTCTTCCAATAACAGTTATAGGGTGTATTGACCCTATCAAACAGAAAATTTTCTACTATTCTGAAACCATAAGCTTATGGCCAGAATAAGAACGAAATATCACTAGCATTCCTTCTACCTTATGAGCTTGTTACCAAATTACCACAATGTTAGAATCCAATAGTCAGCATTCCCTAGATGTAAAATTCCAGTTGAATAGATCTCTGTGCTCTATATTATCAGATTTACACAAGAATCTCAGGAAGCCAACTAAAAAGGAATGATGAGGCTGCAAGAGAGACATCTTCAGAGACCAGTGCCTTCAAAGGAAAAAAGAGAGCTTCCTCCCAGTGAGCAGCCTAAGGACTAAAGCCACAATGTGACTATGAAGTATAAGGGGAGAAAAAGAACTCTACTTGGATATTCAAGAAACAAATCAATGGATGATAAAATGTAGACTTTTTTTAAAAAAAAGAAAGGGAATTCGAAATAAGAATTTGCCGGCCACCCAAAAATTCAGGCTTTCATCAGACGCTAAAAACAAATAAATTCTTTGCTTCCATCGCAAAAGCAGGTAGAAATTCGGCTCTGCATAAAGGTGAAGCACATCCTCGGCTAATTGACAATGCCCAACAAAGACAAACTGCTAAGACCAAGAAATTTGAACAAGAACTCATCTGGATTTATCTCAAGTATCACGAATTGGGGAAAAACTAGACTCAAAAGCAATTGAAAATAGAATTATCTTAGAACCAGATATACTGACCAGGGGAGCTTGAACTCGGGGGCCCCTTTGAGCATTCGCCGAGTGTTCAACTAGTTGGTTCATCTCTGAAGCAGAGTTTGGGAACTGAAATGATAGAGTCGCCTCGAATGAATATCAAGACAAATTCAGCATGCTGAGCTCAGATCAAAAGCCTAACCCTCAATTCTTTGAATCTGATCCAACAAAACAGAAGCGAAAAGCTTGTGTTTTTACAACTGAAACTGCAAGCAAAAGCTAAAAGACAAATGGGACTTTTTGCGAGTGTCGAGGGTTGAAGTGGTACAAAGTCGTGAAGGCACCTCCCCTCCCATCATCTGCTTGAACCGTTCTTCTCTCCAGCTGGAGCCGAAAGCTTCACCAACTTTTGATTTTCTTTGGGGTTTTCATAAAACGTATTTAATATCTAGAAAAAGTATTGTTCTCCTAATGTTCTTTACAACTGCTGGTTTTCCTGTGAACTGAAGATTTTCAATTCTCTATTGTTAATTGGCTCCCTACGTTTTCCCACCACAATTTGCTTTAATTCAAGCGACAAAAATGCTCTGAAGAATCTATATCAAATTGAATAATATAATTTTACCAAAAAGGTATACTGATAAAAATAGTTTTAAAGAGCATAATGAATTGGAACAATAATAAATAAACATTTGTGACATATATAAATTCACAGTTTTCATTTTTATAAAGTATTAATAGTACTTTTATACATGGTCTTTGTCGTCAATAATAAAAATATTTATTCTATTCTTACTCTGCGCTCTTGAAATTACAACTTATTATAATTGGTAAAAAGAAAATAATTACCTTAATTCTTGTTTACAATTCTACTTGCTGCATTGCTTGGGTACTTGATATCCTTTTTGTGTGGAACACAGGAGAAATAAACAATAATTTTCACATCCGCGATATTTTTAATTGTGGTTCACAACATAAAAATACTAAATTTAATGCAGACAGATCCTACAGCACAGAAAATATATCCGACGGCGTACGCTCCACTGCTGGCATGTTGTTCTGACAAACAAATTGCCAAAGCGAACGTGAAATTAACATTAAAAACAAAAGGGCAGTTGATTTCTCGTACGCAGGGAAGGATCATCAGTGTAATCCTTAATTAATACTCTTTCAACCCAAAATATAAAACACATTTTGTAGTGCAAATACGTATAATTCATCACTCATCCACTCATTAATTGTCTTCCGCGTCTATGAAAAGAATAAAGATAGAAAATCAACCTGAAGTAATGAATAAAGTGTTTTCTTTTTTGGCTTCCTTTTATTAGAATCTAAGGGAGTGTTTGGCCAATTCAAAAAGTGCTTTTAAAAACCATTTTTCTGCAAAACGAAACAAATTTTTTTATATATTTATTTTGTATACCGTAAAAACACTTCTAAAATTATAGTTTGGTTTTTATTCAAATACCTTTTAAATAGGACGCAAGCAACAAGCAATTAAATACTGAGATGGAGCCATCCCAATAGGCTAAATACAGAGTGGGTTTTCAACACCTTCATGCCCCCATTTGGTGCGAAACATCGCGAGGCTAGAATGGTCAAAACCGATCAAAAAGGTGTTTAATGTAAAGAATTACTTGCTAACTGGGCATGTGGGATATTTAATCCTGGGATTAGGATTTTTTTCATACCAAAATGTCCTCCGTTCCCCATTCTCAGGTCGTCTCCCCAGATCTGTTTCCAATCGCCTCCGCCTCTTCCATCTCCTATTGCCTTCTCCTCCTCCTCTGGTCACCTTATCCTCTATCTCCGATCCAGTCTTTGGCCGTTCGATATAAGCTTTTTCTTAGCCCCACCCCACATCGTCTTCACCCTTTTCTTAGTCCACAGAGGATCAGATATTTGTAGCATGATTGTTTATACATACTGGCCCGCTTGCTGGGGATATCACTATACTCCAATTTGCTAATATAATCGTGTCTATCTCTCTCTCCCCCCCCCCCCCTCCACGCGCACACGTTGCTTCTAACGTGGTCATCTTCATCCTTCACCTTTCTTAGATCTGCCATCACATACCAAACACAATTTTGCAATTTAATCCCAATCCCAATCCCTTAAAATATATTGCTCAGCAAACGGGACGAAATACCATCATTTTGGTTCTTCCACATCAGCATCCTGAGAATGAGATTACCCTACTGTTTGACGGGGAAATTTTGGATTTATTCTTCGCCATTTGAAGTTACAAGCCTCTATGTTCAAGAGTGGTGGATTCTAATATGGCAACACATACATCCAGCTTTAGGCCAAATTAAAAAAAGAAAAAGGAAAAGCCGGCCAGACTTGAGAGGTGAACAGATAATGTTGAAGACTAAATAAAGCGGTCAAGAAAAATGACTCAAATACACTAGAGATATCCCATTGCCTAACATTATACACCTCTATCAAAGTGGTAAAAATACCACACATTCCCCCGTCCCCTCCATCATTAGCATTGCAAACAGTACAAAATGTGACTCCAAACACTAGGAAGGGCAAAATGACAGCAAAAAATAATAATAGACTTGAGAAAAAAAGAGGGGGAAGAGGGGGACCTTCCTATGGGTGTATTTCAGCACCTACTACCTAAGTATGAAACTGCTATTCGAAGCCGAAGTCAATCCCACGCACTTGTGACACCAGGACCGTATCCTCCAGCATACCCACCAGAAGCCCCATACCCTCCACTGCTATTTCCCGCACTGTAATAATCAGAACCACCTCTGCTGCTGAAGCTCTCTCTTCGGAAGTCACGGCCACCAAAACGGCCTCCACCTGATCGACGGTTCCTTCCACCAAAAGATGATCGAGCAGCATACCGTGAGAGCCAAGCAGGCACTTCTTGATTTGCTTCTTGCATCAGTTCTGCTAAAGCCCTTGCAAGGGATGCATTGTTTTCATTGAAGAATGCAGTGGCAAGACCTTTCTTCCCTGCTCTTCCCGTCCTTCCAATACGGTGTACATAATCATCAATATCATTTGGTAGATCAAAGTTGACCACATGGGCGACATGAGGGATATCAAGACCACGTGCAGCCACATCAGTGGCAACCAATATGGGGGTGTTGCCACTTTTAAATGACCTTAATGCCATCTCCCTTTCCTGCAGGTAAGCCAATGAATAACGACACATAGATACAAACAGGCACACACAAGCAACAAATTCAATAGAAAGCTAATAGTAATAACAGAAGAATAAGCAAATGACAGATAATATGTCATCAAATAAGAAAAGATTGCAAGTTGATAGGCAGTGCTCTATTGCACCAATGACTAAAAATCGCTGTAAGCAACCATAAACTAAACAGTAGCTGGGTTATGGTCACATTCATTCCAACTACAGAATGATAAGTACTAGCTTCGGCATTAAAGGAACCAACAAAAATGTGCGAACATGAGCATATAAATCTAAGCAATTATGCCAAATATGAAAAGAAATGAAAGATATTGGCCATATTATACCAAAATTCGGCCTCCTGACATAAATGCTGGCATAAAAAGATGATTCAGTGATTTAGGAGACGAGCACACAGAAAGGAAGGAAAGGAGGGTATGTAATGGATCACTTTTCTCCTTATTTGTTAGAAAGGACATGGAGGCAGAGGCAAAAGTAAATGTTATACCGATATAACTGACCAATATACTCAACTTTTTTTTTCTCCTTTTTTTTGGGTCCGGAGTCAAATATAAAATTAATTCCAGTGGATCCTCATTATCCACCAAGTTAATCGGAAGGCAGGCAGAAGAGTGGGGACTGGGGGAGGAGAGGGGACTGCATGTGGTGTGGAAAACTTCACACTAGGATCCAAACGGCCTATTCCAGGGATCAAATATATTCAAACCCACTATTCATTTCCAGAATAAACCAAACACGATATCTTAACATTGATATCTACTTTCATAAATCAAGTAACATTGTCTTGGTTATCCAATAAAAGTAAAGAAATTTACACACCAGCACTAAGGCAGACTTTACAACATAACATACCAACCTGTTGTGACCTATCCCCGTGAATAGTGGTAGCTGGAAAACCATTAATATACAGCCAATGTTCCAATGAATCAGCTCCCTTCTTTGTCTCCACAAAAACTAATGTCAAAGCTTGCTGCAAAAATCAGAACCATGCATTACACGGTCTAAGATGATGAATAAAGTCGCAATGACTTACAAAAAGAGAGGAAATTCACAAAATTGCAGAAGCCCAAGATCATCCACAGAATGATACAAAATGCTATTACAGACATACATGTCATAGGCAGAGGCAAGCAACATACATAAGAGCTGAGAGACAGGGATTGATAGAAATAAAGCAAGAGAAGAAACACCTAAATATTTAAGACAGCATAATATATGCATTGATAGAAGACACAAAACCGATAACCACCCAAGCTTATTAGTTCACACTCACTTTGGATGGGTTTCACTGAGTGATACCCATTACCCAAAGGTTTTCAGTAAACATGCATGCTGAATTTTACGCAAGTGAAACACATTAAGTTTGATAGTACCTTTCCTTGCACACCATTTGCCCTCTGAGCATGTAGAAGGTCCATAAGGTGACTTCTCTTGTCAGACTCCTGAACAAATTCAACTCTTTGGACAATCAAGTCTGTACTTGACCCCACTCTTCCAACAGCCAGGAAAACATAATTTGAAAGGAAATCCGAGGCCAATCTCTGCATATCATCCAGAAATGATAAGAAATAGTATCAATTTATATGGTAGTGGCATGGTTGAAATATTAATATTCATCTGCATTATTCATACATATCAGCGCACTTATCATCCTATTCTTAATTCATAGTAGAAAAATTTGACAATATTTGTTTCTAAATGCAGTTACTCCTATTCAGAGAAGGTTGACAGCGTGATTTACGGTCCAAAGCCTCCTGAGTGCAAGTCTGTCACTCATAATTTAACAAGTAAAATGCATCTCAGGGCAATTGCAATTCTCCCTAACATACACAAGCATATGTTATTGAGATTCCAACAAATAGCATTAAGTAACAAGAGTCTGTAGTCATTTCTAGAGAGAGGGGAGCCGATAAAGATGCTCGGAGAAGTCTAGCAACCCCAGTAAAGCATATAAGCAGGTGAAATTAAGAAACACAAGCTTAATTAACAACACCTCATGTTTGGCTCAACTTTTGAAGGACATATAAAGATGAAGTCGAACCTGTATCTCTTTCGGAAATGTGGCACTGAACAGCATAGTCTGTCTGGCACCTGGAGGAGGCATGTCCATCTGCTCCACAATCTTCCTTATTTGGGGCTCAAAACCCATATCCAGCATCCGGTCTGCCTCATCCAAGGCCAAATATCTTATCATCTGCAGGGAAACTCTAGCCCTCTCTAGCAAATCCACCAATCTTCCCGGAGTTGCCACAAGAATATCAACTCCTCTCTCAAGATCTCGCAGCTGCAGAAAATTAAAATTTTTGTTGGCAACCACACCAAATCTAAGTCTGTACTGGCAATAAAAAATAAGTTCTTGATGGATCTTCAAGAACTAAACTTGTGACTCCAAAAGAATACATGTACATTGTACACCAGCAAAATAGCAATAGAGACAAATAGTCGTTGGACCTAAGATCACACTACCCACTCATTCAGTCTTTGGGGATCCAATAATGCTATATTGAATGGAAGAAGGTTTCTACAAACTAAAATGCTTCACATAACATGAGTTATCAATAATTGGGAAAGTGGAGCGAATAAATTATCATCTTAGATTACTACATCTTGCAGGCTAGTCAATATAGACCTGACCGTTATAATCATGAGTACTTTTTTCTTTTCAAGAAAGATTAAACACCTTCAATCCATATGGATGACAAACATTCTTTCAACCCTATAAATAGAATCAAGTTGTAGCAAGTCGCACACATACACACACTCACGCATACATGCACATGTATATATACCACAAACCTGCTGGTTTATTGGTGCACCACCATAAGCAACAACCACCCTAACCCCAGTTTGGTAAGAAAACTTCCTGGCTTCTTCATGTATCTGAAACCACATCACAACAGTTCCAATCTATTATATCTCACAGGAAAACTGCAAATTAAAAGCATGCCACAATAAATGATTAATGTGATGGACTCACTTGCATTGACAGCTCCCTGGTAGGTGAAAGAACAAGAGCAAGTGGATACACTGTACGCACCCCACGAGGTGGCCTCTGCACAGGTTGGCCCCTCATAATTCCACTGATGATAGGAAAACAGAAGGCAGCTGTCTTTCCAGAACCGGTCTGGGCACAAGCCATCAAATCTCGTCCAGCAAGAGATATTGGTATGGCGTACCGTTGAACTGGCGTTGGCTTCACATATTTGCACCTTCTTATATTCTGATTAAGTGCTTCACCCAAATCAATGTCCGCAAATGTATTCACTGGTGGTGGCACATTTGCACCACTAGTCTCCACAGGAATGTCTTCGTATGCATCAAAATTGATTCCTGTATTCTCCTGCTCACCAGATGCCTCTTCTGCATTATCCTCATCACCAAAGGGATTGGCCTCCCTCTCCCTGCCGCGATCCCAACCACTGCCTCTGTTTCCCCATCCACCACGGCCGCCACCACCGTACCCCAACCGATTCTCATTTCTGGGCATGGCCAACCGTGATCCAACATTACCAGTACCAGTGCCAGAACCAGAAGCACGGCCACTATATGCTGGAGCAGGCGCTTCTGCAGAAGGTGGACGGTTCCGGAGGTGGGGAGGCACATAGACTGGGCGTGAAGGAGCTGAGGTGTTACCAGTTCCCGCATTGCTGGCAGAAGAGCCAGGACCTGCACTTTCAGCTGCAGAGCTCGCAGCCAAGTCTGCCCATGAAGTTCGCATAGTCAATAACTATTTTTTCGGAGCCTAGAATTCTCAACAAATTTTCCACAGGAAATCGCTCCTTTTTCAAATAAGGGATAGGACTTATAACTTTAAGTAGCAAAAAGAATCCTCAGTTGGTGCAAAAAAACTTCTTCCAATCGCAATAAAAATTCTTCAGGTTCAACCCTGCAATTCAATGAAGTCCTATTAGCGCTCGGAGAGAACTGTTCCAACCTCTTGACAACTCGATCTCGATAATTTATATAAAATATAATAAAATTAACACCGAATAGAAATAAGAAAATGGAAGATAGTTGCAATGTTCAAATTGTGAACGAGCAGAACGTAATCAACACAAAATCAAGCCCCATTTGTCCACCCACCCTGGAAAAACAACTAACCAGCGTGCTCCATTCCCATTAAATTGACTCGCCCAAATAACATGAGCAACCCTCAAATAAATAAAAAGGGAAACATCCTGATCATGACTCACGAAAGCAAGTGGCAAAACCAAAACAGCGAGCGTGGTATCAATACGCGAATGAAGAAACACAGCAGAACGAGAAGGGATGAGATAGATTCACCTGAAATATATTGTAGAGATTAAAACCCTAAAATTGATGACGAAACAAAGTGGGGGAGGTAGACGATCAAGAAACCCTAAATTGGTTCGCCGACAGACAGCGCGTAAGTGGGATAAAAAAATATCTTCCTCTTTCTCCTCCTCTCTCTCCGGGATCCAGATTACAGACGCAGCGTGTTTCTGCGGTCCCAGCGCGGCTTTGGTTTCTGTCCGTTGGGTCGATCGGAGCGCTCAGAATATGACACATCATCAAGCTTTTTAAATTGCATCTGAACCGTTTATTTTGAGCTGAATCCAGACCGTCCGCTTCTCAATTCTTTAAAATCACGTGCAAAAAATTCCTTCTCTGCAATATACTACCTCCGATCCTAATTATAAGAACTAGTTGATTAATTTGAGAAGATTAAAAAGATAAATTAAGTTATTTATTTGTAATAAATAGTTGTTGCTCTTTCTAAAATATCCTTACTAATTAAGTGTATTGGTTAGAACTACCATCATTAAAATGACTGTCTTGAGAAAAAATATATAAATATGAGAGACAAAGTAGATGGAGTCTTATATTTATGATTAAAATAAAAGTCAAACGAGGTCTTATATTAAGAACCGGGGGTAGTATTACTGCCGGTCCTAATTATAAGAGCTAGTTCACTAATTTGAGGAGATTAAGGAAAGAAGTTAAGTTAGTTATTTGTCATAAAAGGTGTTGTCTTTCCTAAAATATCATTGCTAATCAAGTGTATTGGCTAGAATTATTATTGTTAGAAGGACTATCTTAGAAAAAAATACATAAATATTAGAAACAAAGTATATTATGGTTTTATATTTATGAGCAAAATAAAAATCAAATGAGATCTTATATTAAAAATAGGAGGTAGTATATCACCTTCACTTTATGCGTACAAGGCCGTTGATCTTCGTTAAAATCTAGTTTTGATAATAGCAACATTAGTATGGATTTTGTCTCAAAAATTGCAAAACTCGTTTTTCAATAATTCTTCAAGCAAAATATGAGAAAAACTTCCCGTAAGGAATGGAGAATACAAATTACTAGGAGTCGCTTTTCAGTGACATCTTTCTATGTAATTTACGTGCTCTTATTAATTTTCCATTCATACATAGCTTTTTTCTTTTGCACATTTTTCATGTGCAGTTTTTTCTCTTTTTTTTCAATTCAATAAATTTCCGTTTCTATTGTAAATTATCCATTATTCAAAAATTTTATAATGCAATATACTGGGCTTGGAGATCTGGACAATGTGGCACTCCATGAGCTCTCAAATAATGCACAACAAATATATTCTAAGAGGGTATTTAGACTGAAGCAAAATCATGGTTTTAAAAATACTTTTACAGCATACGAAGTAAACATGTGAAGAAATTTGTCTCGATTTACTCCAAACACCTCCTAATTACCACTTCCAAGACGGGGTCAAGACGAAAGTAGGTGAAATGAAACTCTTCTTTGGATGCTGGGATTTTGATTAGGTGAAGTTTTTATTATTGTGGCTAATGTCGATCTGTGACAGACGAATGATCCCGCCGCACTGTCGCCGGAGTAACCTCTTAGCAAAATTGAAAAATGTTTTTATTAATTTTTAAAGTATCAATACTTTTTATGCATAAAAATTTATTATATTATTCTCATCAATCAATAGGACTTCTAGTTTGGCAAGCCATACTTGTTAGCGAACTCCAATATTGTGCATCACAAGGTGCAATCAGGCCGAAAGGCTTTTCTTCACTCGTTAATGGAACTTCTAACGGGGGATTTTCGCCTGGATTTCTCCTGTGTGTTAAAAAATATTTAGTTATTTTATTTCCTCTTTTTACCATATAATAATTCCCTTTCTAATACCATTGTTCATGGTGCAGTATTCTTTGACAGTAACCCGATCTCCATAGCAATTCAAATTAATGCATCAAGATGAGCTTAAAATATCAATTAAGGTGCAAGATTCCTCACGTGGTTCTAAAAGATGCATGGATTTGTGTTTCTTATCCATATATCGTCTATAAAGTGAATGAAATTTTTATAGCAAAAAACTAAAAACGATATATTCATATATACACGCACACTGAAGATTCTCTTTTTTGAAAAAAAAAAAGAAGGTAAATAGGAAGATATCTGCGAGCAACAAAAGAAGTGCACATAATTTTAAATTTAAATTTGACTCGATACAGAAAAAATAAGAAAGACAAGCGCAGAGAGGTTTAAATTTTTAATTTAAACTGGATCCAAATGCTCTGCAAAGAACAAAAAAAATCAAAGTTGATGAGATAGTTGGAATAAAAAGGATTTAATTTTTTCTATAATATACGTGCCATGTGATTTTTTTTCTTACTAATAAATTTTAAAAATTACAGTAACACAGGCAACATACTCCGATACTCGTACATTTAAGGGAACACAGAAGAGAACAATATCCTCCCCTCCATTTCTCTGTAAAATTCTTTATCTTGACAGGGCAGGCCAAAAAATTGAGAAGTGACCCCCTTTCGTTATAATTTGCGGAGTGAAAAAACATGCTTGGAAATTAAAGACACGCACACACGCGAAGGGCAAAGCAAATAATTGTGCCACAAACAAGTTCATAGTCACGCAAAATATAGAAACCCATGGAAGCCCAGTTTTGTTTGGTACCCAAAGAAAAAGGTGAGTTTGGTCCAAGGCCCAAGCATGTTTTTAGGTTTTAAAAACGCTTATATAGATACTTATAGATCACTTACTAATAATGTCTTCACATTAAAAGCGGGATTCGAATCTATGACCTCATAGCTTATGAGCTGACTCTTTACTAACTAGTTAACTCACTCTTATTAGCCTTGTGGAAACCAAGTTATTTGAAGAAATTTTGTATAGGTATATATATAATTTTAGATCCGCTTGTAAAAATATTTATAGGTTACTTATTAATATGATTATGAGCTGATTTCGTAGAATTAACTCATAGCGGCTTATTAAAGAAGTCCCTGCACAAAAAAGAAATGGATGCTAGTATGCTAGACCCAGCAAGGACAGCTGCGAGCACATGCCACAAATGCGGCATCCAGCCACCCCACCCCCAGTTTGGAAAAGTTGGGCCTGTTGCGGGCCACGACTCATGGATGAGCCGCCCGTGCCTAGTGTATTATATATTTTAAAAAGGGATAATTAATCTCTAGATCTTTATAGTTTTATCTGATTTTTAATTAGATCCTTATAAATTTTTTTTATCAGCTTCTTTTACTTTCATGTGTTTTTAATTAGGTTCTTCTATTTTTTTTCTTTTTATCAGGTCCTTATAGTTTCACTTATTTTTTAATTAGGTGCTTTATAGTTTTTGAAAAATTATTTATTAACTTTATTCTTTGAAATTAATTTCATTTTTAAATTAATAATTATATAATTGGACAAAATAATTAATATAATAATTTAGTAATTAATAAATAATCAGAATAATAATTATACTTAAATATAAATTATTTATAATCATATTTTAATTTTAGAAAAATTTATTATTATAATTTGAATTTTATAATTATAAAAATTTGAATTGAAAATAAATAATATATTTGTTTAACTAAAAATTTAAAAGAATATTAATATAAGATTATTACAATAATTTATTATTTTTAAAATGTTATTATTTGTAAAATAAAAAATAAAAACTATAAGAACCTAATTAAAAACAAAGTAAAACAATAAAAACTTGATAAACAGAAAAAAATTATAAGGACTTGATTAAAAATATATGAAAGTATAAGAACTTAAAAAAAAAATTATAGGAACATAATTAAAAACCAGTTAAAACTATAAAGATTTATATTTATATGTTAATTATCCCCTTTAAAAACAAAAAGCCTTAAAAAAAGAGCAAGAAAACTGTAAACCTCAAGGCTCACCCTCGCAGGGTCACGCTAGTCTTGGCTCTCGCGCCTCGCCTCTTGGTTGCTCCCCTCCCCACGACTGGCGATTCCCCGCGCGGCTGTTCCCCTCCACCTTTGCCTCTCAGTCCGTCTCCGCCAGTCCAGTAGTCGACACTCGACACTCTCCGCCCCAAAGGCCCCGCCTCTCTCGACGCCTCTGCTCTCTCCTCTCTCGTCGGCGTCGCCTCCATCAGTCCCGTCTTGGCGTCTCGTCTCGTTGAAGCGAAGCCAGGAGGCAGGAGCACGGTCCTCTCTCGTCGGATCTTCTGTTGTAAGCTTCGAATCTTCTTCTACTTTGAAATTTCTTCCTTTTACAAGCATTTTTTATACACCCTCGACACACCCAATTTATTCCATAGCGTCTCTCTTGGTCGATCAATTTGCTGCGAATACAGAGAGCAGCGAAGAGGGACGAAGCTCCTTTGCGGCTGACTTTGAATGTTTGCACGAGGGATAGAAGCCTAGGTATGTTAGGTAGATTCACCTGCTCCTTCTTCTTTACCTTCTCAACCTATTGAAATGTTGAATGGAGTGTTTTTAGTGCTCTTCGGGCGAGAAGAAGCGAGGTTAGTATCTCGCTTGTCATTAACTATGGACGCATTTGGATGTTGCCATATTGTTCTTGCTGTTCATCCAGTGTTTAAAATTGCATATACAGACAAATATATAGCTGCTTATTTAAAGATATATTTGTTTATTTTCTCAGTTCATGCTAAGTAGTTGAACAAACACGCGGGTCTAACTCAATAGCGTTTGATAATTAACAAGAAGTCCTGTTGGTTTTCATTATTTTCAATTCCATCTTTCATTTCATCTGACACATTCTCCCTCTGTTGGGCTTTTTTTCAGTTCAACTTCTGACAAACGTTTGACCTAGTTAGGTACGAGCAACCAATGTCATCTAACAGATCCTCGCTCCTCACAGTCAAATCTCTTACACGGCTGCTCAGCAAGTGTTCTTCGCATGACATTGTGGACTCTAGCAAAATCTGTAATACTTGGAAGACTCTCAGTACTTCTGCTGAAAGGTTGGATTTTCAATCGGCCAGTGCTTATCAACCAGATGATTCTTTAAATTATGAGCAAAGTCATGCTAAATTTTATCCTGCAAGTCGAAATGGCGCAAATTCTTATCAATTACCATACGGGCAAAGTTCCGACAATGTTAATCAAGCGCATGCAGGCGGGTTGTGTGGAGGAAGTCTAGTGCACAATCAGAAGAGCTCACACCAACACCGTGGCTATTCTGAAGGTCTTCAGAATGAAATTGGGAACAAACTAAGTGAGCGTGGTGGAAATTTTAGTGGAATCTATGAACATAAAAATGATAGTCCAGAGAGATTTTCTAGGGGATTTGATCAGATGGTTGATGGACCTAACTTGAATAACGATATAAATGTTTTCCAGAATAATTTGGCCAGACAAAGAGGAATTCCTGATGGTAATCCAATGGGCTTTAGGAAGCATCTAAATGCATCTGCTGAGAACCATGACGGGCTCTATGCTCAACGGAACCTAAATGGCACGAGTGGAAATCTGGAGCTCTCATATGCCTGTAGGACGGAGGGACCAACGGATAGGGCATATCATTCCAATGCGTATAGCTCACAGATCCTCTCTGAGCCTCTGGGAAATCTGAAAGGGAACCTCAACCAAAACTTCGGCAGTTTTCAGCAGGCACCAAAGAATCAATTCACATGGACTAACAATACGACTAATCAGTGTAATGCAGCTTCCGGACAATTTCCACAGAATCTAAAAGACAGTCGATATCGTCCAAATTTGCACCCAGTACAGAGTTCAACAATCGGATCACAACTATCAGATAATGCAAAACCTGAGGTGGAGTCAGCTGAGGCATCTGGTAGTAGTCCATATATGGGTACCCTTGAGGAACTAGATAATTTTTGTATGGAGGGCAAAATGAAAGAAGCTGTAGAAATTTTGGGACTGCTGGAAAAGCAGCATATTCAAGTGGATTTGCCTCGATATTTGCAATTAATGCACCAATGTGGGGAGGCTAAAGCTCTGGAAGAGGCAAAAATTATACATGAACAAGTCTTAAGGTATCTGTCACCTCTCAAGGTGAGCACGTATAACAGAATATTAGAGATGTATTCAAAATGTGGTTCTATGGATGATGCATTCAAGGTGTTCAACAATATGCCAAAGCGCAATATGACAACTTGGGACACTATGGTAACCTGGCTTGCAAAGAATGATTTTGCAGAAGATTCAATTGATTTATTTACTCAATTCAAGAAAATGGGACTAAAACCTGATGGAAAAATGTTCATCAGTGTTTTTGCTGCGTGCAGTATGCTTGGTGATATTGATGAGGGGATCCTACATTTTGAGTCAATGAGCAAAAGCTATGGCATTGTACCATCTATGACTCATTATGTCAGTATAGTAGACATGTTTGGAAGTATTGGACATCTTGATGAAGCATTTCATTTTGTTGAAAATATGCCAGTGGAGCCGAGTGCTGATGTATGGGAGACCTTGATGAATCATTGTAGAATTCATGGAAACATGGAGCTAGGGGATCGTTGTGCTGAAATAATTGAGCAATTGGACCCTTCTCGCTTGAACGAGCAATCTAAGGCAGGCCTTGTACTTGTAAAAGCCTTAGACCTGGCAAAGGAGAAAGAGAAGAAGAAGTTAGCAAAACAAAATCTTCTGGAAGTAAGGAGCAGAGTCCATGAATATCGAGCAGGAGATACTTCTCATCCTGAGAATGATAAGATCTATGCTTTGCTTAGAAGCTTGAGGTCACAAATGAAAGAAGTTGGCTATATTCCAGAAACAAGATTTGTGTTGCATGACATAGACCAAGAAGGCAAAGAGGAAGCTCTTCTTGCCCACAGTGAGAGACTTGCTGTTGGTTATGGTCTCCTAACCAGCCCTGCCCGTTCTCCTATTAGGGTTATCAAAAACCTCCGTTTTTGTGGTGATTGTCATAATGCACTAAAGATTATTTCCAAGATTGTTGGCAGAGACCTTATCATTAGAGATGCTAAAAGATTCCACCATTTCAGTGATGGGGTGTGCTCTTGCGGGGATTATTGGTGAACATCAGGAGCTCGGTACTTTCCAACCTAGTTATTGAGTTATTATCTCCCTTCTCTTTCTCATTTGATAAGTAGATATAATGAAACCAAGAGGTTGCTGTTTGTCTTGGAGCAGTTGTAATTAAACTTCGTTGAGTTATTGTCTTTCTCTTCGATGCAGAAGATAGTTTGTTTGGTTTCTTAGCCCCCAGATCTAGCAGAGGATGTTGATCTGTGGTCACTGCTTTTTTCTCTTATCAATAGTTCTAAATAGGTTTGTGAGTGTGCGTTAAGAGAATTTAAGCCCCTTTCCCTTTGTTTTGACTGCAAATCTGAGCAGGTTTTTTATTTTGGAAAGTTTAAGGCAATATTTTAAATTCTAGAACTCTATAGTATCATATTTTATTCTATGCTTCTGCTACTATGAGTAAATGCTTAGATACATGGAAATCCTTTCAACACTGTTTCCTTTATAAGATGGCCTGAAATGGGCGGGTAGCTCTGACTTCATGTTCCCCACTTAAGTATGGTATATTTGGTCTGATAGAAAACAGAGCAGAGATGAGTTAAATACGTTAAAGCAACTATAATTCTTGCATGCTATATATTGCCATTCCATGCCATATGTTACAGGTGTAAAAGAAAAGGGTCTCCAAAAATAGAACTACTTAAAAAATATTGGTCAATTGGCAATTGAACAGTTAATGATCTGATGGATTCCTTGGTACCATGGATGCTTATCACAAATGGATTTGCAAGTGAACATCAGGGTCTAACCATTCGGCTTTCTACTGACTATCATCTAAATACTGTACGTTTTGTTCCTGTCCTATTTAACCGAGAGAACTTGAATGAGGTTTTATTATTCTGCTTCTCATTGTAATTTACCAACAATGATCTTCCGGCTATGATTTTGTGTAAGGCTGCTGAACATATTTATGCATTTCGTTGTATCTTTAGGGCTCACAAAAATTGTGATTCTGGATGCAATATACATCAGATTGGCATATGGTGTCTTGTTTATGTGAATTACCATTGATGTGTTTTCAAACACATCTCGGCAGAATCACTAACGGGGTTGTGACAATGTTGAACATTTTTCCAAACACGCCCTGCAATCTTTCCCCTTTCTTATTGGGCATTTGATAATTGCTTGACCGTTTTGTTTAAGAGCCATTATTCGAGAAAACTCACTGAAGTCTTGTTACGCAGGTGTCTCATGGGCTAAATTATGATTGAATGGCATATGTTCGATAAAGAGGGCGGTGACTAGCTTACAGAAAGAGATGGGGGATGTAAACATACATCTCATCGTTGCTAAAAGCAATGTTTTATATACGCGAGGATACTTGGGGTCTTATGAAATCAGGCTCTTCCTTGCTGAGGAGGAATGTGAACCAAAACTGTGGGATTTTGATTCAGGGAGGTCTTTCATTCTGCATTGCATTCTTTTTCCATCCTTGTATTTTGTCTGTTGTTGTTTTCCGAGGTCGGGTGGATGGGCAATTCTCTTGGATTAACAAAAACTGCTATTTATTCAAGGGATAACGTTAGTGGGGATTTTGGTGAAAATGCTATAGAATTGGAACTTGCAAGGATGGATTCAAATAACTAGTGATCCATTCAATTGAATAAAATATTATCCATTGATAGATAGATGCAAATAGAATGATTGTTTGATTTTGTTGTATTTTGCCACAGTGCGACCAAATGAGTTGAGTCGGGCTTGCTAGACCTTTTTCAATGGACGTATATCATTTGTGTCGTTTGAAAGTGTTCTTTTTGGCCGCATGCACGGCGAGGAAACGAATTTTTTGGTTGTTCCGCGTTCTAGTGGGAGCCGAAAGAAAGGATTTATCCTTGAGCTGATAGTTTAACGAAGCTATGAGGATCTCTACGGTATGAGTATCCTCAAGATACTGTGGGCACTGCTTTCAGCAGATCTGCAACTGCTCTTTTTGTTTCCTCCCGTGTTGGATTCCTCGGAGTTGGAAATGTGGCCTCTTCCCCCATTCTTATGTTTAAACCACGGTGCTCTGACCTCATTTCCTTTCCACCTTGCTTATTCATTAGCCAGCTACGTGGTGGTTATGGTAAGATGTTGCGGCTACCAGTGTATTGTTCCTAAGACATCAACAGTGCAATTTGTTCTCGATGTTTATGCCAAGAAAAGGGTTCATTATATGATTATTTTATTCTAAATAACTAATTTAGATGGATTAAAAAAATTGGTTTAGTTATTTATTAGCAAAAATTTGAGTTTACTTTTCTAAAATATCCTTTCTTTTGATTATTTAAATTAATAACCATCCTTGCTCCTGTTAACTATGCCCATCAATAGGCCACTTTAGGGAAGAAAATAATCAATATAAAAAAATAAAGGGGTTTGAGTTTTCACATTTAAAACTAAATTAAGTTCTTTAGTTAATTTTTGTATTTAGAACTGACAGAAAGATTTACTAATTTATTGATACATATAAATAATTTTCAGCTCTGAAATGAGATCAGGCCGCTTGGAAGGTTACATTTTAGCAATTACTGTGATGTTTTATATCTTAACCTCAATGGAGAGTATAATGTATAAGGAGATGAAGTAGCTCAATGAAGAATATATCGTATAAGAAGATAAAGGAGTTGGACTATTTTTAAACCTCAAGAATTTAAAAAGATTCAATTTAATATGATTTTATGTAATCTAATCTGCCCAATACAATTTGTACGGTCCGTAAGTCAGTGGATTCATGTGACCTTATTTCAAAAATTAAAATTTATATCTATATTTATATTTCTTTGCATGGATAATGCATCTCATTAGTCATAGAACGCTAATGCCTCCATTCAAGGCAAGGAAGATTTTAAAACAGTTCTTATTTGTTCCAAAAATAAGGTAAATTAATCCACCCATTAAAAAACACGAAATTTAGTAAAGTGAGATTCGAGATAATTAATTAAAATTTAAGAAGAATAACGAGATGAGAGGACCTCAAACATTTTTCGGTAACGATAATAAGGCTGTGCTGTCTAATCCAAGACACCGGCCCCCCGATGCATCGAAACTAACGCGACTGAAGCCCACGCTTTCGTCGCGCGATTGACACTTGACTAAGACGATCATTCTGAATTCCGAAGCCCCACCCTTGATGTGATTTTTAGTTTTGCCCCCAAAAAGGAGTGGTGAAGGAACAAATACGAGCCCCGGTGAGGCTATCAAAGCTTTGGTTTCCCACCACCCTTGGCTCTCTCTCCCCCCCTCCTCAAGCACGAACAAGAAACTAGAGGAAAGGGTTTTCTTAGTGAGATCTAGGGTTTGGATAAAATTCGGAGGGACATTGATCCGTTGTGTTGTCGGAGGAAAAGAAGGAGGTAAGCATGGATTCGGTCCCTTCGAATTCCCATGGAAACCTTGATGAGCAGATTTCTCAGCTTATGCAGTGCAAACCCTTGTCTGAGCAAGAGGTACGTTGGTTTTCCTTTTGAATTATCCTATTTAATATACGAAATGTTTCCTCTTTTGATTATTTAGAGAGGGGAAGGGATTATCGTTGATTCTCGGGAAATGTGATGGATCAGGACGATTTCTGGGGCTTTCTGAGACGGCCAATGGCTCTTCGCGTTTGAATTGTATGGGCATGATCTCTAAGTTTTGCCGAAGTTGGTTTTTGGTCATCGACTTTTTTTAGCACCCATTATCGTTTCTGGGCTACCTATGGTAACCAAATTAGATCTCATATAGTCTTGTGTAAATCACGGGTTCCTCTAATCCTAATTGCTCTGTGCATTTCTTTCAGAAACGTTACTCTAGGTTTGATCACGTGGGTTGATCATCTTTCACTTCATCGAAATGTTCCATCAATTTTGGGAAATTTATAACGATTATGAGCGGAACTGATTTTTCCAAGCAAAGAGGGGCCGTCTATGTATGATAGTATATTTGTTCGTGCTTGCATATTGATGTTGTTGATGGAGGCATGTCACTATCAGATCCAAGCCATTAATCTTGATGCTTCCAATTTTGCTTTTTGGTATTTTAGGTGCCAATCAGAATTAGAATTGGGCTCAAAACTTCCTCAAAAAGCGTTTTTGATTTGATGCCATTTAATTAAGTCACGACATGACCAGATTTGTTCAAAACATGTTGGTGCATGCGTTGTTGGCTAATCTATGTTTACGGATAAAGCTAGTTAACTTTATTGACCATTTATCGTGGTTGCTGGCAACGGAGTCTAGAGACCTTGGGACCTTTCCAAAATGACAGTCTCTAACTCAGGCAATGACCAGCGCGTGGAAATGGTTGCATGATATTTGTTTGATCATCTTTGTGATACTGCTTAAATCTGACGGTTATCTACAGCTGCACAGTCTTCCCTACTAAATGTGGAAGGTCTTGAAAAGCCAGAGAGGTCTCCAAACCCTTTGGTTCCTTGAGAGAACCTAGTAATGTACAAATAATCCTTAAAGCGTTAATGCTGTCCTCATCATATGATTGAGATTCATTGAACGTTGTGATCGGAGTATCAAAGAAAACTGTTTGTTTTATTTCTTTGATGATTAAACTGTTACTTCACTTGTCTGCTTATTGTTCTGCAGGTGAGGGTCTTGTGTGATAAGGCAAAGGAGATTTTGATGGTAGAGAGCAATGTTCAGGTGTGTGTGTGTGTTTGTGTGTTAAATTAAATAAGTAAATGAGTTTTCTAATTTCTAATTTATACAGCATGCTTCATGTGTTTGTGCTTATCGTGATAAGTATTTAAAGCATTGAGGTCAGCTCCCGCAAGAATTGTTTGCATTAAGCATGTATTGTGTTCTCTCAATTGGTGACCATTTCTCAGCTGCTCTGGGCATTTCATTTGAGATTCTTGATCTTGACTTATGTTTAATAACTTCATCCTCGTATCTTGTAGGCTTTAGGTTATAGTGATTTTGAATGGTAGCTGCCAGGGAGTGCTAAATGTTTTTTTTTTTTCCTGTTGTTGCCATAATTGCAGCCTGTAAAAAGTCCTGTTACAATTTGTGGTGATATTCATGGGCAATTCCATGATCTTGCTGAGCTTTTTCGCATTGGAGGCAAGGTATGTATTCTGAATTGTGGATTTTTTTTTTTAACAAAAAAAAATTGCTGAAATTACAGAGACTGCACACGTTTTCAGATAAGGGAGCTGTATTTTTTTCTTTTTTTTTGGGGGGGGGGTTTAAGATACACCTCGTTGAGGTCTATGGAAACTGCATTTGATCTTAATCTTGGTTTCACAAAACCAGCTTTCTTTATTTAACTGTTAAAATGACATTGTAACCCAGCTACTTACTGGCCATTTAACAACGTCATCGTGGTAATTAATATTTTTTTGGGGAATGTTTATGTGTGGGAGAAAAGAAAGCTAATATTACAAGTTACCTTTATAGCCTAAAACTTAGGACATTCAAAGTTCAAAACTTTTAATCAGGCTCTTCTTTTTCAGTTAGCGGATTGTGACATGTTAGTTCGAAATTACTTTCATAGGAAGGTTCTAGAAAACCATCCATGATAAGTTTTTCTCTTTATTTCCTGTAGTTCCTTCATATTTCTAGACACCATCTAATCTGATTTCGTTTAAAACTTTTCTAGGTCATAGGAGGCTTAGATTGCACCCAAATCTTATTATTATATAAATATTTGCTAGTCTGTCATATTAAGCTTTCTGTAAACTAAATAATTTGAATACTATGTGTTGTGTTCATTGTAGATCTGTTGGTTGGTTGAGCTTTGAATATGTAGTATTGCTTAATATATAGAATGTGTGGGTTGAGTACTCATATCTGATTACCTTTTTTTGTTTCAATTAGTGTCCAGATACAAATTACTTGTTTATGGGAGATTATGTTGATCGTGGCTATTATTCAGTTGAAACCGTAACAGTAAGTATGGGCTGTTATGCCATACCAATTTTTTGTAGTCCAAGCTGAATTTGTGTGATTCATTTTTGTATTTCTAAATCCTTATGAGGTGACGGGACAAGGATGTTATGGACATACCTTAAAAGTCTAAGACTATAAGTGGCTAAGCTTCAAATGCGTTTTTTAAATTAATTTTTCATAATTAATGATTGTTACAAGCTTAGATGAGTTGAACACTGGTTAGGTCACTGTAAGTTCTTTGTTGCCCTCTAAATATGTAGACATTTTACTAAATTTTACTTTACTTATGGCATGTGTGCTGAGATTGGTGGTCTGTGTTTTTTTTCTGTCAGGTGTGCTTGTGGTTATTTTAATTATCGTCTACTACATAATTTAGTTGTGTGGTCATGCTAACTAAAAAGATAAAAATAGTATATATGGCTATGCTCTATGTGTAGAGAATCTATTTGCAGCATGAGGAATTGCTATAGAATTACACCCGTGGAAATCAATATTAACACAGATATGGTGTATGGATTTCAAAATTTTAAGTAAATTTTCTTTTAGAAATTGATATTAATAGTATGAGAATGTTTGGTTCAGTTTGTTGTTTCTTTGAGTGGAAACATATTTTGCATCGAGTCACTGACTATATCCTATGCAGCTTTTGGTTGCTCTCAAAGTGCGCTATCCTCTACGCATTACTATTCTCAGGGGAAATCATGAAAGTCGTCAGGTGTGTTCTATGTAGTGTCGTGTGACTTGTCTAATCATTAATGATTTATACAGACACATACACACACAGCATGTTGCAATCGATTCCCTAGCTAAAAGCTTAACTGCTTCATTATTTGCTCTCTGCCCTGATGGGGTTTATTTGACTGTATGTTTTGTTAGCTTTAAATTCATTGATTAATCTTATTCTTTGTGCGACAGATTACTCAAGTTTATGGGTTTTACGATGAGTGCCTACGAAAGTGAGTACTACATACCTTTTAGGATATCTTAGTTTGGCACTTGACCTTTGTTAGATATGAATTATTGCACCTATCACCTCTAAGTTTGTTTTATCTTTTGTCCCTTGATTTTTTTTTTTTTAAATTTTCCTATCACCTCTAAGTTCGTTTTATCTTTTGTCCCTTGATTTTTTTTTCCTTTGAATTTTCTTTTCCCCAGAATCCTCTTGCTAATTTGTTATTATCTTTTATGCGTCATAGATGCTCTTTTAGTTATAAGCGTGTAACTTTGTGCTAAATTAAAACGTATTTCTTGTAGTGTTCCTATGTGGAGTAGTATGAGCGTACATGATACAACACCATGTCCCTTTCAGTTCCCATTGTTGAACAAGCACATATAGGACAAAACACAGCTAAAATCAAATGGGGACATTGTAATTATTTGGCTACAGGCTGCTCTAGCATTAATTACTGTCCTGCGAGTGTTCACGTTATTTTATTCATCTTTTTCTGTTAATTTCAACCCAACTTTCTTTTTTGTTTTACCTAGATTTATAGTTGCTATGTCTAAATGATAAGCATGCTGTGTAGAAGAGTGTGAAACATTGAAGGAGAGAATAGCCGAGGATCCTGATTGCTGGACCGTTTATTTTTATTTCCTGGATTGAGTCGCATAAGTTACTGAGACATGCTTTTTAGATTTTTATTAGTATTGTGTTAGAAATCATGTTTAATATCATTGATTGTATCATTGTTGGGGAAGCAATTTCACCCCCCCCCCCGGGGGCCCCATGTCTGGATATTCAGATAAACAATATAATTCGTCAAAAATTTCCAAATTTACACTAGATTTATATTAATAAGATGTTTGCAAATATGCATTTTATGTCCCCATTATAAAGTAGGAGATGATCCCAACAAAACAAAAATTATTCTTGTTGAAAGTTGATTTGGAATTCTTAATATTTTGCTACTTGGTGTCTTTATTGGTCTTAAAATGTTCTAGGGGATGTTTGGTATATGTGTTCTCTGTCTGCTTGTCCTTGTATTCCTATTAATTTTCCTTTCGACTGCAAACCCACATGGATAATAATTTCTTTGCAGGTATGGTAATGCCAATGTTTGGAAGATCTTTACAGATTTATTTGACTACTTCCCCTTGACAGCATTGGTTAGTAATCAATTTATCTGTGTCTCTTTTTTATCTTCTTTTGTGCATAATATACTTAAATTTTGAAGTCTTGCTTTGCTCTCTAGCTTTCATTAAATATTTCAGTTTTTTTATGCGTTCTTAATTTCTAGCGAGTCATGTAATATTGAGATCATAGTAATCAATTCACAATTCCAATCCTGATGTCAACGTTTTGACTAATCATTTCTTGCTGCTAAAGTGTGATATTCTCTTTGCAGGTTGAATCTGAAATATTTTGTCTTCATGGTGGGTTGTCCCCATCAATTGAAACCCTTGACAACATTCGTAATTTTGATCGGGTACAAGAAGTTCCTCATGAAGGACCCATGTGTGATCTTCTGTGGTCTGATCCCGATGATCGCTGTGGTTGGGGTATCTCTCCTAGAGGTGCAGGATATACCTTTGGCCAGGTAATCTAGTCTACTGTGCATTGTCAGGCTAGTATTGCATTTTACCCAATATCATTAATGTTCATGGACAGTGATTGGAATTGTTTTTACAGGACATATCTGAGCAGTTCAACCACACCAATAACTTGAAGCTTATCGCTAGAGCTCACCAGCTGGTTATGGAAGGATATAACTGGGGTCATGTAAATACTGGATCTCATTCACTTTTAGTTTGTTGATATCTTCATATAGAGCAGTATTGTCTGATTTATGGTGCATTTTGCAGGATCAAAAGGTGGTTACCATATTTAGTGCACCTAATTACTGTTACCGCTGTGGGAATATGGCATCTATCCTTGAAGTTGACGACTGCAAGGGACACACATTCATTCAGGTTGAGCTTCCCTTTCATTATGTTAGAATCTGCTGCAGTAGCTGTTTTGTTTATGTTACCTTCGGTCCTTAATATAAGAGTTAGTTGACTAATTTGAGCAGATTAAAAAAAAAAGTTAAATTAATTATCTGTAATAAATAGATATTGCTTTTTCTAAAATACCCTTGCTTATCAAGTATAGTAGCGAGAATTACTATTTGATGAAACATTTGACATGTGCAAGTATTATAAAGATTATCTAGACAACAACAACAATAAGCCTTATCCCACTAAGTGGGGATAAGAACTATATATCATAGAAAAAATAGATAAGTATGAGAGACATAGTAGATTGGGGTTTTATATTTAGAACTAAATTGAATGTTAAACTAGCTCTTATATTAAGGACCGAAAGTAGTATATTGATGCAGTCCAGCTGTTCATTTTATCTGGTGCTTTCTGCTTAGCATTTAGCGTTCTGCTGCATAAAGCAGCTCCTTATGTGTTTAATCATTTTTTATGCAGTTTGAGCCAGCGCCAAGGAGGGGAGAGCCAGATGTGACCAGGAGAACACCTGATTACTTCCTATGATGATACTCTGGTTGAGCTGCTGTTACCAGCGACTCGTGGCCCCTCACTTCCCTGCAAGCACATTGACTCTCTGAAATCAGAGGTCATGCGTCAAATTTGATCCCTACAGTTTTGATATGTTAGTGGTTTAGAGGCATTGCAGGATTTGTTATTTACTTGAATTATACTTGGATCTTTCCAAGAGGAGGTAGAGGAGCAACAGGTGATGCTATTATCAGCATTCATACCATTCCAGCAAGCCATGTATCTTTATCATTTTTTTTTTCCCTTTTCCCATTTTTTTCAGTTGTTTCTTTCCTCAAATTTAGAAGGATTATTTTTCAGGGGATGGATTTCTGTAGATGGATGATGCTCTAACAGTTCCTTTAATGGTGCTTTATAATTTTTCCCTCTCGATTTGTGAGAACACGTTCTAGTAGGTATCTTTTATCTCTTAATTTTCTCCTTCCCTTTTGACTATCCTAATAATGCGTCTCCTCGTCATCTGTCAATTTTTGGAAATGCGTTCATGTGGTTGTGTTTCTTGACTGTTTCATCTCCTCTTTGGGCATGAAACCTAATTGGGGTATCCGAAGGCATACCGTTATGAACCATGGGATGTAAACATTGCGGGAGAGGAGACCTGTTGTAAAGAATCAAAACTTGAACTCTGGCCCGTCGTGCATAATTTACTTTACTAACGAGTTTAATTTTCTTAGCTATCTTTCATATAATGTGTTTTTAGATTATGTTTGTGACAACTTGTATAAATGAAAAAATCAGTGAGATTCAGCGTCTTGACATTCATAGATCATAAATAATGTGTTCGGTTTTTAATATAAAAATTAGTTTGGTTAAAAATATATATGTATACAAGTTATTTGGAGGACAGATTTGGTTCTAAATATATGATCTTATCTCTTGAATTTTTTTTTTCCCTGAAATATTAATGTTGATTGTAAAGAGAGAGAGAATTACAATATATATGGTTAAATAGAATAATTTAGGGCCTGTTTGGGTAACATAAAAAACTATGGTTTTGGGATCTCAATGATAATATGATTTTAAGACTTCTTAATTATTTTTTTTATAAATACATTTAATCTTATATTTTATTAGTATATATACACATTAATTATTTTATTAGTATATATACACATATTAATTATTTATTAATTATATTATCTTATATATTATTAACAATTTTATTTTTTTAAATTAAAATATATTATAAAATCTATCTTTTATATAATTATCATATTAACTTATGTCTTTTTTAGTAATTTGCACATATAAAAAATACTTCTGATAACAACTATCCAAACACTCTCACTTTATCAGAATCACTTTTTCACAAAATTTATTTTTCATAAAATCTATTCTTCAGAAATTATTCTCCAAATCATGATTTGGTTTTATCCAAACACACTTTTAAAAAAGTCAATTATAATAGAGTTTTTTTTAAAAAGCATTTTTTTGTAATTCAAGATAAATTTCTTTACATATTTATTTCATATACCGTAAAATCATTTTTAAAATCATGGTTTAGTTTTCACCCAAACACTCATTTAATCAGCTTAATTAATTTTTTTAAATCTCTTAGAATTAGTTGTGACGGGGGTGGTATATTCTTTGCACTTTTTTTAAGTTTTACATTGGGATAAATTAGTAAATTTGATGATCTTGGAAACTAAGAAAATAATTTTATCTTTTTTTGAATTGAGGGATTAAACTAAAAATGAAAAAAGAATACACCATCAGATAAATCGAAAATTGTACCAAAGCAAAGACCAGACAACTACAGACTTCTCAGCCAAGCGGGTTCGGGATGCAGTGGCGCTGCTTCACCCTTAAAATAAAACAAAACGTGCAGCATTAAGGAGTATGATGAATGTGTATTAATGAGTATGATGAAGACGGAGGCGCAAATTCAATTCACCAAATTATTGCATATATCAAATAATACTGTCAAAATCTTTTTTTTTTTTGGGAAAAAAATAGAGGAATAGGTATTCACAGCCACTTGCAAGGAAATTTCATGTCATCACATGGCTGTTGAAATCTTTTAGCCCGTTTGGTTCAGCTACACATCCATGTTAAGCTGCAATTCAATACAATGCAGTAAATGGTAATGCAATCTTTATTATCATAAACATGTTTGGTAAGTTATAAAACTAAAGGAATGATATGTATTATTTAAAATATAAAACACTGTGAAATTATAATTTTGCCCCTCTTGCAGAAAAAAAACCTTTTCTCCTCTTCGTTTAAACATTCCCTTTTCACATTTTCATAAATTCATCATATCTGAAAAATCAGTGAAGCTCCTTGGCAAATGCACAATCCCTCTTCTCCCCATTTGTCATCTTCTCCCTCTTTGGCCAAAACCAACTTCAACCAACTAAAATCAAAGAAACAAATAATAAACAATAGCAAGAGGGAATGCTGGAGAAGCTGTCGATGGAGAAGGAAAGAACCAACACTGTCTATGATGGTTGCTATGGTGGAAACTGAAAAGAAGGGGTTCCAAAATAAAATCAAAGTGGCTTATGAATTAAGATACTATCTATGAAACTTGATTAAAAGGAGCTACAAGACTAAATAGAAAAAAATTAGTTAAGATCTAGACGAAAAAATTCAATCGAATGTTGCAACAAAAAGGAATGATGGTAAAGAAGGGCAGGTGCAAGGGAAGGTGAAAGAAGGAGAACGATTGAGATGGGGTCACAAAGGAGTAGTTAAAGACAAACATCATTGGGCCTTATTGGCTCCGATCTGAGATTGGCTTTGCCAATGTCTGATCTGTAGAGGTACTGGATGAGGAAGGAGGAAGGAGGAAGGTGGCGGTGGTATGGGTGGAGCACGGGAAGACAACGAGTAAGGGAGGTGGAAGGAAAAATGACGAGGGAAAGTGGATTGGAGGGCAAATGAGGCTTTTTCAAATATGCAATAGGATGATAATAAGTATTTATATGGGAAGAGATATGAACAGGTATTACCAAAATTTTGGTAATCTACATTACCATGATAAACCCCATTACCATTCTAAAGAGCAATTAAACATTCATATTTTGGCAATATATACCTAATTACCATTGCACGTTTGCAATGGAATTAAATCAAACAGGTCCTTATGACGTATTTTAAGAAATAGCACTTGTTTTATTTTGAGAAATTTAAACAATGTGTCCTTGCGACGTATTTTAATTTTAAATTTGCATTGTTTTGGTCACGTAAAAATAACTAACTGTAGGAAGTGGCGCGTGTTCCATGTACATTGAGGCTAAAAAATTCATTGGCACTGCAAAGCCTCTTTTCTTTTGGGCCAACGAAACGTTCTCTTTCATCAGTATACGTGTCTGTATTTTCTGTTTTAGTTGGGGGCTGCAGGAATTACTGAAGGTTGTTGTGGAAGGGCGAGAGTAAGTGCTGATCCTTGTGAGAGAATGAGAGAGATCTGGTGAAAGCCAGAGGCAACATCATAAGTTTCTTAGCTCTTCCTACGTAGGCTCTTCTCGTCAAGTTGTTATATCCGTTGTCTTCGATTGCATCTAAGATCTTCCCGTATATTATTAACGACGACCAAACCTGCAAATCATGCACAAACCGATTCATAAGCAACTGCAAGTTATGCACCGCACCACAATGAATTTATTTTCGTGGAACATTCATAAATTCACACTGCCATGTATTTGCTGTAATGTTTTGAGAGGTGATCAATCTTTTGGACTGGAGGTCAGCTAATTCAATGGCTTCCCACTACCGTTTTTCATTTGTGCCTTCATGGGATTATTAACTATGAATGAACTGTCCTTGAAGGGATGATCAGTCATGTTTATTTTTCAAAAGCTTCTTGAAAAGCAAGAAATGTATTTCTCTTTTCTTTTGGGGAGTTTTTTTTTTGGGGGGGGGGGGTTTGGGTGGGGGGATGGATCTCCAAATTCAAGAGTGAGCATACCGGCCAACGGCTGGCTTTCTCAAGCTGAGAAGCTCCTTCCTCTGCCAAGCTGAAGTAGAATCTTGCCCTGTTTATCTGATGTTTCATGAACACCTTCCATTCTTCAGTGACAGTTCCTGAGAAAATATCCTTGTCACTTAATCCGAACTGGGCAAGTTCATCTTGGGGAAGGTAAACTCTACCTCTTGATGCACTGAAAGGATAACATGGAAAACTTAGATGAGCAGGCTATGAAGAGCACGTAAAGTTATGAATCAACAGGATACTTACTCCTCTCCCACATCTCTGAGAATGTTTGTCAGTTGATTCCCAATACCTAAATATAATGCTGCATCATATATGGTTTGAGCAGGGAGAAGAGACTCTGCTGCAATTCCCATCACTGGAACACTCATCAGGCCCACAGTTCCAGCCACATAGTAACAGTAAAGATATAGCTCTTCAAAATTCTTATACCGGCTCTTCCTTGTATCCATCTTCATACCTTCTATCATGTCCCTGAAGGGCTATAATAGAAGAAGACACTTCATTACTGTAGATTCCTTGAGCTACTGATTCATGATTTTGGTTTTGATAGCCAAGATACCTTAATGTCCAAGGGAAACATGGAAACAGTGTCGGTCAGAGCAGCATCAAGCATGTCATAAGGGCGTCCGCTGAAAATGTCATGGAGTCTCTCTTCCCACCTATCAAGAACAGCAGAGCTCATATAGACCGCATTAGGACCATCAACCAATTCATCTGTCCTCCTGCACCAAACTGCAGACAAAAATCTCATTATTTAAAAACACAGATTTGATGATGGATGGATAAGTTTTTAAGAATAGATGGATATTCCCCTTTTGGCCAATTTAATTAATAGGATTCCAGTGAGAAACTTGTAATGTGCATTCAAAATGGTTTCAAACAAGGGTGTAGTATGTTAATTTGGATCATATTCGACTTTCTTTGGGGAGTTCAACTAGATGAGGTTAACGGTATCTAAAAAGTAAATCCTTTAGATTTATTTAGCTTCCAAATCCATTATCTTCGATGTGAACTTTCTTACCATAAATCGCCCATATAGCTCTCTGTCTTTCTTCTGTCATCAACAGAGTTCCTGTTTAATAATGAAAACGATCTAAGTTGTGCAGGAGAAGATAGAATAGTTCAAAAGACCTAATGAAAACAACATAATAGAAAAGAACAAAAAAAAGTCGGGCTGTTACATATGTGAGGGAATAAATGAATTATTAAAAAAAAAAAAGGGAATGCAAGAAAGTTAACCATTTTCTTCAACCAAGCACATGATACACAAGATAGAAAATCATATAAATTCATGAACTGTAATTCATTAGAAGGAAGAAAGTGGATTTACACCTAGATAGAAGGTCTTGGCATATTCTGCACAGATCTTTCTGCAACTTTCATATGCTTCCTGTAGAAAACCAGGACGGAACTGCGGCTTTATGGGAGGAATGGTGGAGATGAACTTGGCCGGCTGAGTCTGCCTCTCTACAATATCTTGTACGTGCAGATCAGCAAGAGGAATTCCCTGTTTTGACAACTGAGGATATATGATATCCCTTGTTGGTTTGGGGACCAAGGTCACTTGTGCTCTTATAACACCAAGTCTTCTACTAATTGATTTGCTCACACTAATGTGGCTTCCAATGATGGAAGCGTTTGCTGCTAGAGAAAATGGCAGACTCATCTGACTCTTTGAAATTGGTCAGCAGATAGGACTATCAAATGAATGGCTTTAAAAGTGAATTTGGGATGCCGCTGCCAAGTTAAGGCCAAGGGGACCATCAACTCCTTTTGCCATTCTCTTTGTATATATCGTCACATAATTTTCTATAATTGTGAGTAAAGATCACTTTTTGCAAAGACCAGTTGCATTTGATATGGACAGCTGAAAAGTGGAACGAGAAATTTATTCATGCTCAATCATGTAACTAGTCTTGTATGTAATATTTTCTCCACACCGAAGACACTTGAATCATATTAAATGCAACGAATCTCATCAAGGAATATGCGTCTGATAGACTGTACTATGCCCCTTGCATCGCCCGATAGCCGATACATCTGGAAGTTTATTTTCTAGTTATAAGAAGTACGGCTAAAATTTGCAAGTAGATAATATTTGTGGACTTGTGTTATAATAAATAAGGCATGGGGTATAGTTTGGTCTGGTTTTGGGAGGGAGAACGTAATCTTCGAGGGCGTTGCACTCTGTCTTGGTGAAGGCTGCCAAAGCAATGTTAGCCAAAACGTGTCTGGTAGTGGAATTTATTGTGAGGAATCTTAGTCAGTTTTGATGCCTCCTAAGGCTAAATTATTATGTTCTTTCTGCAGGATTGGTTTGATTAATATCGGCTTGTCTTGTGTTTGCTTATCTTTACAACTTGTCAGGTTGTATAGCCCTTAATATTCGGCCGCCTACGTGGCAAACAACTGCATTCACACACATCATGCTCATGCTCGCAACACAAATTTCTACTTTAGCCATCAAAGGTAACGCGAACAAGAGTAGGGTTTTTTTTTTCCTTTTAACTTCAATACTGATGAAGAAAACAAAAACAAGAATTTTACTCTGGAGACGAGCAGGATTAGAAAGGAAGGAATCCAAACGGTCCGTTAAACCATGAAAAAGCATCCATTCATTCTAATACGATCCAGCGATTAAAATCATTGCATTATTGCAATAAACAACTAGCAGAATTTAGTTTTAAAGCACTGTATACTTGCATTCTGTTCATGATATGCTTTGATTGTTGCAGTAGCAGAGAAATAGGAGCTGAACTGGTTAGTGTTTTTTCTGTTCTATCATGCATATTCTCATACCTCCTTCTTATTCTTTTGAGAAGATTGTTTGTTTGGTTTGTTAGGCATCCAGTTTTCGTCTGGTCTTGTGATAGTTTGTGAGATGCCCTTTGTATTACGTCAGAAACGTCACAGCAGCTGTTGTAAGGTTAATGCAAACCTCACTGACCACTAATTGATCTGCATTAAATATGGGCTAGTAGGGAGATTGGGCCGGGATCTACTTTGAGATAAGCCTAATACGCAATTGGTGATGATTCATTCGGAGCAAAGAAAGAAAGATGGGTGGCGGTGAACATGATAACGAGATCGATTGAAAAGGTTGGGCCAACGAATGAATCAAGAGTGTCCAGATGTCTGATCTGATTTGATTTAATCTTAAAATTTTTTTTTAAAAAAAGAATTTACTTGGGGGAAAAGCTTTGAGATAAGTACGAGGATGTATTGGAAATGGTACTCTACAAAACTGTTTGGATTAGTGTTGGAAATTACTTATAAGCACGTTTCATATAAGTTGAGATAAAACTTCTTTTATATACTTACCTCGTATTCTGTAAGTCACGATTAAAAAAATACTTATAAACTATTCCAAACGGGCTAATAGATAAAATTAAATTATTATTTAACCTCAAAGTTTCCCCCAACTAAATTCGTCTTAGAAAAAGAAGAGATAAACAAACTGGCCCTTAGTTTTAATAAAGCTAAAATATTTCTTTCTGACAAATAATGTTGAAACTTTAAAAATTTAGATTTAAATTCATATTCACATTTTTAATGATATGAAGATAAAGATAACAGTGGTTTGGTTTGGTTTAAATTAAAGCATGATAAAAATTGATACAATGAAAACCGAACCAAAACTTGTTTTGTTCGTTTCGTTTACAACTGGTTTTTGTTGGGCTTTGAGCACAGTTAGATAATCAAGGGACCCTTGAGGAGTATAGAAATGAATCATATGGAATTAGAGTTTTAATAATAATGGTGTATGCTAACTAATGAGTGGCAGTGAGGGACGCCACTGACCATTCTCAACAGGAATTAGTGGAATGTATGCGTGGATGTTGTAATCTAATCTTCCTCGTGGTTCGTGGTTAATTATAATATGTTAGTGTCTGTCTTTTAAACAATAATTGACTACCTAATACCACTTCAATTCTGATTAATGACTCAACTTTGTTTTCGTTATTATAAGTCACAATATTGAATTTCTTCTCCGCCCAGGAAACGTGCAAGAAATATACTACTTCCGGTCCTAATTATAAGAATTAGTGGACTGATTTTAGGAGATTAAGGAAACAAGTTAAGTTAGTTATTTGTAATAAATATGTGTTGTTTTTTCTAAAATATCTTTACTAATCAAGTTTGTTGGTTAGAACTATCATTATTAGAAGGACTATCTTGGGAAAGAATGCATAAATATTGGAGACAAAATAGATTGGGGTCTTATAATTAGGACCAAAATAAAAGTCAAACGAGATCTTATATTAAGGACCGTAGATAGTACTATGCCTATTTAACTTTTGACTCACGTGGGCAAATCAAACTGCCCCTCAATTAATTGTTTTATTTGCTTGTCTTTTTTCGCGGGTTTTTAATAATTCTTGTTAGACACATTGATTACTACAGACATGCAGTGTTACTACACTGTCTGCCTGCAAAAAAAAAAAAAAAGAACCGATTTATTGGATTTTATTGGTTGTAATAGTTCTGCTGTACGTATTTGATTTTTTCACTACATATACTGCAACAACATTTTAAGATTTATGACAGTCGACTGTATTAACTTATGGCCAGCCATCTTCATCTCTAGCAGAAGCTAACAAGTGAGGAATTGGATCTAAAAGTCCTCATATCCTTCGTCAACAACACGTACTGCAAAAGTAGACAACTTTGTGACTGGAGCTGGCTAGCTAGCTGGTTCACAGAATTTACTGATCAGTATTGTTATTTCAAACAATTCTTCCTCATCATATAAATGCCAGACCCTATAACATGAAATGGTAAATTTTGATCATCACTAAAATGTTTGGTGACACAAGAAGATGACAATTTTACTTATTCAAATATTGACTATCATATGGCACTCCATCACTCTTCCTGCTTCATAAGCTGTTGAAACTAACTGCATATCATTGAAGAAACAAGGATGACAATTGACGCCAAAGTTTTCTTCCTTTCTCTTCTGATGATGATATTGAGGATACTACATTGAAGGTTTTTGAAGACTCTTAGCTTCAAAATGTTGCTGAAGACTTGAAGAAAGGTTGGGAGATAATTGAAATTATTGTTTGCAGAAATTTTCCTTGAAGATGCGTTGAAGACTATTAACGATTAATGAAAAATTGAAGACTCTTAAACTGACAACTTCTGAATAAAATGTGAAAGATAACTTATGTTAATTGCAGAAAATTTTCGACAGCATTCCAATGATCTTGACTTCAATTGTTCTTTAAAGAGTCTGATCTGCAGTATATTTTCAACACATCTTCGAAATTTTTTCACTTAATTTGCTTAAATATTTGAATATTTTACCTATATATTACTCGAATAATTTAGTAAATATTCGAACATTTGCTAAATTACTCTTCGCAAAATTTTCTTGAAAACTTAGTGTCCGATTCTAAAAAAATTATTTTACCTGAGAATAAATATCTGACAATATAATTTTTCTGGATTTGTTTTCCTGAATATAGGCATAGCTTAAGGTTCAAATTCTTTTTTTTTTTTACGAGAGGGATAATTTAGTCTTTTCACATTTGAAGGTAATTCATCTGTGATCACCCAAAATGTATTTAATTCGAACACCAGTTGTTGTCTCAAATATTTTAGGATTATCCTTGTCCCCAGTTTTTGCCTGTAAAATAAAATGAGGATGAGAAAAGAGAGTGTGGTATGATTTTCGTGACTCAAACACATATTATTATTTTATGCAGAATGATTGAGAAGTGAAAATCACATAATCCATAATAATAAATCACGTTTTTATCATTAATCACTTAAGTTAACCTCCTCGCTGGTAGCCATCACAAGCCCCAACAACAGCTGCACGTCTTCTGTCTATAAATGAAGCTCTCGGCCTCCCATGCTTTGCACACACATCATTACAGCAGAGAGGGAGTACGGGGGAGCTCGTAGGAGTCGGAAAGTTTGATGAAGAAATGTACGCTTCTTCTTCATCTACAGAAGCAGAAGCTGAAGCTGAAGCTGAGAAGAACATCTACAAATACATATTCGGCTTCGTTGAGATGGCAGTCGTAAAATGCGCCATCGAACTCAACATAGCAGAAGCCATTGAAAGCCACCACACTTGCCTCACCCTTTCCCAACTCTCGTCAGCTGTCAACTGCGACCCCTCCATGCTGCACCGCATCATGCGCTTCCTCACTCGCCGGAACATCTTCAAACAAGTCTCCACCACCCGCGACGGCGCCCAGCCTGAGCCCGCCTACGTGAACACCCCTCTCTCGCGGCTCCTGATAAAGAAAAGCGAAGCCAGCATGGCGGCTTTCGTGATGCTGGAGTGCAGCCCCGTGATGCTGGCGCCGTGGCAGAACTTAAGCGGCAGGGTTCGGGCCAACGGGACGTCGTCGTTCGAGAAGGCTCACGGGAAGGATGTGTGGGGCTACGCGGAGGCGAATGCGGAGCACAGAGAGCTGATAAATGAGGCGATGGCGTGCGATGCTCGGAGAGGGATGAGGGAGATAGTGGAGCACTGCCGGGAGGCGTTCGAGGGGGTGAGGTCGGTGGTGGACGTGGGCGGAGGGAACGGAACCGCCATGAGGATGTTGGTGAGAGCGTGTCCCTGGCTGCGAGGCATCAACTTCGACCTTCCACACGTAGCAGCGGCGGCTCCCAACTGCGACGGCGTGGAACACGTGGGAGGAGACATGTTTGTGAGCGTTCCCAAAGCAGACGCTGCATTTCTCATGGTGTGTGTGTGTATTTGTGTGTCTCTTTCTCTAGGCAGCTCGATCACTTGTTATACATATGTGCGTGTGTGTGTGTGTGTGATGTGATGAGTTAATGAAATGAATGAATGGTGCAGTGGGTACTGCATGACTGGGGGGACGAGGAATGCATAGAGATCCTGAAGAAGTGCAGGGAAGCGGTAGGAGAGAAGGGGAAGGTGATGATAGCGGAGGCAGTGATAGAAGAAGCAGGCGAGAAGGAGAAACTGAAGGAGGTGGGGCTGATGCTGGACATGGTGATGATGGCTCACACCAGCGTCGGCAAAGAGAGGACTGTGAGCGAGTGGGAGTATGTGATCAGGGAGGCCGGATTCTCCGCCTTCTCCGTCCGCCACATCCCTTCTTCTGTCAAGTCCCTCATCATGGCCTTCCCTTGATGACAAGTCCTCCTTCTGTGATATTCAAATATCCAATGTCATCATACTTTACTGAATCTCTGGTCTCTGCCCTATTTGTTTTTTTTTACCTTCCTTGTCATTATTCACTTAAATGGAAATAAAAGGAACTCATGTACCCCATCATGTACCTCCATCATTTCCATAAAGGGTCGCTTGGAACTACCCTGACAATGTCTACCCTATTTGTGATTGATATGGATCTACTACATCAAATAAATATGGAGTCGGCGGTTGGTTTCTTTGATTCTATTCAATTATGGTATGGCCTTTTTCGCTTGTCACGTTAATTTCAAGTGGGGGCCGCTCCATTATTATTACGTTAAACCAAATATTACCCAGTCTACGTATGTCTTCATTATTTAATTACGGCGCATTCATTCGTTATTTCATTTGTCACTGTCAATGCTGGATCCATGGATCAAATATCTTTTTTTGTTGTCGTTGTTGTTGGCTATACGACGCAGCTACTGTGAAATATGCAAAATAATATTTGATTTATTTAAATAAGATAATATTATGGAATTATGAAATAAAGACTATAGCCTGTAGTAAATATTATTTGCAATGTTTGCAAAAACACGAAATGGTGACCGGACCTTGAGCGAACGTAGGAAGAAACAGAGGAGCTGGCAAGTAACAACAATGGAGAAATGGCGGGCGGAGAGAAAAGAGGAATCTTTTTTTATGCTTGTACAGTGTAATTTGTATGAGCCATGGCATGCGTCACAGATAGTTATTTAACTATTTGGATGAAGTGAAGGTAAACAAGTTTGAGAATGGGGCGCTCCATGAGCATTGGATACTTGAAAAACTCGGCGTCACCTACAAAGTCCGGTCACTTGCGCAGGAAATGGTAAGTCAGAAAGAGATAAGCTGCACAGAAACACCACATGATTCTATTATTTCTAGACTGTCGGATGTAATGCGACGTCAGGCTCCACCACTTTAGTCATTGCATTATGAGAGGTCGAATTTTCTGGACAAGGATCCTGAATACCTGTTGTACACTATTATCCAATCAATATTTAATCATTTTGCTCTCCGCAGTGGATTCACATGCATTCTGCCAGCCCCGTCTTTGCATCTTTAATTATGAATCACTTGTTCCCCTCACATAGATACCATCACTGGCTGGATCCCTCCAAGAGTACGTCTCCAAAGCAAGTGGGCTAATGCCCCTGATCAGAGTCAAAAACTTCTAATGTTCCCTCACCTCATCTTTCTTTTTCAATGACAGCTCGCCATCTTCATTTGTGTATGTATATATTAAGTTCCTAACTTCACAAAATTTTGAAAAAAACCTATCGTGAAAGAAATGTATACATCAGACTTCGAAGTTACTTTTCAACGAGACTCAACTTTAAGATATCTACACGTATTCTTTATCAACTTAGACTACCTGCCTTTCTGTGTATAAAATTGTCCACTTCGGGAATTTGCCGTGACAAACTCCCCCACTTTTGCCAGCGGCAAATTATTTGTCACTCGGTGATTTCAGATGCAGTGTCATGGGCTTGTATGCGGCTAACACCACAGAAACCTTACACGCAAGAAACCCCATCATTCCAACTATGACTTCCTTTGGGGTCAAGTTCACTTGCAAATCTCCCGAACCATACCTCGCCGCCAATAAAACAAAGCCTATTGCAAATGCCACGCTCCATATTGGGCCCTTCAATCCCCCCAACAATGGACTGCTTTCCCTCCTCTCTCCAGTGATTGATTCTGGAACTGGCAATCCATCCACGGATCTCTGCAATAATAGCAGATACAAAAACCCAACAATCCCACCTAGCAAGAAAGCACAGCCTTCATTTTTCCCAACTGAGAGGGAAACAAAGGACGTGCCAAAGAACACCAGCATAGCATCATATAATAGCAATGAGAATTTTAGATCTGCATACTCCCTCATGCTATCCTCATTTGATATCTTAGGATATTGAGGCAGGGTATTATCGGAAGCAATTTTGCTGAAATAGACAAGGGGGTCAACCCCACTTAACTCAGTTACAAGGCTCGGCCTTATTTCCAGCACACCGAGATCGCTTCCTTCCCCAAGCAAAACATCATCATTCTCAAAGTCATACTGGAAGCCAGTGTACTCATATATCTCCTCTTCTTTTAATGATGAATTGAATTCGCAACTAAGAACCGTTATCGACACACTACCAAGCCGCCATTGACCTGACCTTAGACGATAAATAAGAGAACAATTAGAAGGTTCTGATAAACGTAAATCTATATGAAATTGCAAATATAATAAGATTCATCACTTGTGGTGCAAAATGTTAAAGTGGCATATGAACCTCAGAAGAAATAACAAGTACTACTGAGCAAAGGCTTTTGAGCGGTCACTAAAGTGATGGTATTTTCTTTTACTGCTATAGATAGATAAACTTGTGTTATTCAAAAAAGTAATCTTAAATTGTAATTCAGCAACGATGTCTGTTGAATCTTAACCGCTTTAAAGACAACCTTCCTCACAAATTACCTGATTCAACGTCAATCCAAAGAGCTTTAACTCTTCCAATTTTAGGTCCCTCAAAGATGAAATCATCAACGGAACCTCTTTGGAAATGAAGCACATCATTTATATCCCCTGTTTTTGTAGAGTGGTCCATCATCAAACTTGCAGGTATCCTTTGCAATATTGAATTCCCGTCTTCAGCTATCAAGCATAAAAGAACTCCAGCATTTAAGTTACTTAAACTTGAGCCATATATGCTACTGGTACATAACTTGACCCTGAATAGAGACTTTGAGGTATCCTCCTTCAGAGACGAAGAGGCCCTTTCTATTAATGTGTTTGTGCTGACTTTCACCTCTGAGCCTGGCAGAAGACGAGAAGGCTTCACATAGCTCTGAAAATCGGCTGCAGGAACAACATAGTCCTTTCACACACTCATGATCTCAAGATCCAGTTAAGAATTTATGCAGAATAAAAGCACATTACCATGGCCGTATGGCCCAGGTCTAATCCGCATTCTAAATAAACCAAAAAGAAAGGAAAGAATGCTAATGACTGCGTTTCCATTGATCTAGCTAACTTGATTAGCCATTTTCATTCCTTTACTATTTCTACTTCCTCTGATTGTAATTTAATTTCATCTGCTTATCTACATTACATACACTCCCGGGATTCTACTAGGATGCTTGTATTTTAATCGTTTTATTGATATAACTTTGTTGTTTATTAACAAATAAAACGAAATGCACAAATCTTAAACTCTACCGCAGAATCCACGGGAAAAAAATGCGCAGCCAAGATCGAAGACTGTTAACAGAGTTAACTTTGATCGGTTATAGAAACAAGGTAACAGGTGTTAAGTATAAAACAGGAAGACAATAGTCCCAATACTATATAGCAGCAAAAATCTATGTAATTGATTAGTTATATCATCGGCCAGACCAGCCATAAGAAGTGGCTTGCCATCAGAAGCCAGTAAAATCCAAGCGTTTTCTGACACGAATGATTTATAAAGTAGCCAACGTAAAACACAAGCTACTCAGGTCCGCATGTTAAAATGTTTGACTTAAACAAGCATGCTGATCTACATAATCAATTCATTATAGGATTGATCAACACGGTAGCATAACGTCAACAAATGATGTAAACCATGTTAACCTTATTGCTTGGTACGGAACCCGCGGTAACGCATTTCAGAAATCCGAGGCTACAGTCAACAACAAGTGTCATCAATATTCAAATCAGGAAGCATTCAAGGAAACTCATCATTAATCAATAAACTTGGGAGCTAACGATAACCAAATCCAAGGTGACCATGGCAAGTTTCTAATAAAAAAGTCTGTAACAAATTCCGTATGTCGGGTCAAACCCCAACAGACAACGAAAATAGCTTTCGAGCGCAGTGAACATGTGGAAAGAATTGTTTTTTAAACAAAAAGTTGTAAAAGTAAACCAGTGTACCCTGGAAAAAAGATTGTTTGGCGCGAACTGTAAAGCCGAAGGGGGTAATCCGAGTGCGAATTCTTGGCGGATGAAAAGGCGAGAGGAAGAGTTTTCGAGAAGCGAAGCTCGGAAGAGGAATTGCTTCCATAGCTGTAAGCCTCGGGACCCCCGAGTGCCGACGGTCGGTTCGAGGTTCAACAAGCAAACAAGCCACGGGCCCCGGTCCAAGACAGTGCAAGGGAATCAGGGAAGCCAGATACTTCTGGGCATGTCTCCCCAAGGGCACGAACTTGGGGGATCTCGCAAATTTTAAATATCCCCGCAAGATTAGATTTTTCTTTGCTTTTTGTTTTGGGCTTGGGTCAACTTTCACCTGTATTAATGACAAGATCCAACCCAAAGGCCTTGCTTTTTTTAAAAAATGGTTCCACTGGGGGAGGCTCCAACGTTTATATGTCATTTTTTTAATTATTAGTCCCGTACAAAATATAATAACATGGCGAGGATAACATTATATAGGGTGGTTACTAACTTACTGTTTTATTTCAAGAAACAGAAAAAAAAAAAAAAAGATTGCATGCCTGAATTTTTGTTGGGATGGGTCAATTGATAAGGTATGAGACAATATAATCGGATGTTGGGCTTAGTAAACAGCTTTATCTAATTAATACTACATCTGGTTCTTAATATAAGAGTTCGTTTGACTTTTATTTTGATTTTAAATATAAGACTCTAATCTATTTTGTCTTCATATTTATTTTTTAAAATATTTTTGTAACAATAATAGTTCTAATCAATATGCTTGATTAGCAACGATATTTTAAGAAAAACAATGCGTATTTATTATCAATAACTAACTTAACTAATTTTTTTAATCTATTCAAATTAGTCAATTAGTTCTTATATTAAGGACCATAAGTAGTACTCCTCCGGTCCTTAATATAGGACCCAATTAGAAGGTTAATCTTGGTCCTAAATATAGGACCCTTTTCTCATATTTTTTCATTCTTTCCTAAATTACCCCCATTAGATAATTAAATACCACAATAATACTCATTATTCATTAATAATACATCTATATATTTTATAAAGTGAATGAATACTTATTACTTATTGATTCCACACAAACATCAATTCTACCATTTTATATTTTTAATAAAATAATTTAAACATCTAAAAAAAATATTTTCATACAAATACCCATTCAAGGTAATTGGATTTTTTTACCTCCGAGGAATAGCATAATAATAATCGTACTATCTATTTTCTTTGTGCCCAGAAAATATAATCTTCTATTTATATTTTACCCAATCAAACAGAAAACTTAACTACGTTGGTACCGGATGGTGCGTGAGCCAGGAGAACTTGGACGAAGTTGGTACCGGAGGAGGCGAGTTAACCAGACTAATTTTTTTCAAATGTCAGTTTCTTTTTAGAAGTGTAAACCGAGGGTATTTTGAGATATCTATATTTATTACCTAACTTAACTACCATCCTTAATTTAATCAAAATAGTTAAAAGGGTCCTATATTAAGGACCGGAGGAGTAAATTATTTTAATGGTACTTTTTAAAATTTTAAAAAGCATTAAGTAATTATAATGAATTTGTCCATATATGTAAATTAGTTTATAGGTTTGTTACCATAAAGAAGAGGGGGTGGGCACGAGATTGCGTTTGGGGGGGGGGGGGAGCAAAGGCAAGGTTGTGATATTGAGATGTGCTTATAAGGATAACCTCCTCCGTCTTGTTTTTGTTTTTTTCCCCCAACCGAGCCGACACATCTAATTATGCATCACATCCATACATTGACATAAAGGATTTAATTTAATCTTACACTTAAAAAGTATATTTAAAAAAAATATTTAGTGCCATTAAACACAACACCGCTAATACTCTTATTCAAAGATATCGAATCTCCTCAGTCCATGGCATGTAGAGTATTAAAAAAGGATAATTATTAAGAAGCCCAAAAAAAATTATCAAAAAACCCTAATCACAAGTGAGCAGTCTAAACTTGTTATTACTCTCTGTTCTAAAATTTGCCATTATTTACTCTTTACTTATCAATAGATTTTAAGATAATTAAATTTATTTATTGAGTTCTGATTATAATCCTCCCTAATAAAAAAAAAAAGAAAAAGAATCTGTAAACTTTGAAAGATTCATGCGATCTTGCAGATTCAACGTCCCATCGTCTACCTTAGGCCACCACCAACTGGCCTTTAGCCGCTTTTTTCGGGTAAATCACATCACTTTTTTTATTTGACTCATTTACCCCCAAAAATCACAGAATATTCTACAAAATACATTTGGTTGTTAATTTATCTTCGTTTCAAATCTTCCATTTAATTATAAAAGTAAATAGCATTTAACATCTTAATATTATTTTTTAGTTATATTTAACACTTTAATCTTATTTACTGTTTAGCATGTTGGATACATATTAAATAAAATCAAAATATTGAAACCATAAAAAAAATAATATCAGGAAATTACATTAAAATAAAATTATGATGTTAAATAGGATTAAAAAATAACATCAAGATCGCGAATGCTATTTTTATCCTCGTCATAATACTTATCAGCACTGGAATACCGAGTATTAATTTTGATCACAATAGTATGATTTAAGAACACTTCAAAAAAGACATCATTTGCTCTCGAAATAAATGAAAAAAGAAAAAGACTCACTAGATAGTGAGTACCTAATACTATCCAGGGATGGGGCAGGCGAACTGGGGAAAAGATTCAAAGGAGCAGGAAAAATTACAATAAGATCCTATCAAAGATAATTAAAAGTAGAAAGGCTTTTTTTGAAATCATCAAATTATTATAAAGTTTTAAGAGATCTCACTAGAAAAGATTTTATTTATTTAATTATCAAATTATTTTAAAAAAAATATATATGACAACTGAAAGTGCAATAATTAACAACTTAAGGTATAACAATTAACAACTATCGTGATAGATATTGATAACTTATGCACTACATTTTGTGATGCTATGAGAAAATATGCTATAAATTGTTATCGTTATATCTTAAATTATTAATCTGTTCTTTTAATTGTTAATAATATTTAAAAAAATAATTTAGTAATTAAATAAATAAAATCTCTTGTAAATTTCTTCAGGTTTCAAAATAATTTGATAATTTAAAAGATTTTTTTATATTTATTTGATCGCTTTTGCCTTTTGGAATCTCAGCTCGCGACGGTGACGTCGACAGCGACGCTCCTATCTTTCTATCTCCTCACTTCTTACTCGAGTCTCTTTTCTTTCTGGAACGAGAATAATTACTCGAATCTTTCATATCACAGTTTAACCCGAATTCCGATTCCCAGTAACAAGTCAGGAAAGGGATGCGTCAAATTTATGGAGGGACGATCCTTGACTTTGATTTGTCAGTCATCACACGACATTAATAGGCATTGGGTGATTAGCCCTTCGGTCTCCTTATCTACAAATCACAATGATACGTATGCAATGAACTGAGTATTTTCGCACTAGGAGCCATGAGTTTTCAGCTGCCACTTCGATATGTACGGGCGAGGGCATCCGTAAAGCCGCACCATCCATCCATCTTAGTTCACAACAACTTGGACTCTTCCCTGTCACTTGGCTTGGAATTCAAGCATTACATGAATGCCTGATAGGTATTTGTGATGTGGACGCAGAGAGCACCAGTGCCTGTGCTTGCAAGCAATTGACTTTGTCCCTAATTATTGAAATCCTCCCCCTCTTGGAATCAACAAATTCAAAGACCCTCCAGATCCAGATTCCAAACCGATCACCCATACACAACTCCCTCATGGAGGATTCCCAGCAACAACACCTTCTCGAGCCGAACGAAGGACCCGAAGCCGTTACCGTCCTCAATTCACCAAAGAAGCTAGCTCTCCTTCCTCTTGTCTTTCTCATCTATTTCGAGGTCTCTGGCGGTCCGTATGGTGAAGAGGCCGCCGTGAAGGCTGCTGGGCCGCTCCTGGCCATTCTTGGCTTCCTCATCTTCCCCTTCATCTGGAGCATCCCGGAGGCTCTTGTCACTGCGGAGCTGGCCACTGCCTTCCCCGGCAATGGAGGGTTCGTCATCTGGGTCAATAAAGCCTTTGGGCCTTTCTGGGGCTCTCTCATGGGCTTCTGGAAGTTCTTTAGTGCGGTCATAAACTTGGCTTCGTATCCTGTTCTCTGCATAGACTATGTCAAGCTGGTGATTCCTTCTTTGTCTTCTGGCTTACCTCGCTACCTGTCCATATTTTTCTCCACTGTTGTTCTGTCTTTTCTGAATTATACTGGTCTGACTATAGTGGGTTATACTGCTGTGGCTCTAGGAGTTGTTTCTCTGACGCCGTTTGTATTGCTGTCCTTGATTTCAATCCCCAAAATTGATCCCAGCCGATGGTTAAGTTTGGGTCAGGCGGGTGTGAAGAAGAATTGGACTTTGTACCTCAACACCCTTTTTGGAATTTGAACTTTTGGGACAGTGCTAGTACTATGGCCGGTGAAATTGAGAAACCGCAGAAAACATTCCCAAAGGCCTTGTTATCTTCCGGGTTGCTTACATGTTTAGGTTATATAATTCCTTTGCTTGCTGCTACAGGAGCCATACCGCTTGATCAGGAAAAATGGGTTGATGGGTATTTTGCAGATGTGGCCGAGATGGTTGCTGGAGGGTGGTTGAAAGTCTGGATGGAAATTGGGGCTGTTCTGTCCATTGTTGGGCTATATGAAGCTCAATTGAGCAGCGCAGCATACCAGGTTCTGGGTATGGCAGATTTAGGATTTCTACCTCGAATTTTCGGAGAAAGAGCAAAGTGGTTCAATACTCCCTGGATGGCCATTTTGGCAGCAACAGTAATAGCGCTCGCAATGTCTAACCTGAGTTTCACGGCCATCATATCTACAGGTAATTTCTTGTACAGTTTGGGGATGCTTTTGGAGTATGCATCTTATCTTAAGCTGAGAAGGAAGTTCCGGTCACTGAAAAGGCCATTTGAGGTTCCAATGGGATTCCCATGTCTGGTCATCATGTGCTTGGTGCCATCTGTGCTTCTGTTAGTTGTGATGGCTGTTGCTAGCAAAGTTGTGTACGTGGTCAGTGCTTTCCTGACTTCTTTCTTATCTTAAGCTGAGAAGGAAGTTCCGGTCACTGAAAAGGCCATTTGAGGTTCCAATGGGATTCCCATGTCTGGTCATCATGTGCTTGGTGCCATCTGTGCTTCTGTTAGTTGTGATGGCTGTTGCTAGCAAAGTTGTGTACGTGGTCAGTGCTT